GTGGCATCTCGCGACGGAGTGCTTGGCAACCAAAACAAACCTGTCAGGGGGGGCGTGACGGACTGACTTCCCATTTGCCAATCACGAGACTTGACCATCCTGGAGCAGTCTATCGAATGCGGAGAATGGCTCGGGACTTGCCATTGGCCATTCCCCATCTGACGGGTCGGTATTGTCCGTTTCTTACGGGATTTGGTTTAGCGGGACTTGGGGAAGGTCAGTTTAGTCCGTTCCCAATTCTCCCTCTCTCCCTCCCTCTCTCTGTCCCGGTCTCCTTCTATCTATCTCATTCGAACCAGTTGAAGGTCTGAAAATTGTGGATAGTCTAGTCGCCAGCTTCCTGGGATGCACATGTCCTTGGCAACCTTGACCGAAATTGGGTGGTGGCTCTGGTTGGAAAAGCCGTTAGGGCGCAATCAATTTCCTCCACCTATGGGATGGTAACCACGAATGCGCAAATGGGCTTGTCTCCAGCTGTCCGAACAAATGGGGTAGGTCCTATACTACTGCCAAGACCTCAAAAGCTCTAGTATCATTGACAGGGATCAAGCATCCATTCGCCTCTACTCAAGTAATATTTCTTCCTCAAGGGAAACAAGAAGGGAAAAAAAAAGATTAAAACAAAATCAAAAATAAAAACGTGGCATGAGGCTTTTGTGACACACTTGCAATGCATGCACACTCCTCGATTGATGCAGGTCGAGGGTGAGTCTTGGAATGCCGTCACCAGCAATTGTCGAGGCTTTCCGACAGGACATTGTCCCATGGTAAAGAATTAAGGTATCCCCTACCTGGACCCGACCCCACCAATGAGCGGGCAGGATTCACTGATCGCTGATTCTTAATCTCGGTCGCCCGCGACCATGGACCCGGACCGCAGCCTCCGAAGGGTTTTTTACCCTATGAGTTAGAAGCCTTCATTAGCCTCGTCCCTTTAGCGTCCTAGGGCATTTACCTTATCTGGAAATCTTCCTTCAGGGCCCTCTGTTGATCCAATCAGATGGGAACCGAAAAAGAGTTTCACAACGATTCGCGTTTAGCTCTTAATTTAGTTCCAAGGTGGTTTCGCGTTAGCATTTGATGGCTTGTTCGCTAAGCCTACCCCCTATCTTTTATTTTCTTTTAGTTTTTTATTATTGCTCTCTGTGATAAGATGGGAGCTCCTTACCGGTTTCCTGATATGTTTAAAATTAGCGAATTGACGTGGATCTGACTAACGAGTTCTGTTTCATCTGGGAATGCGTAACACATGGGGTTTGCCCTCCATCAAGGCTGAAACTGTGCTACTTCTTCCCTCCTCTTATCAGCCAGACTATCACAAGTCATTCAGGATCCCCAGTATGGCCATGCGCTTCATCCACGGTAGCACCATCCGAGGGAACTCAAACCCGCCATCCCGGGACAGCGGGCGAGGTCATCTTCACACGGTCGTAGGGCTCACTGCCCCACTAGTCGCCCGTGGCTCAGCCGCAAGCATTACTAGTTTAGGTCCTCTTGGTTGCAGGAGGTTACCGGTTTTGTCGAAGAATAAAAACAAGTTCAACGTTTTGACCAGTCCTCCAGAGAGGACAGGCTTCTCTCGTTCGACAGTGCTCCGTGCCTTGTCCGTAGAAGGTTTGCAGCCTCGATCTAAATCTTAGTTGGAGGAACTAAATCTTAGCTGCATACGCAGTGACCCTGGACAGGTGATTCGGTGCCTTAGTGGCTTGGCTGTATGATCGCTTATTCTCTCCCAGGGTGTCCGTGTGTAAAGATACTTGAGAGAGTCGTCAGACAGGGTTCTGGTGGTCATGAGGGAATAGTTGAGAAAGCCCCTCGGCCGAAGTAGCCCCCAGTTCAACGTTGCGATTGGGGTATGGACCGAGAGGGTCGGTTGCGATTCCCGAATTTAGACCGTGTGCGTTATTCGGTTCTTATGTATCGAGCTCCGCTTCATACCGGCAATACAAACGTGCGTCCCCTAGCGTCGGATAAAAACGGCGCATTGCAAGAGACTCTGCAAACCGTACATCAGAATTGCGCGCTATCCACTCCATCACCAGGGGTAGGAAACCCTCCATCGTGACGCTACGATAGAAACGCGGAGGAACTATAAGCAGCATCTCCTCTAGCGGGGTGGTAAAGTTTTTTCCGTGATTTTTTTTACCCTCCATAGGATGATTTCCAGGCACCATGAACGGTGCGCTCAGTCCGCCTGGCGAGGCAATCGTTCGCTACATCATATCAATATTCTATATTCGGACGGATCCGCGGGATTAATTTGTTGGTGACGTCCGTTTGAATTGGAATATGTCCACGAGGCACCAGGATGAAAAAGCAATATAATTCTTGGAATCCCCTGCTAGCGCGGAAGCGACAGCAAAAAGCAATTGTGCAGGTGTAGCGCGTCCAATAATAGGTAGATTATCTTCCCCTTTTCTCACCGATACCTTCCTCGAGCCTCCCAGGATGATTGGGGTTATTTTTCGATTTTCTGATTTTTCCCCCCCTTCTGTTTTAGTGCAGATAGTCGTTGGATATAGCCATATCGGTCATAGGGCAAGGTCTTGGTCGACGATCCCCAAGTTCTAGTGACGGGGCAAGGGTCCCTTCGGGTCAAAACAGGCGATCACCATAACGATATACCTATACAGTAAGAGGGGCTATCGGTTCGACGTTATCCAATACATACCTTGTCCAGAAAGGAAAACAGACAGGGTAATAAGAGGTCCAGAAGGAAAGGAAGGAAGCCCACATGGTCCCAGGACAGGGCATGTTGTCGTTGACAGAGAGTCAAGCTACCCCTGGGATCGGACTTTTGAGGGTAAACAAAATCCGATCGTTAAGTAATGAGAACCATGTGATTAGCGACTTTAATCTGACGCCAATCAATGACAGACCCGTCTGCCCACTGTGTGTCATCGAAAACCTATTGCCCGAGATTTAGTTAGTGGGTGAGTGGGTGAGAACCTTAGAGAACCACAGGACCAACAATACCGTTCGGTCTGGGTCAAATATGGAGAAGATCCAGGGTGAGCGGACGAACAAAAAAATTTTAAAATATTTTTTTTGAATGAATGAATGGAAGAGAAACAGACAAGAAAAAGACTTTCCCACCACATTTTTTACCCAATCAAGTAGTTTCGTCGGCCACCCTATCCGTCAAGTTGATACTTTGGGTCAACCTAACCTAAGCTATGGTAATTGATTTCCGCAGACCCTGTCCAGACTTACTGTACCCCAAATTACAACCAGACTTGACACCCAGAGGATCGATTTCGACCGATGAAGGTCTACTTACACATGGTTTCTGGACCATGAACATGCTTAGATACGCCACATCCAAGGTGTTTCTTCATCCGTCCCGGTCTCGGCGCTCGCTTCTTTCTGTCTCCTTTTGTTATTTTTTTTTTCTCATTATTTTCGTACTTTCCCATTGAGTATCGGACGATTCCCGTGACTAGAGTTCAAGCATATTTGGTAGAGAGGCTTAGACTCAAGATCCTTACAGGAATCTGACTTGGCGTGACTCGCGTCCCACCCACTTAGGCTATGGGGATTGATTATCTTTTGGCCCCAACTTTTTCATTTGGGACCAAATTAACCTGAGATGAAGGGGGGCCATGTCGAAGCAAAGGAATGCAGTGGAAGGGGAAAAATTCCTTCGGATCTTTTCGAGATGGGACCATCAGGAAGGGGACTTAGCAATTTCCGGAATAGACAGTACCAGGGGGGAGGAATTAGACTGAATGAATGCTGTTGGTGGTGCTAGCTGCCATGTGGTCCTCGCCCGAACAATGTGACTAATGAGACTCATGGGCACCCACGCTGCCGTCCAAAGTAACCTCGTTGAAAGGAGGGTTAATCCAGGCCTTACATTCCCTGTCGGTACTAAGTTAGGTGCTAACTGCATATACTCCATACATGTTAATCCTGCCTATCCTTTTCCTTTTCCCATCTATTTTTTTAACGATTTTTTGGTGCTGATTATTTTGTACTTTCTTCTTCCTCCCTTTAATTTTAATTTTCTTTTCTCGATTGAGAGATCTAAAAGGGAAATGACGGGAAGAGGCTCAAAACCATGATTTTGAGTAATCCTTGGTTTTTAATCCATCCCACTACTAATAATAATTCCCTTCGGGCTCCTATTGTGGTTATAGTCCATACTTACTTCTCCCCTCCACCTCTCATCTCTTGTCTTTTCAATTTTCCCCATCCCCACATCATCTGCTGAAGGTATCCTTGAACATTGTGCATTTTTCTTTTTCTTACTTTTTTTTATTACTACTACATTCTCAGGAGATCAGCATCTGACCGGCCGTCTCGTGGCGTTTGGAACGCATCCCCAGAGATTTGACTAGTCCCCTACTTTCCTAAGTTTCTTTCCTCTTTTTTTTTATTTAATATTTTTTTATTCAAATTATCATTTTCATTTTCATTTTCTTTTTCTTTCTCTTTTTTTTTTTAACTGTTTGATCTGAAAAACCTTTCCCTACCGTACTATGAGTGGTCCCTCAGCTCGAGAGGCTGCATGCATTCCTGGACTATTAGCCTACTGGCCCTGACTGTGACTTAATTATAACCCTCCACCTCTTATAATCCTTTCACTCCTCTTGTTCCTGTCAAAATATTCGTCAGAATAAAACAGCCCAACTCCCCTCCCTTGCCGTTATCTCGTATTCCCCACGTGCGGACATTCTTCATCTCGTTCCTCGTTTCTTCCTCCACCCGGGGCTGAGGCTCGAGGTTATTTTTGGAGTCTGCATCTCTAGGCTTGGCTATTGGTACTGCTATATACCTGCATCTCTCCTCTGTCTTCCCCTCTTCCTCCATTTACCCTTCGATACATAACCCCAGAAGAGTACCTCTTGTCGTCATTCGACCCTTACCCACTGTCTTGTTGCGCATTGTTGAGTTGTGCCACACCTTCCACACATTGTTTTGGCTGCCGAGTGGGGTAGCACCATTTGTTTTCGTTGAGACCATAGCATTGTCTTGCGCCTTTCCTGTATCCAGACAATATGGCCGGTCCCGGTGGTGGCCCTCCTCGCAAGAGCCATACCAAGTCTCGTTTCGGCTGCAAGACATGTAAGAGACGACATATTCGTTGCGATGAGAGCTTTCCGCAATGGTACGCATCTACTACATGATTAACAATGCAAATGTGCTGCGGCTGACGGAGAGTAGCCGGAATTGTACCAAACATAACTGTCGCTGCGACTACATGGATGTCGCTACCGTACACGACGAATCATCCACCGCTCGCAAAATCCCCGATCTTCTCATGTCCGCCGAAATCGAGACGGAAATCAAGAATTGGCACATCACGGGTGTGCCTCCGTTTCCAGAGCTAGTACAGTACCCACGCAGTTGTTGGAGCAAACTCTCGCGAACCGATCTTCGTTTAATTCACCATATTATCGGCTTGTCCATCGACCTACATCGTCGCGGCTTTAGTAACTCCACGATCTGGGCGCAGAAGATGCCAACGTAAGTGCAGAGGTCCAGTCTGGTTTTGTTAATGGGGAACTAACATTCCACAGATTCCTCAACATCGCCATCACAAATGACTTTGTCATGAGTTCCATCCTTACTTTGTCGGCGTCACATTTGGCCTGGATCACGCGAAATAAAGAAACGAAGCAGCTCGCTTATCACCACAGGGGGGTTGCGATTCAGGGCTTGCACAAGGCTATCGGTACTTTCTCGAAAGGCAACTGTGACGCTATCCTTGCGGCCTCCATCCTCCTTTCCTGGCAAGCATCGGAATGGTATGTGATTCTACGAACCCGGTTACGTGGAATACTAACAGTTTTCTAGGCATAGCTGGGCATCCCTGCAACAGGGACTCACAACCGTTCTGAATTCGATGCATCCCATTTGGAAACACGAATCCGAACTAGCCATGTACCTCGAGAACCAAAGGTACTTGGGATGTACCAATACCCCAATGATGACGGGCTACCAGTTCCAGGACGAGGACCTTGTTAGCCTCGACCAAACAACCATTGCCCTCCAAAACGTCCAGAAGCGCGTTGCTCACAACCCCGAGCACTACCGTCGGATCGGAGAGCTCCTGGAATTTGTGCGCCATTTCAGGCGAGATCTCCTGTCTCTGACTCCGGAACAGGCCTTTGAGCGTATGCAGCCCCTGCGAAGATGGCTCTTTTGGCTTCCCCCAGCCATGCTCCGAGGCGGAGACGCAGATCTAGGAGCACTTGCCATCCTTGCTCAATTCTTCGGTATTGGTGTGGTTTTGGATAGTTTATTCCCTGACCTAGGAGGCGCATACCTCGGCCCGCTATCCGTCGGCCCCATCGAAGACATTTATCGGATCATTATAACCAGAAGCATGTCGGAACCATACAACCCAGATCTCCAGCTAGCCTCGACCATTATGGAATTGCCTCGACATATCGTTGCGCAATATAAAAGCCGCCTTCAGTGGTCGCCGCGGACCTCACTCGACTACTCCCCGTCTCCCGCGAGTCCTTACCAACCTATACAAGATTACACCCTAGCGTCATCCTCCTCTCCTTCCTCTACCGCTACATGCGCACCTTACACCCCGCCTCTCCAGTCTCCCCCAGCGGTGACGATCGCTAGTTCTCCATTCGATGTAAATGGAACCTATGTCACAGCACCAAGCGTCCAGAGTCTTTACCCCCCGTCTCCAAGTTTGCTCTCCGACCCCCGAGAAGAACTGTGTGAATACAGCCATACCAGCTCGCTCCATCAGTCGCCCACGTATCCACCACCATATGTGGATGATATGGTGTGCGGAGAGCTATCGCGAGTAGACGGAACGGTCGGGCTGAACGTGGATCTCTACGGCGAACCTCAACAGATTGTGGGAGGATATAGCACTGCGGAGCCGTGCTGGACCGGAAGTATCTGCACTTGAAGATGGAAAGATGGCCGACAGAGCCAGGGCAAAAAACATAAAACGAAAAAAATAATATATACCCTTAACCAACTTTCATTCTATTTATACGGCATATGGGCTTGAGCTTGGATCTCACATGGGGTTGGATGGATAGAAGGGCTGGTACTCTTATATTTTGGATGGGGGTTTCATTCTACTATTGTTGCATTTTGTGCACATTATTTTGGATTTGCATGCCTGACATTCGTTACGAATCCTGTGATATGCTACAGCGATACAGGAACACCAGGACAGAATGAGGCTACATGAGAGCATGGATTGATATGGATATCAAAATCATATACCCGCTTGGCGTTTACTTTGAGATAATTTAACATGTATAATGAAATGACAAACTATCCCCGATCACCTTGTTCCTTCCTGTAAGGTATCACCAGGTCATCTATTAATAGCAATCAGGGAAGGCATGAGATCATGAAACGGTCGAGTTTCATCCAACTGGATCTGATCGCCAGCCTACAGATTTTTGCCTGTACAGTTCCTGCGCGAAGCAACAGAGAAAAGAAAAAGAAAAGAAAAACAGTCAATCAAACACGTTGATACCACGAGGTCGGGATATATTTAGAACCCCGCATATTTAGCCAAATCTAAAGCATGGGCCTCAAGAATGTACATACATACATACATACAGTACCATGCCCGCCGATCCCATACAACACACTATACCTGACTACACAGGGCCTAAGCGAAAAAAAAAAAAAAAAAAACAGCCACCCCAGAAACAAGACCGAGCATCCACACCCGCCCAGCCGCATCTCCATGCAGCATATACAAACAACCACATGAAACAAGTACCAACTAACTAGATAGTACAGTAGATACAATACCATACAACCCCGAACGAACCTGGCAATCCCCAAGAATCAAACACAAAAGTTAAGAGATATATATAGATATAAACCACCAAAACTCTAACCCAAGCTCTCACCAATATACTTTTTCCAGCTGTCCGAATTTTTTCATTCGAGGAAAAGGAGCTCCATACTACATCGTACCGGAGCAAAAAGATGATGATGATGATGATGATCGGCACGATGCATGGAAAACAGGGCCCGGGCTAGCCTGATTTGGCTGGGCTCGTATTCGGTAGAGAGATCGATGGCGGGTGGATGAGGCTAGGAGATTTTAGCTAGCTTTCTGACGTTGGGGGAAAGCGCGTGGGGCTTGGCTTGGAACTTGGGTTAGGTAGGGCTATATCGGTGGCTGTTATAGGGGTCTGTGATTTTGGTTTGGTAACTTTGGTTAGGTTGCTGGAATACGAGTTTTATTTTGGTGGGGGGGATTTGTTTGGTTTCGGTGGAGTGGTGGGGGGTTGGATTGGTTGTGTGGTGTTTCTGGTGATGGTGATGGTTTTTTTGGGGAGGGAGGAATTTGGGGTGGTTGGTTGTATGGTTTGGGCTGGCTTAGACTGTGTCACTAGTAGGTAGTGTGGTGTTGTTGTTGTTGTTGTTGTTGTTGTTGATATATCAGGTTTGGAAATTTGATGGGTTGTTTTTGTGGCTGGTGGTTAGTGTTATTTCGCTTGGCAAAGTATGGATGGATCTTGTGCATAAGTTCAGTATTTGCTCAGAAAGAGCTGATAAAGACCAGCCCTCTCATTTCGAACATATTCAACTACGTGATGGAGTCATATCTTGTTTTCACGCAGCGCACCAGGCTGTAAGCCTCGATGATGGCAATACACTAAATGTGACAAGCCAGGCACGGGATGTCCTGGATCAACAGAGAGCTTCTGGAAACGAAGGCCTTCCTGATCGAGGATGTGGACAAGTGGTACTTCTTCAAGGTATCTTGTTCTGTAAGACTGCTCTATACCCGTGTACCACGCCCTGCTAGCTTCAGTCTCTATACATGTAACATAGGCATGCCCAATAAAGGGTAGACTGATTTGAAAATATATGTAGAGGGCGATACACATATCAGTCAGACTTGACCCAACAGTGTCGGATGACTCTTGTTATGTGTGCATTTCTGAAAAGTGTCCGTTTGGATAATCGGAACTGAGACTGAATGCCCTAATTTGTGATTGTGCTCTAGAAAACCAGAATGTCGAACTGTTGGGAGAAAACTCCCAACGGGTTCATACCCCATTGCTGAGTGATGACCGACGAGGCACCCATTAAATTGGAGGCATCCAATCCAGATGCTTGTTAGATTGTGTATTGCTAACATGCCACGTCCTCATAGGATTTCTCGATATTTGCCCCAACGATCAGTTCGAGAGAAGGCAGTATATGAATGGTAGCGAGTATCTAAAAACAGCACAAGACCCTGGCGTATGCAATAGGACCTATTGAATGATTCCTTTCAGTATTGTTAATCAGAAATACATACACCGAAATGATCACTTGATCATCCAGAGATAAGCTTCAAGACACAAGGAGAACGAACATATTCCCTACAGGCGAAAAGCTGGGCCATCTGGCCGAGTCGTCAATGTGTTCTTTAGGGACCTGCTATCTTAGGAGCACAGGAGGATATCTTGTCCCAATCAGAACAATAAGCCACTTGCTTTCACTTCTCAAGGTATCACATGTGGCCCAGAAATCCTTCAAGCTCGCTCCAGCACATTGGAGCATATTATCTGCACACTTAGCACTCGAAAAGATATCGGCATAGCATATTGACGACGGAGTATCTCGAAATTGAGCCTTTGTGGAGTGTTAAATCTCGGTCCGACGGCTAGCAGTTCTGCCGCGATCTAGATAGCAACATGCTCGAGACTTTGGTGGATGACTTTGCAGTCAATGGCAGAATAATTGCGTTCATGCAGTGTAAGGGGTTCGTAGAGAGCCCGATCGACACAAAATAGGACCCTGAGGAGTAGATTGCGCGGCTGTGAAGGAAGGTGAGGGCAGAATTAGAAGAAGGGAAACTAGGCCCAGTCAGGAGATGTCATGAAGTGAAAACCGGACGCTCGGCAGTTGGATGTGGTTATGTTCTGCCGCTGCCATATGGAATTTTGGAAGTGTTAATCGTTGGTACTCAATCAAATTGAGGATGTCTCCCCATATACTCCGTTCTTTGTACTCTGTACCTTACTTTGCTATGGGGTACATGTGATCTTCCCTTGCCCCGGTTCCAGACTAGACTATTGGCAGTTAGCGTCGCCACGTGAGCCATACCCTATTTTCCAGGCAAAGGCAAAATAAACTACCACATTACATCACCAGTCACTTCTTCACTGACTTTCGATAGCGGCCGATCTTATAACGTAAGGCGCTTTTTTGGGTATCGTGCACGTTCTTGATCGGTTGTTATATACTGGAAGGTTCGGAATACATAAGGGGCACTGTCTCCATCTGGTTCGTACTATTCATGCTCCAAAAGCCAAAAAGGGGGATCTGCTGCCCTAGCTCCTTGATATTCCGGGCAGGTGGAGGCCGGACGTGGATCTCGCATGGCTTTCCGGCATGTGCGCTCAACTATCTGATAATTAGTAAGTACTAAGCTTTTCAAGTCCTCATATTTGAAGTCATTAATGACGAACACAGTTTGTCTTCTATTGCAGACCAAAAAGCAGTCACTTGGTATACTGATTTCCATATGTTGCATGGAATCTCACATTACACCATGCCTTGTAACTGCCTGCCACTCATCCGTGGTGGCGGAACTTCTCCGATTTTGCTGTCTACCGGCACACACTGTGCTCCACATCTGTACCAGTTGTCTTGATTGAGTTTCAATGCTGGTGATATTTTGTGCCGAACTACTGACTAGTGGTTCAGGCCTGAGATATCCGCCAATGGCTGTGCCAAACCATGGCTTATAATTGAACCCAATGCTAGTCATGGAGCCCACCAAACCCAATTACCAGGCAGGTCCAAAAAAAAACTTCACTACCTGCAGATCATTGTACGGGATTCCGGTAATACGGAAGTTGCGCCCTTTCCCACTTTATAGTTACTTGTCTCTGCCCATATGGCGGTTAAACAGCCTTCTTGCTTTGCTCCTGCATCGAGCTTAATTGACTTTCAACCCCCGGGTTGAGTCAGGGTCCTTGCCGTTCAGACCCCCGTTTCTTATACTGAACGACAACCTCATATAAGGTCGACGCTCGACCACACTATCTTCTGAAGTCTCCGTGGGCCGCATTTTTGTCGTTGGTCTATGCGCGTATAAGACGTGGGCAAGGAAAGCCCCTCCTTGGTGTCTCATCGCTCAATTCAAGGCGCCAACATATCGTCGTGAAGATGAACTATCGTAGTAAATCGATCATCATCGCCACTGCGGTGTCCATGGGAATGTCTCTAATATCGATGTGCCTGAGGTGTTTTGTGCGGTTACGTGTTGTGCGGGCATTCGGAAAGGATGATGCCACAATGGTGGTGGCCATGGTAAGTCTTGCGATATTATCCGAGCAGCGATCGTGACTAACAGTAGCAACACTTCAAGATCTTCAACTTGGCGTTTGCCATCTGTACTTTCGCTGGTGCTAAGTACGGGTTCGGACAACAGATGACCTGGTTTATAGACAAACCGGGCTACCTTCGATACGCTTTGCTGGTGCGTTCTACTGATGGGCTCCTCATCCCCGATATGGTCTAACATCCAATGTAGTACTGGTGGCTCGGGCAGAATTTCTACCTAGTCACTGCCATTATCGCAAAGATCTCCATTGCCATGACCCTTCTACGTATTACTCCCAACAAAATTCACGCTGTAATCCTGTACACTATCAGCGCATTGACGATCCTTGTCGGGACGATGTTTGTCTTGGTCAGCATTTTCGAGTGTACTCCGGTCGACTTTTTCTGGAATCGCTTGACAAAAAGTGGTAAATGTGTCGACCCCAATGCCTTGGTGGGGATTGCATACACAGCCAGCGTTGTGGCAGCGATTGCCGATTTTATTCTCGGACTGTTACCATGCTTCATAGTTTGGAATCTGCAAATGAATAGGCAGACGAAGATTGCCCTGGCGGGAATCATGGGCTTGGGCTGCATGTGAGTATTCCCGGTCAAGGCTATCAGGATGAACTTTGCCTCTAACCCTACAAACAGTGCCGGTGCTACCGTCATCGTTCGCATACCATACCTATCCGCCTATAAACATGCAGACTTCCTGCACGCCACCCATGCAGTGTCCATTTGCTCGAATATCGAGACCGGCGTGGGTATCACCGCCAGCTCTCTTGCGACCCTTCGCCCAATCTTCCGTTTCCTGCGCGACACGACTTCCGGCTCTCGCAGTCGCAAACGGCCTACTGAAAACAGCTACCCATTATCCAGCGTTGCGAATAACAGTGACAAGCATCACTGGGCGGACACGGTCGGCGGATATCACAGCATGTCTACAACCATTACCGGTCGTCAGCCGTCGATGCAGAATGTCAGTACAGAGAGCATCACACCGCTGTACCAGGGCATGAAGGTCGAGCGTTCGTTCCAAGTCGAGCTTGCATAACTTTCATGATTTGTTATGTTGACGTGTAATACCATTCATGTACATATATATGATATATACCCCTATTGCTAGTAATATCCAGAAGTTAAAATGCGAATGAAGGAAGAACAGTATTACTTGTCGCCTCAGGCACAACTGGGCCCTCTTACTAAGAAAACGCTCCGCAGAGCTTGTTTGCATGTGAAGCAAACATCCACAGCCCAAACCGCGATATCGTCATCAGCAGTTTGAAAAGCTCCATCCAACAACATATACATCATCACTGACACACTTGTCCTGCATTGCGCATTAGACACTTTAAACTGTACACTAGACACAGTACATGAACCCAACCCTCAAGAATCAATAAAAATGGCCGACGCAGGCGGTTGGAGCACAATCGAATCAGACGAAGCACGCACACCCACCCACCACTCAACACAACCAAGACTAACGGATCAAAAACGCAGGGCGTCTTCACCTCCTTAATCGAAAACCTGGGCGTCAAAGGCGTCCAATTTGAAGAACTCATCTCCCTAGATGCCGACACCATCCGCTCACTAAGGTCTATACCTCCCATCTCACCCCTCCCAAATCCACCCGTAACTAACAAGACATACAAAATCAAAAGCCCCGTCTACGGCGTAATCTTCCTCTTCAAATACCTCCGCGACCAAACCCCGACAACCCCCGAAGCCCCCATAGATGGAACCTACGACAAAACCGCCCCGGAGAACCTCTTCTTCGCCGCACAGACAATCCAAAACGCCTGTGGCACACAGGCCATCCTCTCCGTGATCCTCAACCAAGACAGCGCCTCGTCAACGCCCTACCCTATCGACATCGGAGACGAACTCCGCTCCTTCAAGGACTTCACAACGGGGTTCCCGGCTGACCTGCGCGGCGAGGCGCTCTCGAACTCCGAGACGGTGCGGACAGCGCATAATGCGTTTGCGCGGGCGAGCCCGTTTGTTGATGAGACGGTGCGCACCGCGAGAGATGAGGAGGGCGATGTGTATCATTTTATTGGGTATACGGCGGTGAATGGGACGTTGTATGAGTTGGATGGGTTGCAGCCCTATCCGATTAGTCATGGGGAATGTGATGCGGAGGGGTTTCCTGAGAAGGTGATTGGGGTTTTGCAGAGAAGGGTTGCGAGGTATCCGGAGGGGGAGACGAGGTTTAATCTCATGGCTGTTGTGAGGGATTTGAGGGCGAGGGCGAGGGAGATTGGGGATGTAGAGATGTTGCAGAGGGAGGAGAGGAAGAGGAGGGCCTGGGATTGGGAGAATACCCTGCGCAGGTCGAATTTTGTTGGGTTTATTGGGGAGGTTTTGAAGGGAGTTGTTGGGATGAAGGAGAAGGAGGGGAAGTTTGATGAGTGGGTTCAGAAGGCGAAGGGGGAGACAGAGAGGAGATTGAGACGGTGATTCTATCTGTCTATCTTTCTCTTTCTTGTTACGCTCTTGGTGGTTCTAGACTTAATGATCTGCTTTACATGATATACTGGATGTACATGATGGTAACAGTCAGGCAATATCAATTTGGTGGTATTCATGGCATAACCCGTAATGCTGTCATAAAGCTAGTGTATGTAAGTACATCGTGAGTCATCAATAACGCCGCACTGCCGAAGTGTTGAAGACAGCTTGGTCACCAGTAATTAGTGAGTGCCCGTTTTGATGGTCAGAGGCCATATTAGTAGTCGATAATGCGAGGTTTGATGTGTTGAACCAAATCTGTGGGCAATTCCTCCTCTCGAACGAGGTTTAAGGACAACAAATCTGCCCAGAAGAACATGGCCCGGTCTTGCGCATAAGCAAGGTAATCAAACTCGTCTGTTTCCTCCACATCAGTATCCGGTGGAGGGGTTGTTGAAGGGGTCCCCTCAGACTCTGTGCCACTGGTGCCGTTGTGATGGCCATTTGCCGCGGCATCGGCTGCGATGCCCTCTTCCATTCCGGGTACCTTCGCTTGTACTATTCCCCATGCCACCCACTGCGCTGAGTTGAACACGCGCCAGAGCCGAGCCTGCTTGATTAGCGATCGGATTTCCGCTTCCGTCCGGTCTTCCTGGGCTTTCTGAACATCTACCAAACTCTGTTGATCCACATCAGGTCCCGCATCAAGGTCTAAAGGAGCGAGTGAGGTGATATTAGAAAGTTCTCCTGCTTGCATGAGCGGGGTTATAGATGGAGAGGACCGCACGCCTAAGCCAGGTCGATGTGTCAAGTAAGCACTGATAAAGCGATGTTGCTGCTCCAGGGTGGGGAAGTCTTTGTTGTTGCATGCCCAGGATCTGTCGGGGTCGTGATAATTGTAACACCATTCGGTCTATCTGGTCAGCAAGAGCGAAACGATGTCCGCAGCACGCAGGACTTACGAAATGGTTTGCGAACTCAAATCCAGGGAGATTCGCGGAAGCATACTCGAAATCAATGACAACCAGCTGCTTATGCTCATTTTCTGGCCGAAGGAGCGGCGACTCAGAACTGGGTTCCATTCGAAGAAGATTACCATATTGAGTCTGCATGGTTAGCCTTGGTGTACATAATCTCCGGGGGGAAGACAAAACTCACATCATTATGGGCAAAAATAAGTTGCCGCTCGATCTCCTGCATGCCACCATAGCCGTTTATAAGGTGGTTTCGATAGCTGTCGACGGCTTTCCTGAATGTTGGCCACGGGACACCGCAAACAAAGCCTCGGCGTCGCCAAGGTTCTACAACCGCTTTAATATCATTGTGCTTGGACTGGATTTCCTTATCCAACCAGTTGGTGACTTGTTCGCAGCGGTCCACCCATTTGTCCCAGTTCTTAAATACCATCGGACCCCCCTCCCTCTCGTTATCCAGTAATTCAATCCCCTCATGCAGCTCTCTCATGCGCTTTGCGATTTGCTTCATTGTCCCGGGATCGCGCAGTTCTTTCGGAGTCAAAGGACGGGCCTCGAAGAACTCCTCGAAGCGGCCGTTATTGAAAGTTCCCAGCACTCGGGGCCCGATGTGCTTGCGCCCCAGACGACGTAGGATCTGTAATTCGTTTTCTCGGTCGATGAGGTGATCCACCTGGGGCCCGTAAATGCGCAGGAGCAGCTTCCTAGTTGCAAGTTAAATCGAGCCTTTCCCTTAAGGTACGATGATAGTACTTACGGTGGGGGCTTCCTGGCTACGAGGCTGTAAGAGCCATCCTCTGCCCTGGGGGCAGGAATATTCTGAGGCGGCGTGACCACATACACAGCATTGGTTAGCGCACCGCTCAGTCGAACTACTCCTACATCTCCGGCGAGTTCCATCGGTAGCTTCCGCCACCCTTTGAGTTGTAGTGTGTGAGTGATACGCAGGATCTCACTCTTGAATACAAGCCAAGCCTCCCGGTCCAGGGTCCGCCTGGCATTTGCACCTTCTTCATTCTCATCATCTTCTGCACCACCCCCGCTGTACGCGAGTGTCTTGGAGTTGTCTAATGTCGCGTCAACACTGGGAGCAGCTGAGTCAACATCTAGGTAATCAGATTCGGAGGCTGAACCCCTCCGTAGGCCCTTTACATGACGCCGGCGAGTTGACCGCCGAACAGGGTAAACAGGCGCAGCGCCGTCACTGCGTGAAGCGGCGTATTGGATGAGGATCTTCTCCAGCTTGTCTAAGGCAAATACATTGTCGGTCCCATGGGAAGATGTCCTCTCCGAATTGGCGCCATCCCCATTGATAGCGTCTTCGTCATCCTCATCATCCCCATCACTACCTGAACCGTCTGGTTGTGTATGCGCTTTTACTTTGGAACCTTTCCGCTTTGATTTTTCACGTTGAAGCCATTCCAAGACTTGGTGGAAAAGGGCATTCTGCGGATCTTCTTCGCCGTTCTGCATTTCTTGTTCATCCCGTGTTCCTGACTCGGTTATGGCACTAGATTGACTGCTTAATGGCGCTGTGGGATAGAGTGGTGGGCGTGCGGTTGCCTTTTTGCTTATGGCAGGATGTTGCTTTCTGGAGTCGGGCGCAATTGCGGTATTCGCATTGCCGTTTGCGTGACGAGCCTTCTGTAATGAGGAGATGCTAAGACCGGTACCGTGAATCGGTTGAAAATCTTTTGAAGATTGATTAGAATCCATCAAAGTTCAGAAGGGCTGCGGCACGAAAGGGAAGAAAGAGAGGACGCAAGGGAGAAAGGTATTATAAGCCCCAGATTGAAAGTACAAAAGCAGGTGCTTAAGCCCTAGGGGAGATTGTTGAGTCGCAGTGGGCATGAGATCATCTGATCCGAGAGCAGAACCTCGGGAAAATTTACTACTACAATCGGATGGTGGAAAAGGAACGGTAACCACAAAGTTAAAAAACCTTCTGCCTACCTTCAATGTCAGGACCAGAGTCCCCGTTGTGGTCGGTGAAGGAAGGCATATCCACGGACACGCGACAGTTCGAGCCAACAGATTGGACCCTGAGACAGAGAGCAGTCCAAGCTTCACACCCAGAGAGGGGAAGCTGGTCACACTTCGGCTATATATGTATGGTTCCCTGGAGTGGCCCACGGGGTACACTCGGGCCAGTCAAGGTCACGAGAGATAGAAATGCGAAGAAAGACTGGGTAACTTGCGGATTCGACAACGTGGACGGAGAGCGAAGGAGGACCCCTAAAAAGATTGTGGATTAGTTCGCCAAGTGGGGTCCCCGAGAGGATGAACCAACGCTCGGCGATTCTGTCTCAACAGTTTCCACTTGCGATAAGAATAAAAACCGAGATGGCGGTGTTGTCGGTGAAACAACGGGTTGCTTTACCAAAAGATGGTCGATGCGAAGGAGGAGGAAATAGAAGATGCAATGACGACGCAGGCTAAGAATGAGTGGCGAAAAAAGAAAGATTAAAAAAGAAACGAAAAAAAAGGCTTATCAAGTGGAAGAATGAGAAAAGGGAACGGGACATGTGCTGCACTGCTGCGGACGGACTAGTGCCTCAGGTGACAATGTCCCACCGCATTTTCTCAGGCAGGAAAACCACGTCTTAAGAGCAGACCCTCAATCGCCAGCATAAGTACCATATACCATGTCCATAAGTATATGTTATGATGTTATTAATATTGTGTCCCAAGGGGGGCAAACACCAAAACATGGTGTCGAAAAGGGTCGTCATGTTTGCTTGTCTCCCAGGCCAAGGAGTCTGTGATTAAGCTTAAGCCCTAAGAGCAATAAGGTAGCAGCCAGTCGGCGATAACCGTACTCTAGACTGAACGAGATAAGCCGACCGGGTAGTAGTATATCTGGGAGTTTGTCGCATAGGGTCCCCACTGCTTGGAAGTATGGTTTCAGGTACGATGCAGCAGTCGCATGAGAAGAGAAAAGCTATGTAGTGGTGTAAAGTAATATCAACACAGATCAGCCATTAGCAAATACTTCTATCGCCGTCATGGCCATCATCGTACACGATGCCTGGCTACCTATCAAGAACCATACTGTGCCATTCCCCATACTGTCACCAGCAATACATACGGAGAATTGTCGCATAGGGAGAACAATTAATCATGCCCTATTGACCGGAGGTTGTAAGGGCACTGCTTCGTCCGGAGTCATCCTTGGCGCATCGATGCGTGGTTCTAGTAGAAGAAAAGGTTTGGAATGAGGTTGGAAGAAAGAGGGGAAGGGCCCCGACTTCTTAAAGGAGGGGGAATGGTCACTGACCGGGCCGCCTGAGGCACGTTTGCCTTGCAGAATGCCAAGAACGCCAATCAGAAACGACGCCATTCGTCTTCAAGTGTATAATGCAGTTAATTTAGTTATATTTGGATGGCGTCCAAATTCTAAACATCACACAATCATGCGCATTCCCACGCACGTGCTGAAGGTCGATATGTGTGGAGCTTCCAGCGGTTACGGACATATGCCAAGTACGTACTATTTACTGTATACAAACACTAAGCTTCATCACTAATTAATACCTTCGCTATCTCTGATACTATATATCACGCTGGGATCTGTCGCCGCCCCTCGCCGTCCTAACAGAGCCTAATGATAGCTTACACTCCAAACCTTGTAGCTCCCCTCAGATGCTTCGCGTCTCTGCAGAGCCAATGCTCCTTTGCTGTCTATCTCGATGGGCGTCGAGTCAGCATACTGCAATGTATACCCCTGGCCATTCCCAGCAAAAGTAATTTTCACGTCCGCCGCCTGGCTACCCTGTTCGCTAGACAATAGTGTGCCTTTTGGTCCGAGCCATTTACCGTCCAGGGCACTGGAGATGTGAAACACCCCGCTCTGTTCACCACCAGAGTAATGAATCACCCACCGTTGTTTCTTATCCCTGTAGCCCGAGCCTGTGGGGCTGCTACTAATTCGGGTGGCATTGCCCACATTAGTGAGCGCATAGCCAGATTTCTCAAAGACCAAGTAGCGACCTTCCGTTAAGTAACCTACTACCTCTTTGTACCCCTCCTCGAACCACAAGGCATCGGTGACGTTGCTTTGCTGGCCATATGGTACTGGTGGTCTCTGGGTTGGGTGACTAGCTTGGCAGTTGGACGAACCCACGTACTTACCCAGGAGCGTGGCTGGCTCCTCTGCGTCCGGCAAAGTGGGCAGGCTGGTATCAGGCTGACAGAAAAAGCGTTAGACCGTATCGTGTTAACATAAAATGGGAGCTCTCTCTACAAACATACGTGGTCCATGTCCAACGCGCTCACGAGGTCTGACATGTGTTCTCGGCGCCACTGCACCATTTCCGGTGTTTCAACGTTTTCATATCCTTTGGCCTTTAACCATTGCTCAATCAAAAGAATCTGTGAGTTATGATCCGCGTGCTCTGTGAAGACGCGGCCGCCCCGTGTCCAGGGAGATATCATATAGAATGGAACTCTCAAGCCTATGAGCCACCTAGTATCAGCATGGTAGTCATATCTTTGCCAGAACTGCAGAACTCACCTGGTCCAACATAAATCTTTCCGAACTTCCCGTAGGGTCTGTCATCCAGTCACCTGGAGTATCCTCAGGGGAGTGGAAAGGGACAACGTGGTCCCCAAAACCACCCGTTTCTAACAGACATCAGCCAAAGTGTGAACCAACCCATGCAATCTCGGACATTCTTACCATCATAGCTAATGATTAACAGAGTTGACGAGTACTTAGGGCTTTTTGTCACGGCATCCACCACCTTTTTCTGAAGCCATGCACCGTCCTTTGGCATGTAGGGTGGATGTTCTGATAATTCGGCTGGACCGACGATGAAGCTGACCTCCGGGAGACTTCCATTAGCAGCGGCCTTGTAAAATGCGTCGAGACCCAGGTACGACAGGCCCTTCTTGGCTAGAGGGGATGATGTAGATGCATTCTGGTACTGTTGGAACCAAGCCAAAGGGTTGTCATCAAAGTTATTCTTCTCCTGGTACACCTGCCACGAGACCCCGGCCTCTTCGTAAATCTCAAAGATAGTTTTCCATTTAAGAGGATAGCAGTTGATGTTGTCCGTATCGCACCCAGGCGTTTCGTTGTTGTCTATATAAGGGCCTCCTTGGTCCGACGTCTGGGGGCTTCCCGGGATATTCACAGAGCCGCTCACCAAGGTGACGCGATTGGGGTTAGTAGATGTGATCTGGGACTCTTGGTACATATCTCCAGCAGTCCAGCCTTCCGCAATAGCAAATTGGACCGGGATATCATTTCGCTTAAGGTAACCCCAGCTCCAGGGGGTGTTGTTCCGCGCCCAGTTGTTGTTCAAGTCGTGGTTGAGGGATGCTTGGTTGTCCTCATAGCCGTTGCTTCCTGCTACCATACATTGAATGGCATCATTCCAGTCTCCGCCTTTGTATCCCAGATACCACGGGAGAAGGGTCTTTGCATCTTCGGACATTGAGGGGTCCACCTTTCTATGAAACGTAACAGTGAGTTAGCCATAATTTGTAGCTTGAATTACTCATGAGTTCGCAAAACTGACTGATGCCAGACGGATAAGCCATCATCATTCACTTGTATATTGGGATCATTGAACCCTCGAACGCCTGCCATCGTTCCAAAGTACTGCAATTCAGGAAATCAGTCAATAGTCCAGTGGGTGCACATTTCAGAGCCTCGACAGCACATACATTATTCCAGCTTCGATTCTCTTGCATGAAGATAACCACATGGTCAATATCTTTCAAGGAACCAGCATGAGCAGGCCTGCTCCCAAGGAGCATGGCCAAGGTCACACCAAAGAGTATCGACATGATGGTGTGCTATCTTGAACTCGAGCAGGGAGGCGTCGACTCAACAGGATCATGGTAATGGCCGACAGATATACCTCTGAAGGTTACATACGCACCTGTCGGCTCCTGCCGATGCAACAAACCCTTGCAGCATTAGTCAAGGAAACAATCAGAGGAAACGTGATGCACATTGTAGATCGGATTTGACGAGCCATTGAGATGCCGCATAATCGCCATTGGTAAGTTTCATGATGGCGGAAATTATAAGCCAACCAATATCCAAGCTTTTTGACTAGACCGTGGCACAGTTGCAATGGGAATGCAGGATGATGCGGAGTTGTTGTTTAGTACTCGTTGGCCTCCTCGGTTAGAACATTGAGATAGGCACGTGTTGCATTCGGTTGGATGATTGAACATCAACCAATGGAGTACGGATGGGGCCACCCGCGAGATATGTCAAGACAATTTAATTTACCGCGAGGTTTAGTGCCTGACGATCTATTTCCTTGACCCCCAACACTTTCCGAGTAATCCGTCAATTGACAAGCAATACAGATCTAACGAATGCTGGGCCGAGAACCAAATAATGCTACTAATTGACCAAATGCTAAAGGACTATTATGCCCCAAGTTAGAGTATCAGCATGGCTACTACTAGTAAATATCTCATGCATTTGAATCGAACAGTTGGGACAGTAACTGAGATCACGGGGAAGATAGGCCGAAAATGAACTTCTGGAGAAATAATGATGAAGAATACATTACCCACCGGGGTCATCGGCAGCTGTTGCCAATTTCTCTAAATCAAACATCCGAAACTTGGACCTTCTTGTTTCTATTAATTTCTTGGTGTGTCACGATTTGTACTACAGGCATACTCCGCACAGAATATATGAGCGATCTACATGTCCCATGTAACGTTCCCTTCACTTTCCCCACTATTAGAAGCGAACCATGCAATATAATGTGCTGACCATTTAAGAAAACGCTATTCGGAAGCCAAGTGACCCTGATGAAAAAGTACTAAGCAGACAATGGAGAGAAAGCCTAGTCGCCAGAAATCGAGAAACCTGAAGATCACAGAACGGAATGAATCGGACCCTCAAAATACATCTGCCAGAAGAACAACAAGATATTGGCCTTGCAGTATTGTGATTTGTCCACTGATTTTATGCATCCTTACTGCATTGCTATTCCTCCAACAGTTCACCACCCTAGATCCATTGCGCTTCGTATTATCCTCCCCTAAAATCCACCATGGCGAAACGGTACACTCCCAAGTGCACAACCCTGACTTAGCTCGCCCGAGCATAGAGCTTCATCCAGAGGACCACGTCTATCGGGAGCCAGTGACACAACACCTTGACTGGGTGGTCACTGCTGATTACCTTCGACCAGATGGGGTGTTGAAGCAGGTTTATCTTGTCAACGGTAAGATCTTGGTTTTATTGAAAATTCAGCCGAAGTAGAGTACGTGCGCTAATTACAGTACGAAGATAGGTATCTTCCCGGGTCCGACTATTGAGGCCCGTGCTGGCGATACCCTTATAATCAATGTCGTAAATGCACTAAAAGAGGAACCAGTCTCTATCCACTGGCATGGAATTCACGTTCATAGTAAGTTATCGTTCTCAATATATGCCCAGGAGGATCATGAGACTGACGTTATAGATACAATGGATGGTGTTCCCGGAGTGACACAAAATGTCATCTCACCTGGATCTACCTTCATGTACAGCCTGACTATTCCCCATGACCAAAGTGGCACCTTTTGGTACCATGGTCATACCGGAACCTCGAGGGCTGATGGCCTATACGGCGGCTTTGTTGTACACGCGCCTTCTTCCCGGCCTACTGTTCGCGGACTCATGGCCCGTGACAGCGCCGAGTCCCTGCAGTACAGCTACGAAAGAGAGTTTCTACTCCTGATCGGGGATTGGTACCATCAGCCTGGTGATCAGGTCTTGGCCTGGTACATGAGCATCGCATCTTTCGGAAATGAGGTATGTTCCCAGTACTCATTCTATCATGCAAATCAGCACTAATGCAGTGTAGCCAGTGCCTGACTCATTGTTAATCAACGGAGCGGGCAGCTTCGACTGCTCTATGGCTGTACCTGCTCGACCTCTAGATTGTGTTGAACAACAGAGCAACCTCTCCTACCTATCAGACATAGACACAGCCTATAGATTGCGTGTGGTCAACACCGGGTACCACCACCACCATCATACTTCAAAGTAACCAAAAACTAACATGCCCACAGTTCCTTAGCAGGATTCACCCTATCATTCGAAAATCAACCCCTCACCCTGATCCAAGTAGACAGCACAAGCGTCGAACCCCAAGAAGCCCCATCAGCAGGAATCCTCTACCCAGGCCAACGCATGGATGTTATCCTCCAACCCTCAAAGGAAGGCCTTACATCCCTAACAATTTACCTAGACCAAGAGTACGTCCACCGCCCCGAATCTCAAACCAATCCAATCCTAACAACATAAAAAACCAGCTGCTTCAACTACCCAAACATAGCCCTGACCCCAACCCAAACATTCCCCATAACACCCTCCCACTCCCCATTACCCCCCCAATCGCTCCCAGAAAACACACTAGACCTCCAAAACACACCCTCGAAAGCCTCTATCCTTTCGATTATCCCCGAAACCCCACCCAAACGCAGGTAATCTACACCAAAATCCAAAAACTAAGCATAAACCATAACATCCCGAACGGCTTCTTCAACCGCACCTCATGGCGTCCGCAACCCGGTACCTCACTAAACACCCTCCCGCGTGAGAAATGGGACGATAACCAGTTCTCGTTCGCCGTACTTGATTCCGAATGGGTTGATGTGGTGGTGAATAATCTAGATGAAGGGGGACATCCGTTCCATTTGGTGAGTTCCTCTCTTTACCCTCCATTTTTGTTACTAAGTATACTGATTAGACGTCTTAGCACGGCCATCACTTTTATATCCTTAGGGTTTATGAGGCGCCTATAGGATGGGGCTCGTACAATCCTTTTGTGGATTCGGATCCGCCGGGGTTGGAGTACGAGTCGGGGTATGATCTCTCTCGTGCAATGCTTCGGGATACGGTGTATATTCCCAGTCGGGGGTATGCGGTTTTGCGGTTCCGGGCGGATAATCCGGGGGTGTGGTTGTTTCACTGTCATATCGTTTGGCATTTGGCAAGTGGGATGGCGATGTTAATTGATGTCGGGGAGGATAAAAGCTACTAGTAGTTGAAGATGTATGATATGAGGTGAATTCTTCTGGTAGACTACATGTCATGGTTGGTAATGTTGTTTTGTAGATGGTTCAATTTAGGAGTTAAACGTGAAAATGCTTGTAAACGTGCAATGTAAGACGATGCTATTAGGAATGCTCCCTGCAACCGATATGCCCGTCCCGAGGTATCCTACCCACCCATTTGAAACTGATTTCACCAATCTAGTAAAGCAAGATAAAGTCGCCAATAATACATGGTAAGAAAACAAAAAGCATTTTGAACGCCAGCCACCTGGTCGTAAAACAATTAAAGTCAATCTTGTAGCGCAGAGATAAGCTTAGGCCGAGGCGGAAGCCCACTCCACCACTTCCATAGCACACATAACAAGAATTAGAGTAGAAGGAAGAATCCTGCAGATATCAGTACATATTCATTTTGTTAGTCTTGAAGGTGACGTACCAAACAACGTAACTCTGGAACAACAATTTGGACATAGCGCCCACATATACGTTATTGATTTGGCAAATCTGAGCCAACTGAAGCGCGGACGGGGCGCCAGTGAGAAGGAAACAGACGATGACGAAGATCGGATCATCCAAAATGCTGATAGGGACGTATTTTGCCAGGAGGGCCAGCATTGGAGCCATGATCAGGGTCGGAAGAAGCATGCGCGCTACCAGAGACGCAATGATCAGCTTCTTCTCCTCCTTCGGGTGTTCCATATCCTGCTGTGCGTCTTCAGGTAAAGTATTGCGCTCCAGATTGGCGCCAAGGACCACAAGAATCAATGGCACGGCAACCTGACCATTTTGTTGGATTGCCCTCGTCACGGAATTCTGCACAAAGGTGCCCTCGTCGAAGAACACGCGCTGGAGCGATGGCACGGATGCCACGATGATAGACACAAGCATTGCCCAAAGTGGAGGGTTCATGAATTGCCAGAGGCCGCGGAAGAATCTCCGGGTCCCATTCACAATGCCCGATAGTACTCTCTGAAGGAATGTCGGCAGGCGCTGGAACAAGGCTCCTGACCGTCTTTCCCAAGTATTTGTTACGCGACCACCAAAACGACTGACGGAGGTTCTAACGCGGGAGCCGAGCCCGGCTTTCCCGGGATCGCCCCCTGAGGCTTCAACGCTAGGGAAGCATAAAATATCACCCTCGGTGCTTTGCCGGGGTAGGAATGGCTCCTGTGGAGGAGGACCAAGTAGGCCAGGGTGGTCGGTATCCTGCGAAGACAGCTTTGTGTACGAGTAGGCGCGTACCAACACTGGTGTCTGCTCCCCGGAGCGGAATACCTCAGACTCGTCATTTGAGTCAGTCGGGGAACCATCAGAAGATGCAGTTCTGATCAAAGGCTCATCGGGATCCGCTTGTTCTGGGTTATCGCTGTATCGTTCCTGGCTTTGTTCGATACCCGTTGTACCCTGCTCCCTTTCTCCCTCCTCAAGATACCGCTCTCGGGGGGCAAGAAGAACGTGGTAACCCCAGCTCCAGCGTACGAGCTGGCCAAGCTGCTGGAAAATGAGCAGGTACAGAATTCCCCGCGCCGCCACTTCATCGTCATTGTCATTGGGGACCCTATCCCAATGGAGGCCTTTCAAGGTCTGTGAGAGCGACATGACTAGGGAAATCGGAAGCGAATTTGAGTTTCCAAAGACCTAGTAGTAAATAAAGGTTAGCAAAATGATGGCGTATACCACTCGCGTTCAACATTGATCAACGTACCGCCATGGCTGTCACAAAATTGGCCGACCGTTTCTTGAAGCCACAACATTTTGATACGGTGAGTGCGCAGACATAAGAGACCAAGGTTTGGACAACAAAGATCACCGGAATAATGGCTAGATCAATAAGCTTTTCTGCGGTGAGTTGGGATCCCAGTTTCGTGAAGACTACAATCCAGCAACATTAGTTAGAGCCTGGTTAAGCACAAGGACCATACACATACTGAGACACGGGGTGAATAGATTGACGTTGAGGTTGGCGACCAACTTCTGGGCGTCCGCATCGAACAGGCCTTGTCTGGCGGCGATGTAACCAGGCAAGCTGACACAAATAACTTCTAGGACCGCTTCGAAGACTAGAAGAATCAAGTGCGAGAAGGACGGATGACTTGAATGGGGAGCAACATATCCGAGAATGGACGGCGAGACACCTATCTGGTGCTGGGTCAAAAGCTGACGAGGAACGAGCGATTGAGCATTCCGAAACGATGTGGGAGCAGTAAAAATGGCCATCGAACGGGGGGGAACAATACGTGTTAACTGGGGTGTTGAATGTAAGCGGAGAAGTTTTCGTGATGAGTCCGGAGTGACGTACTAGATACGGAAGGTTCGGTCGTTGGCCCAGTGAGTAGTTTAAATTTTTAAGGTTGCAGCTCTAGGCTAAGGGAGAACTTGGAAGGCGGAAGCTCAGGGGCGAAAATCGAGGAACCAGCTTCGTCGAGAGGCCAGTGGAGGAAATCAGCTCGAGAAGAGTCGAACAGCCCGAAAGAAGATTGAAGCGACTAAAATAGAATACTACTGAATGAGGAGAGATGTCTGTGCCTGGGCGTGGCAATGTTTGCAATCTGGGGGATCCGTTTTCTTGCAACATTTGGTGATTCCACCCGGAATAAGCATGGTGACAACGATGTCCCATTCACTGTTCTAATTGGGCGATAACGGGACGATCGAACGCCATCGCAAAGCACGCCAAGACCACTAGAGTATTTCATGATACTACGAGTACTAGTAGTATCGTCATCGTCCTGGTTTCTGTCATCGCGGATTAAGATCGGAACCGGTGCCTTTGCGTCAAAGACACTGATCAAGTTTTGTCAAGCTTACAAGGTCCCTGAAGGTATTTGGCCTGTTGCTACAACAGGGTGTGGCACATCTGTAGACTGCGGCACAAGGTACTAGTACTACTAGTACTCAATAGGAGAGCAACAGTGTCTCGGCACCAAGACCTCCAAGAAACCACAGCCACGATCTGACTCCAAAATGAGGTCTGTCGCCTAGAGAGATTGTTTCATTGCCAGCTCTCCTTGCGTCAGCCACTCTGGAAATTCCTTACCTAGATGTCACCATCGTTGCTCATTGACTGATAACGAGAGTGGTGTCACGCAATAAAAGAAACGTCGCCTCATCTTCGACATTATACTGCGCAGAATACGATGTATCCGTACTCATTTTTGTCCCTTTGAACCTCCATGTTTGCGAGTCCACAGTTACAGTACATGGGGTTGGTAGGACTGTGTACGGAATCTCGCACCCGTTCTCGGCAATTCTCGAAGCCGAAATTCACTAGGGGAACCGATTAATCCAACGATGAACATTCAACCCCTATGAAATGAGGTGATGTATCCTTCCTCCACCCCCGCCAGTTAGCAATTGGCTTGTTGGCTTATCGCACGCCTTGTGCCATGGTTCCCCCAATTAGCCTTCTGGGAATTTTCCAAAGTGGCAGCTAGTAGTCAGATAAGCAGCTGGAAGTCAACTACAGCTTCTGAAACATTTGCTCTCCGCCAATCATCCCCAGATTACCACAAATGACACCATTCAACGTAGTTGCTCCGCCTCAATGACGCCACAGTGGGCACATCAAAGCCCGGGGATCGTCGTCAACAAATATCGTACTTTTGCTGGCCAAGAGAAATGTTTATTTGGCGCACTGCAGTAGCTTACTGGATGCTTGACTGACTTAAGATTGTGGAATCAACTGGGGTCGTTGGCAATATCAGACTTATCAGTCAACACATTAGGGCTTAGCTTCGATTTGACCCGAATAGCGCAATTTGCCCGACAGAAGCGGTCTCAACCACGGACGGATATCATTCCCTCTCGCCTCCGTAGGACTACCCATGGGTCTTGACAGGCGACAAACCCAGAGTACCATACATTACCATCTATCATAGGTCGCAGCGCTTGTGGTCTGATCATTTTCGCCGTCGAAAGAAGCCTCGGGAATAGTCTAAGCTTGTGGAAACCCCCCCCCCTTTAGCTCGGAGAAATTACCAAAGTCTCTCAAGAGACCATCATACTCAAAGAAATTCGCCGAATAGACTCTCGGCCATTGCGGGGATTTCGCGGCGGATGGTCGTTTAGTGACACGGATATGGAGATAGTAGTCGGGAGTACGGCGTTTAACACTCCGACATCGATGAGCCAATTTTGCGAGCGCTGCTGTGCTGGTACATTGGCCAATGGTCTACTTCAATGTACAGCGCATTATTTCCTTTACGGAGAACGCTTAGAGATGTACTAAGTGTAAGTGATATTGTTTGCCCATGTAATGAGTCAAATTAGGCTGTCGTTCTCTACGGATAGTAACTGTCAGTCATTAGTGCTGCTGTTTGACAGTTCCCATCTATTCCAGGTAATGTGGTCGTAGACCTGGAAAGGAGTATGACAACCAACATGGATCACTCGACATGTGGAAGAGGCAATCTTGGGCAGGAATCGAAGGCGACGTAGAATTGATGATCTCATTGCAAAGGATAACTATCTGTTTGCAGGATGAAAAAGGGTATGCTGTTAGTAGTATAATGTGCTGTGTAGGATGCCTTATTATTATGTACATCTGTACTAGTACATATATGCATACACAGTATTCATACATATAGAGTGGGTTAACCAGAAAACGTTGAAACCCACAACCTTAAATCATTGAAATGTATCAAATCCCATTGGGTTGATGGCGGCCCGTCCAATTACAATTGGGCGGTCCGCATGTACCTGAGTGACCACAACATGCCAGAACAGTAGGTGGTGTCGACTAAGCACTACTACTAGTAGCAGAGGGGACCGGTATGCGATGTGATGTACAGAGTAGATCATCAATATAAGAGTGGAATCAATGACCTCAATCTCGGCAGAGAGCGTTGGCAACGGTGTGGGGGCTTGGAAAGAAAAGTCCTACTTTTGGGATTTGTTGGGCAAATCTCATCGGTTACACAAGGGATGTGATCGGAAATATTGTGGTATTTTTTTGTTCGAAACGCTGCCCAACTTCGCCACATAGCTTGTTCACCGAGATTATTATATTAATTATTATGTGTATTGACGACGGGAATGTTGAATCTCGTTCCGTATCAGCTGATGGCCGCCCTTCTCTATCGTTTCCGCCTTGTATCAAGATTGCGTAAAATGAAGTTCTGACCTGCCCGAAATACTCTGCAACATCCACTTGGCGAACTATCGGGCGTGCGAAGTGGCAAAATTAATTTATTTTCTCATGATCAGGCCGACATAAAGTTGCTTGCCACAAGTTGAACCCGTGGAAGTTTTGCGTTCTTAGTGCGTGCGTCCGTTTAAAAATTTACTACAATGGCATGTCCGCCGATCATTGGCAGAATAAAAAGACCCTAGTAAGGATAGCTGAGGTAGTACGTACCTGAACTGGGGAAGGTAACAAAATAAAGAAAGGAAAGGAATAAAAGGATTCTCTTCGCCTACGGTAAAAAGCGTAATCATACTACTAGAATACTAGTAGTCACTATATATTGCCTGTGTCCATTGGCTGGACTACGACCCTTAGCAGCAAACAAAAGCAGGGAACCTGGACGAGTGTGGGAAACTACTCTGTACGCTTATACGGTTGTTGGTCAGCTACCATTTTCTTTTCTTTTCTTTTCTGTTGTTTTTTTTATTTTTATATATTTCTTTTTTATTTTTATTTTTATTTTTTTTTATGTTCATCCCCTTGATGTTCGCTGCCAAAACCAAATAGATATTCGCCTCTTACTTCCCCATCTGTCTACCATTCGAACTTCTCCGTATTCTTGCTCCCCACTCTCTAGTCTAGTCTCTATTTTCCACTCCTCGCGCCCATTCTTGATTTATGCCCTCTATCTTTCTCATATTATTTTTGTTGCTGACAAGCTAAGCAGGGTTGGCAGCCCCAATTTTTTTTCTCCTTTTTCCTTTTCTTCCTTTTCTTTTTCGAACCGTTAGGTGTTGTGCTTCAGTATACTCGAGTTCGTTATCTATCCTTCCTCCTCCGGGAATGGCTTGAATCGTGCCCCGCGTTGAGAACAAACCTTCATCTCCAGCCGTCCAGCGAAACGTTTCTGCCTTTCCACTATCGAATCACCTTTTCCTCCTCGGGATCGGGCTATCCACGGCAAAGACGCACTGAACTCTGCTACCTCACGCATTCCGACCGTTACGATATTTTGTCACGTCCTTTCATGACTGACCTTGCGTGGATTTGCGACCTCACCTGAAGCCATTGGGGACGGCACTTTGAGCATTGCGCCCTGATTGCAATTACCGATTTTCTCGTACGCTAATCCATCACAATGGCATCCGAAATCGACCCTGTAGCGGGGGTTTCACCTTCGAGGGACTTAGACAACACGTCCGATACCACCGACGATGACCTCTCCCCTTCCGTGACCACTCCCCCCGCGTCAGTGCCCTCTTTACGCCCGACCGATAAAATTCCCGGCATTACCGCATCGTCAACACACCTGGGCCAAATTAGTGCGGCTCGAAGAGGTGCGGGAACACCTCAGCGTCCGCAGGCCTCCATGAGTGGTGCGTCTCAAGGGGGCTTAAACCAGGATATTTTGGCGAAAATGAAGGCTTTCTCTCTTTCTCGACAAGGCGCACCCCCAACCCTGCCCCATGCGGCTTCGACCGGAACCGTACCCAAAACTCCCCGCCCAGGTGTGTCCCCAGCCGGTTTGTCGAGCCCAGGGGGACAGTCTCCCCCAGTTGTTAATGGTCCTTTGGCGGGAGCTCTCGCCGGTCGACTTCCCCCGGTTGCTCGCCCGAATACCAAAAACTGGATATCGTCTCCATCGATACCCGGCGCATCACCAAGTCCTAATACCGCGAAGCCGGGTGGTCTTGCTGCGAAACGGATGAAGCCTGGGCTCAAGCTATCCGATGCCACCGGCACCAATGGCACTGCTGGAACTCAGTCTCCTGCCAATGGGACTGAAGGAACCGGTGAGACTGCGTTTAGTAAATATTCCGAGTTCATTGACACTAAATCGGGGACGCTGAACTTCAAAAACAAAGCAATTCTGCATGGCGGCGGAATTGAGTTCTCATCTGGGCACAAGTTCAGCATTTCGCTGGACGAAGTTGATCGTCTTGATGAATTGGGAAAGGGCAACTATGGAACAGTATACAAGGTTCGACATAGTCGGCCGCATATGCGAAAACCCGGTATGGGTTTGAGAGGGATTGTCAGTCGTCCGACAGGGCCCGAAGCGTCTGCATCCGACGGGGTCAAGGATAATCTTACTGGAGTCATCATGGCAATGAAAGAGATCCGCTTGGAGCTGGATGAAACCAAGTTTGCTCAAATTATCATGGAGTTGGAAATTCTTCATCGTTGTGTCTCGCCCTTCATCATCGATTTCTACGGCGCCTTCTTCCAGGAGGGAGCAGTCTACATCTGTGTTGAGTATATGGACGGTGGGTCGATTGACAAGATCTACAAGGATGGCGTCCCGGAGAATATTCTCCGTAAAATAGCCTTATCTACTGTCATGGGACTGAAAACACTCAAAGACGATCACAACATCATTCATCGCGACGTTAAACCCACGAATATTCTCATCAACTCGCGAGGGCAGATCAAGATATGTGATTTTGGAGTCAGTGGAAATCTCGTTGCCAGTATTGCCAAGACAAACATTGGCTGTCAGAGCTATATGGCTCCAGAGCGAATCGCTGGCGGTGGTGTCCAGCAATCCGGAACAAGCGGTGGCGGGACCTATAGTGTTCAAAGTGACATCTGGAGTTTAGGATTGACCATCATTGAATGTGCCATTGGCCGATATCCATACCCCCCTGAGACCTTTAACAATATCTTCAGTCAACTGCACGTGAGTATATGCTTTACTGTTTCGTCCTTGTCCCTTTAAGGTACTCCGAATGTTAACTCTTTTCGGGCAGGCTATTGTTCACGGGGAACCGCCAACACTTCCGGACTCCGGATATTCTGACGAAGCGCATTCCTTTGTCCGTGCTTGTCTAGACAAAAATCCCAAGAATCGTCCTTCGTACAGTATGTTACTCCGACACCCCTGGATTGCGCCCCTTATGCGCCCACCAGAGGAGTCGAATGGTGATGATACGGCTGGAGTTACCCATTCCTCTGTCACTGAAGATAAGGAGGTCGCGGACTGGGTTAAAGAGATGTTGGAGCGTCGCAAAAATGGCCTCCTGAATGATTCCAATAAGCCAGCACTACATACGGTCGCCTTGGATGCTGTTCCGGGCAGTCCTCTTCTTGATGATCCTTCATCAATTTCCGTACAGCCTTGATGGATCACGGAAGTTCGGCTTAGAATTCCCCCCCTTTGGCATATGCATGCATGTATCCCCCGCTGCCTTGAGTTCCGGGTTAACGGGCGGATGGGAAGTGCACACAAAGCTGAAGACTTACTGGCGCAGGCGCCTCTTGCCGAAAGCTCTCCGGTGTAAGGGCCATGCGCGACGACATGGGTCCTATATTTGCTTCGGTTTTGTCTTTGCGGTAGCTTGCAGCATGTATGAACGAACTTACTCTTTCTGGTGATGTCGTCATAGTATCTTGGAATTTCTCATGTATTATGAATTAAGACGTGATTTAACGCCATGACTTTTATTATAACGACCATGTAGGAGCAATCCTCCACCAGTGCTAGTTATCTGACTCGGATGTTATGTAATTGGCATTGTACAACAAGGAAACGGTTGTTTTGGTCCTTTTTAAATAAACAAATGAGATAGTTAAAATAAATAAAATTAATTGATAGCTAATTCGAACAGGCTGCTTAGCAATCAGCTGAATCACGTGTAGCTTCGTCCGGCCTCCAGGAAAGATGATGAAATCCCGATCTCGGCCTTTGGAGATTGTTTATTCGGCGATTGGAGAGAAATTTTTTGATCTTTGACTTTCTTCCGTAGTAAATTTCGACTGGAGCGCAATTGGGTGCAGATTGCTATTCTACTAGTTATATCTTACTAATTGGTAGGTACCGCTGTGATTCGACGTCATGCACAATCGAATCCGTCACTGACCGAAGGAAGCTTTTCGCGGCCGGATTCCCCGCCAGACATAATTATTACTACTGCAGTTCCTCCACCCCTCCTCCGCTTACTCTTCCAAACATAAAGCCTCCATGCTGCCCCGCTCTTCCTCCCGTTCCTTTCCAGTTCAGGCTTTCAAGAACCGGCTTCTTCGACCTGTATCGTCCCCTTCGGTTGCATCCCAGGTATTTGGAAGAAAAGCTATTTCTACAGCTGCAAACCGGTGTGCTATTAGCGGAACTCCAACAAGAGCCGCTCTGGATTCTTTCTCGGCCTCCATTCCTTCAACTGCCGTTGGCACCCGTCTCGCCTTACTCAACCGACACTTCACGTCGACTTCCCCGGCGCGCGACTCGAACAAGATGCCTCCCGTCGAGCCCCAGCAGTATGACTATATCGTTCTCGGAGGCGGTAGTGGTGGTAGCGGCAGTGGACGCAGAGCGGCCGGTTGGTATGGCGCAAAGACATTGATTGTGGAAAGTGGACGCTCGGGTGGAACTTGTGTCAATGTCGGGTAGGTTTTTTGTCCATATCGCTATATCGGTGGCTTAAATGGGAATGTCTGACCGCGGTGTGCAGTTGTGTCCCGAAGAAGATGACCTGGAACTTTGCAACTGTCAACGAGACGCTTCATATTGCCGAGCACTACGGATATACCATTCCTAAGGATGTCAAGATCAACTACCGTCATTTCAAGGAGCTCCGGGACGCCACAGTCAAGCGGTTGAATGGTGCTTATGAACGGAACTGGGGGCGCGAGGGGATCGATCTCGTACACGGAAGAGCCCGCTTCGTTGAGCCTAAGGTCATTGAGGTTACCAACAATGATGGCACCAAGCACGGTATACCGCGCCCCGCATCCTGATCGCCACCGGTGGACGTCCCAAGCTCCCGAATGTCAAGGGAGCTGAGCACGGAATTACCAGCGATGGATTTTTCGAGATCGAGGAACTGCCCCCTAAGATCGCTGTTGTCGGTGCCGGATACATTGCTGTCGAGCTGGCGGGTGTTTTGGGAGCCGTTGGCGTTGACACCCACATGTTCATCCGTGGCGAGACCTTCCTTCGCAAGTTCGACCCGATGATCCAGAAGACCATGACTGAGCGGTACGAGGCTGCGGGCATCACTATCCACAAGGGCCACCCGGGCCTCAAGGAGGTGCAGCTTGTGCGGGACGGAAAGGGGAAGGACAAGCTTCTCAAGCTGATCTCAAACGATGGCTCGGAGATGGAGGTCAATGAGCTGCTGTGGGCTATCGGCCGTGCGCCCGAGGTTGAGGACCTGCAACTCGACATCCCAGGCGTCAAGTTGAACGACGCTGGATTTGTTCACGTCGATGAGTACCAGAACTCGAGCGTTGATGGTATCTACGCTCTGGGTGACGTGACTGGACACGCCGAGCTGACTCCTGGTATGTTTGCAACCTGCCCTTTAACTTGACTGCGTAGGACTAATGGCTGATGAAAACAGTTGCCATTGCCGCTGGTCGCCAACTTGGCAACCGTCTGTTCGGACCACCCGAGCTCAAGGACTCCAAGATTTCTTATGACAATATTCCAACCGTTGTATTTTCCCACCCCGAAGTCGGTACCGTCGGTCTCACTGAGCCCGAGGCTCGTAAACGCTACGGTGACGACCAGATCAAGATCTACTACACCAAGTTCACCGCGATGTACTACGACGTTGTGCCGGCAGAGGAGAAGAAGAAGAACCCGACTGAGTTCAAGCTTATCTGCGCTGGGCCGGAAGAGAAGGTGGTCGGTCTGCACATTCTCGGACTCGGCGTTGGAGAGATGCTGCAAGGATTCGGTGTGGCCGTCAAGATGGGCGCCACTAAGCGCGATTTCGACAGCTGCGTTGCGATCCACCCTACCAGTGCCGAGGAGCTGGTGACTCTGCGGTAGAGTGTCCTGTAGATGCGTAGATAGACGGGTAGAGCTGTATAGGATGCATTATGATCTAGATTCAAAAGAAAACGTTTCCTAGATTAAGGACTTCCAGTTTTGTTGAGCCTATTAGCCAACATCTTCGGGCCGAGAACTATAGCATTATTTTGGATGTTACAGTAATACATCTCATTAAGTAGCAGTCAAAAAGAACACTGACAGGCGGAGTCGCTCATTAGGCGGTAGAATACCTGTGGTTAGATTTAATGTGGGATATTTTAAGATCAGTGGGGGAGGTTGGCAATATCCGGACATACTGTGTAGGTCATGTTTAATTGTTCTGAGTGCTGATTTTGGGTGAGCCCGATACAAGTGTGTGATAATTGAAACCAAGTTACCATGTTCGTCTATAATTCTTCGTTGGTGTTCATGTATACCGTGCTTTCCGGCCTCCTGAGTCGGCTTATCTTTTCATAAATGCCTCAAGGCAGAGATCGAGCGGAGATTTATCGGTTGTGCAATGGGACAAAAACTTGAGTACCGTTTGGTGAATAGCTTTGAAATGAGATCAGATTATCCTTGCTCTAATGTACATCCACTATTGCGAAGTAGACATCCTAATTGTTGCTCACTTTCCGCCCCTCAGGCAAGAGATATATTTATAGTAATTCACCCGCGATGATCTCAAAGCACGGAATAAACTTGGTTATCTGTAACGAGATCCCTTGGCTGAAGACCATACACATCCCACACAGCTATTATCGATCGCAATGAAGGGGTAACGAGTACGAAGGGTTGGAAGACCATGTGAACTGGCACACTGACTTTACTGGGACTTGACTTCTATGGACCTTCATCCTCTGTCTATCTATAGAATGTCAAGCCTCGAGCCTCGATCTCTGCGAAACTACTGTCTCCCATCCACTCAATACACAAGTGTCCCTCGCTTTCTTAGATTAGTCTCTACGAACTTGCCCGCAGGGGACCACTAGATTGCTTCCCGTTGTTATGGCGGACTAGATTTAAATATGATCTCGTAAGAAAGAAATACTTTAACGATTGGTTACTAACTTACTAATAATTGCTTCTTGTTTAGGCACTTCGCTTGTGTAGGGTGCTCTTATCACTATCCTGATAATAGGTACAGGGCCGTCCGTACAACAGAGGCTGGTTGTTGAGACATACTATGTGGGATTCTATCTTCGAGGTGTTCCCTACTTTCAAGGTGGAACATCACGGTCAGTGGTCAGTGTGCCTGTTGCATTTCTATCATATGTTGACTTCAATATTTATCATTTCAAGAACATCGATATTCAACTGTGCATTTGCTCGTCTTTTGTCCCATAGCCATGCGGAGAAGGGAGGAGTACTGGATCCCGAGTGATTCACTCTGGGAATGATATACTGTCGATATGGACACCTCACCATATCTACCTTGAATCGTATTCCAGATAATGTTAACACTTCCACAGAACGAAGACCCAAACCCCCAAGATCAGCAGCAAAAACAGGATGAAACTTCATGAGTGTCCGGTACGATGACAGTTTTCCAAGAACAGGAGGTCCTCCCTCCCATACAATACCTGAGGCTTTTTAGAAACAATCAAATAATAATACCAAGAGGTGGCTCTGCAACATACCTAAAACTCCAAGTCAGATACATGAACCATTCAAAGAATAGTCAGCCCCAGCAATCAGAGGCTGAATAGAATCCGGAATACGCTTTAGATCTATTTAATCTACCTCACAATCATCTGTCATTTGCTTTTTCATGAAACAGCCCCGTAACAGAAAACATTTCGTTTCTTTGTTTGAACCTATCTCTAAGTATAGTCAACTTCAAATTCAATGATTAAATCCCTCAAAGACCCCACAGGGCACAATGGGACAGAAGAGAAAGGATGGGCAGGGGAAGCTTTCCCGGCATGGCAATGTATACATGGTTCACGATCAAAGTTTACGGGGACCATTTTTTGTGGGTGGTGTAAGGTGTACGTTTTTATGTTTTTTGTTTTTTTCTTTTTCTATTTTCTTTCATTTCATTTTATTCATTCATTCATTTTCTTTTTCCAGGTGAATCTCGGTATGGAAGAACAACATAAAGCCCATTCTGATGAACAGTTTGGGGGCTAGGGATCGGGGCGCAGTTGCTCTGTATGCTTTTGTCTCACGATAACCTTATACACTTGCTCTACTGAATGGATATTATGATACGCTACACTTATGCGACCTGGGTATGACATATGTGCGACCAAGATATATAGATTTGGTTTGCCAAATGTAAGTATATAATGAAGATATAGAGGAAAATGCAACGATCGTGCTGTGGTGGAATAATTCTGGGTATAATGATAAACTGGTTGGAGGAAAAGAAAAGGAAACAAAAGAGAGAAAGTCTAGAGAAAGTGGCATGTATCCACTGTATGAATATATATGTAAACATGCATATTCCAATGTGCTCTGCGCATCCCCAACAAGTAATGCGACCAGGACGGTTGATCTTAAGGCTGCCCTTAGCACAATCAAAACCAGGGGGATATAGGCGCAATATCCGATAATGTTCCAGACATGTCGGATCGAGCACGTAGAACATGAAGGTGAATTTGTTGAAAGTTAACAATTTCGCAGGCTTCTTTCACTCACGTTGCTCAGGCAACAAGGGTGATATATTGTTATTATGCTCACACTTGGCTGCTCATACGGGTGTAACAGGAGATTGTACTTTGTACGTCCCCAGATCGATAAGAGTCCATGGTACGTTGTGTAGCAGAGTGACGCAGTTGGGCATTGAGCATTTGTACTCTGGAGAGTGTTGTCTTGGTGATGGCTGTGTCGAACCGCTCGAGGTGGGGCGGTGAGTGGTGGACACGTGTGGCTTGAGGGCTCGGTTCCGGACACAATGCTGGTCTATACTTCGTAGTTGCTTTGGGAAGCGGGATGATGAGTTTCATGGACATGATAGCTTCTTTGTTCACTTGCGCATTCCGAATCAATTCACGTAGACCATGACAGCGAAGGAGATCAGGCAGAAACAGAGCGGAATGTAGACTGTCCGGTCCATATCTGGGTCCGACGAGGCTGACGAAGCACCAGCAACAATGTAACGAGAATTACTACTGGAACGTGAGATTGATTTGGCAGGTTTGTGAACCATATTCTAGAGCAATTGTGGTGGTATGAAGAGGTGAAGAGAGGGAGGAGAGAAAGGAGGTTCAAGACGCGGGAAAAGGAGGGGAAATCAACTGATGAATACTGGAAGTGTGGTACTCAACGTGGCGGTTGATGATCGCCCAACACACCGGAGATCCTCAACAATCAATCAATCATTGATCTTGATTTCGTCACGGGTTGCGGGGGACCCTCCTTAGTCAGCCAAGGTTGGTTATTGGCCCAAATCAGGCAACAAGGCTTGGAAGGATCACGTGGAGCGGGACGACCACATGATCTCCTCCAAGAAGGGGAGTTACTAGTATGGGAGGGTTCGATTCCCAGGGTTGTCGCCTCGGTTTTTCCAGGACTCTTCGCTTGCGGTCCGCCAAGAAGATAGTTGATTGTATCATGCAGTCGCATGTCATGCTGTTTTTTAATTTCCCTGCCTTGTTGCATTGCATGGCGTTTATATTAATCTATATTGTTTCCCCAGGAATGACAGGGGGGCCGATACTACGTCACAAGACTAATTATTCCCTATCATTTCATGTAACTGTACACAAAACCGACTTGTACGCAGTAGTCAGTGTTGAGTATGGGGGAAAGTCACTTCGGAGTAACCCTCACTCGTCATAACTATCCCATGATCTCTCAATTTTGTCTGTTTGGGTTTTTTATTTTTTATTTTTAGCATTTCGGTTTTTTACTGTCTCTCTCTCTTTTCCTTTCTGCATGTCTTGCCTTGGTCTTTTCCATTGCGTTTGTGGTGTGTGCGCGTTATCAGTGGGTCACCCCATTGGAACAGTTACAGTTCAAGGCTGTGGAGTGTGGGCTTGAGATGGCTTGAAGCCATCAGAAGTTAGGACAGGTTCAAGATTGGTATGATACGAATATGCGGTGAGACATGTCTTTCTCGTTTATGTTAGTTTCTTTCTTTCTTCGGCCGGTGAAATGCTTGGGCCCAAGGAACAAGAGAACCCCGTTTTGCTGGATCCTAGGAAATTTTGCGCCCGCTCGATGGTCGGATATGGAAGGTATCTGGAGCGTCGGGACAAAAAACTTGATTCCCTGATACACAGTACAGAGCAAAGCAGGTACCCGGAGCCATGGCTCGATCGGTCTCGTCTGTTCGATCTCTCTCATTGACCAACGATGGCGCTTTCTCAGCTGCGACACTTTCAGTGACCCTTTAATGCTGATCAGCTTGCGTCGTCAGCCATTGAGCATTTCCCTTGACTTGCTGCCTGATGGATACAGTGGCAATAGGCTTTGCCTTGGCGCCACCGTTACCTTTTCCTTGGCTCAGTTCTGAAGGGGTTCTCCGAAAACGTCGCGGTTACCGAGGTTGATCTGTATGCGGTAAATAGGTTGACTCTTCCGTTTATTCTTTCTCTCTCTCTTTTATATATACATAGTATATATATATTGACAGTGAAACAAGCTGTCAAAGGCAAAAATCAGGGACGTACTGTAGGTGGTTGGCGAATGTAACACTGCGCCGGCTAAAAGTGGGAGTGAGACACGGGACTTATTTTGACATACGTGCAGCTCTGAGCACACTTACCTAGACTTAGTCCTGTCGAAGAGAGAAGGTATCAACGCTTACCTCCAGCCAAACAAATGTAACGACGGAGCGGAGGGAAATTCAGACACCGAAAGGCACAAGCTTTTTCCCTTTCCCTCTTCAAGCGCTCCGCTTGCAGTTTGTTGTGGTGCTGACCCAGTTGACCATGCGCAATGAGAGGCAGGTCAGTGGAGAAACAAGGTGGTCCACGTCTGCTGGTGCATACGACTATACGGCGTACGCCTATCATCGAGAACCCTTTCCCCATTGCACGGCCCCCGCTGGATCGAAGTGGCTCTCTTATCCGGTCGCATTCGTTCAATCACATTGTCTGACCACACTCGGTTCCATAACCGTGACTTGTGACTGTCAGGTTACTAGCTTTGGTCGGGCCCTTCGGACGAAGCGCCAAAGAAACTTCCCACGCTCGATCCAGAGGAGACACTGTCGCCTCCAATGACGCTTCATCCTGTGGCTCCCCCCGGCCGAACTTATGCTCGGGGCGGATGGCGCTATTCCACTCTTTGTCCCCTGAGGGGATATTTTGGAAAGTTAGTGAACCCTTACTTGACGGTAGCTTCGCAGCTATAACTATAGTCCTCCCCTCCTCGTTCCATAGCAACGAGGTCGTCATCCTGCCGTCTTTACTATCTGCAAGACGGGTCATTCTTTAGCATAGATCGTCGCGCCTGTGGGCCGTCTTTCTTTCGTCAGAACCACTGTCGTTGCCTCGACTTATTTAGACGCTCGCCCGTCTCTCAACTACTCTCTTTGAGAAACTTGATTGCGCCTCGCATTCAATTCTTGCAGAGCTGCGTTCGCTGGTCCCACTGACCCGTTCAGACATCATGCATTTTAACTACACTGCAGCTACACTGGCTGTATTGCTCCCACTATGCTCGGCTCAGACCTTCTCGAAATGCAACCCTCTTAAGCGTATGTTTTAGCCCCGTTTGCCTTTCGTAGCTGATCTTCCCATAGTTCTCTGAGCTGACATGCAATACTAGAATCTGGTTGCGAGCCCAACCCAGGTATGGGCTCCAATTTCAACTCCGACTTCACCACCGGCGATGGATCTCTCGGCGGCTGGACAACTACCGCCGGAAAAGTCACAACTGGTGGCCAGGGTGCCGAGTTTACCCTGGCCAAGAAGGGCGATGCGCCCACCATTGACACCAGCGGTTTCTTCCTATTTGGTAAGGTCGAGGTTGTCATGAAGGCTGCGCCGGGACAGGGTATTGTCAGCAGTATTGTCCTAGAGTCGTCCGCTCTCGATGAGATCGACTGGGTACGTTACTTCCTCCCCAACATGGTGCAAAAGAAATTTTCAACTGACATCGATGCCCTTAACAGGAAGCCCTCGGTGGTGACACCACTCAAATTCAGACCAACTACTTCGGTAAGGGCGACACCTCGTCCTATGACCGTGCAACTTTCGTGAACATGGCTTCTCCACAGGCTGATTACCATACGTACACCATCGACTGGAACAAGGACCAGACCACCTGGTCCGTTGATGGCAATGTCGTACGTACTCTCAACTACAACGACGCCAAGGGTGGTTCTCGCTACCCCCAGACCCCTATGCGCCTGAGACTGGGCATCTGGGCCGGTGGTGACCCGGGCAATGCTCCGGGCACTATCGAATGGGCTGGTGGCAAGACTGACTACAACCAAGCCCCCTTCACCATGTATGTGAAGTCGGTTAACATTGTGAACTATAACCCTTCCGACTCCTACACCTACTCCGACAACAGTGGCTCCTGGCAGAGCGTCAAGGGCTCTGGCAAGTCCACGGAGCCTCGCAGCACCTCCAGCACCACGGACACCCCGTCCACCACTGAATCCGCATCCTCGTCCGAGCCCGCGACCGAGTCTAGCACCAGCAGCACAGCCTCTCCTACTGGTTTCATTACCAGCACTACCAGCAGTACTACTGGCAGCACCACTGACTCCACTGAATCTACCACTGGTACTGTCTCCGGCACTACTACCGGCTCTTCGGAAACTGGCTCTGGCTCCACCACTGCCGAGTCTAGCTCGAGCACCGGCTCCTCCAGTGCTGGTGCATCCACGACTGAGTCTTCTGTTCCTGGGTCTTCGTCGGGCGCCGGATCTTCTACTGGCGCCGGATCTGGCTCTGGCTCGGCTTCTAGCTCAGCCGCTGGTGCCACTTCCACCGTTCCTCTCTCCAACTCTGCTACAACACCTTATGGTGGATCTTTCATGGGCCTCATGACGATCATGGGCTTGATGACCGCTATGTTGCAGCTGTAATTGGATCTGCTTTTGATTTTTGCTTTTGTTTTACTGACCTAATGACCCCATGGCGGATTTTGTAATGGACGGGATTTATGACGCTTTTGGGAGACCACGCTCCTTTTTATGACCTGCTGATTCTTGTATCGTTAATTGTAGCCTTAGGTACATATACCACACACACACACACACACACACACACACACACACACTATGAAGAAGAATCTTTTGATACTGGCTTATATTTAAGCTCGGGCGGATTCATACAATACCATTTCAAATTCACTCCAAGCTGTTCTATACCAGTAACCGTATCTGCCACCTTTACGTTGACTATATGTTTCTCTTTCGGAGATAGAAGATAACATTAGCATGGAATCGCACACTATTACTTCCCTTACTTCCAATAACCAAATCATGAACACCAAACAAACAAGCAATGTAAATAAACAACAAGCAACCGAATCATGACTCGTATCCTGAATCGTATCCAAGCTCCCAAGCTCCCACCTAATCGGGTATCATTTCTTCAATCAGACACATCACATGAACATAACAGTACTAGTAGACACATCAGTATGCCCTCTTCTTCTGAAAGGTTTGCAATTCGGAGGACAATCGTCGCACAGCATCAATGACGGGCCGATGCTGCTCCGCAGCGTCCTGGAAGAGCTCAGATATCGACGGATCCGAACGAGTTGGGTCGTCTCCGTCCATTGTTTGACGGAAAAATGAAGGCAATTTGTCAACGAACGCCCGGAGCCCACCGCCAGGAGACTCCGCAGCGGAGTCCGTTGTACCTGGAGATGTCGATGATTGTTTCATTTCCCGAACCAAGATGCTACCAATAGATTCTAGGTGGTCATCTAGTGTGGCGAGATCGTTCGACAAGGAGTCAGCCTTGCCCTGCATGCGGGCAGTCAGCTGATCTAGATACTGTTCGCGCCACGACATCTGCGTCGATAGGCGGGCGCCCTGAGCGGCGGTTTGAGAGCCACCTGCCGTAGTCCCACTGGTTGCGATTAAATTATCGACCGCAGAACGGATATCAACTTTGAGGGAATCGAATTTCTTGGTGGCGGCTCTGGTGGCTTCCCAGCAGCCGCTGAATTCGAGGTCGAGCTCGTGTTTCATGCCCGGGTACGCCTTCTTTAGCTCCGTCTCGATGTCGCGGAGCTTCGATTCGCTTTGTTTCAGTGTGTCTGATAGTGGGGTCATTGCATGCAGAGTCGTGTTGAATAGGGATTCTAGTCGCATCTGTGAGGATACGAGGGTGTCGGAGCGGGATGCACGGTGACGGTTGGGCTGAGGTTGGGGGTAAGGTGGAATACAACTGGCCGGGTATAGAGTGGAAATAGCTTCTATCGTGCAGAGGGTTTGATACTGCTGGACTACTTCGGGGATGATGAGCAAATGCGAAATGGCCACAACAAGTAGCACGTTTATTATAGTTCGAATCAGCGTTTCCAACATTTTAGACCTTGATGCTGACTTTGGACGAGCGAGCTTCTCATCTACCTGACTAGAGTTTGGCCCTTGCGAAGAAGAGTCACCGTCCTTGGACGTATCCAGGTCATGTTTCTCTCTTCGGGATGTGTTTTCGCGCGCTGCTTTATGTCTGCGCCTAAGAGAGTGTGCAGTCTTTGATTTGGATCGCACAGCTGGCGCGACCCAGGAACCTTCTGCGATAGGTGTCTCATATATTGAGGGCATAATGAGTTCGGGGCCTGATATGGAGGAGGCCGATGTGGTCATTGAGTCGGATCCATTGTTACACTTATGACGGCCAGCCTCTTTGTTTAGGTGACGGCTTTGACTTGGGCTTTCGGAAGGCTGGTCCTTATTCGGTCGTTCTTCCTCGTCGGGGGACGACGATGCCACTACCCAAGACTCGCTCAGGATAGAACTATCCTGAGGACGAGAGGAGTTTGTAGACATAGGTGAAGGGCGATTCTCAGTTGTTATATAGCCGAAGCACTCACTTTACCAAGTCTCACCCCTGGGGATAAGTAAACAAAAAGTCAATAACTTTGGGATGAGCAGAAAGGACTAGAAGGACCCTTGTTTTTCGACGATAAGGTTTTTGTATATTGATTGTTGACGAACGATAAGAAGAGAAGTGGGGATGGATCACGAGTGCTTTATTCAAGATCGGGCCGATCGGCAATCGCGTTCGTGTTTCACGGGCCAGCTTCGAAAAATTCCTTGTACGATGATATCAACCCCCCAGCAACCATGCGCCGATTAAATCCTCTGCTACGGCAGTCCCTGCTCCTACGGAAATCGTGTCCCAGTACACGTTACACTCTTCGACAACCGCGCTTGCAATGGCTGTCCACCACATCCACTCGGCCCTGTTCATGCTCCGACCCGCAGCCTGAGCAGCCGCCTTCTCAGCTCTCATCTACATCCGCTGACTATCGCGCACTGGGAACTGCGCAAGACCTGTTCACCACCTCTATCTACAGCCCTGGATCCCCCCTTTTCCTCCCCAATGGCGCTCATGTCATCAACAAACTCGTTTCCTTCCTCCGCACGCAATACCTCCAGTACGGTTTCCGCGAAGTCCTAACCCCGACCATCTACAAACGTTCTCTATGGGAGATATCAGGACACTGGCAAAACTATAAAGACGATATGTACGAGGTACGAGGCCGGGGAGCTATGGGTGATACTGAAGGAGAGGCCGGAGAGGACGAATCGTACGGACTGAAACCGATGAATTGCCCTGGTCATTGCTTGTTATTCAAGTCGCAAAACCATTCCTATCGAGAATTACCCATCCGCTATGCCGATTTCAGCCCGCTACATCGAAACGAGGTTTCGGGCTCCTTAAGCGGACTCACTCGAGTCCGACGCTTCCACCAAGACGATGGTCATATTTTCTGCCGACCGCAACAAATTAAGAGTGAGATCGCATCCGCGCTTGGATTCGTGGAGATGGTTATGACTACTTTCGGACTGGGGCCGTATCGGCTGGTGCTTTCTACGCGACCGGAGAAGGACTTCATTGGCAGTCTGGAATTGTGGGACAGCGCGGAATCTCAGCTTCGCGAAGCTCTTGATAGCAGTGGAAGAGAATGGGCAGTCAACGAAGGCGACGGTGCGTTCTATGGCCCCAAGATTGATATTCAACTCCAAGATCAAGCCGGGAAATACCACCAGCTCTCGACTATTCAGCTGGACATGAATTTACCACAGCGGTTCGGTTTGGAGTATCAGGTGGCTGAGGGAGAGGAGGACTACAACCCGGCAACCCCTGGAAGGGCAACACCCGTGCTGGTTCATCGGGCGAACTTCGGCTCTATAGAGCGATTCCTTGCGCTACTTATTGAACAATATGCTGGTCGCTGGCCATTCTGGCTGTCTCCGCGACAGGGAATTGTTTTGACAGTCAATCAGGATGAGAAGGTTCTGCAACAGGCGCATGAGGCTGCGGCTAAGATATCGGGATTCCGTGCGCTTGAGCCTGGCCAGAATGGCAACAATGCTCCACAGCCTCTCTCCTTTGTCGACTCGACCTTTTTGATTGACGTTGATGATAGCCCTCAGACGCTAGGAAAGAAGATCCAGAGGGCCAAACAGATGAAGTACAACTTTATCTTCATCGTTGGACCTAAGGATGTTGCGGAGTCGCGTGTCACAGCGGACATCACCGGCCAACTGCAGAGCAAGCCGGAGGGAAATGCGCAGAAGCTACAGGATATGCTGGTTAGCCGACTTGGAGAGAAGGCGGTTCAGAACCCCCGGGCAGTACCATTAAAAGTTGACGAGGTGCACGACATTCTGGTGCAATTGGAGAAGAGATTTGTATAATAAGTGCGACACCTATGGGAAGGTCATCATGTACAATATTGATTTATATTTATAATCTGGGCAGCCGGAGGACGGGGTTCCAAAGTTATAGATTGATACGTTAACACCAGAAGCGGTTAGAATCCTAAGCTTTAAGGCTCGGCAACTCCACCGGGATCACCTTGTTAATGTTGTCATCTGACCTTAAGCTTAAGATTATTCTTAGGAATGAAGAGTCGCTCAAAACGAAGTCGCCACAAACCAGACCCCCATTTGTGCTTCTGATTCGTCAACCGTCGTCAAACCTGCCCAGGAGACACCGTCATTACCTTCTTTTTCTGGCCTCATCACCATGGACCTTTCTTTTTTTTTTTTCTTTGGGAGTAAAAAGTGATCTAGAGAAGCTTTTTTTTTTTTGCTCTACCACGCCAGCCCCACGACTAGACTCTTTCTCGCCCGAAAATCCTCCTGTTGGAGAAATTTGCCCCCTTTGGTCGTGTCTCTCATTCGCCTTCGCACCACCCCCACTCTTTTGCTCCCCTCGCTCCCCCTCTTCTCTCCTCTCGCGTGAGCCTTCAATTTCACCTCATGGCGGGTGTCGTGTATCCTAATCGGTCTCCCACCGTCAACTTGGATCTTGCCCCTTTCGCAATTCCATGGTGGTCGAACCCAGCTCCTCTGGCACGGCCGACGTGCCGGCCAAGGCCAGTTTGCCGCGGAAGAGCGCCTTCTCGTGTGAGGCGTGCCGCAAGCGAAAGGTGGGTTCCCCCCCCGTCCCCTGCTATATCTTCGGATGATTTCCGAGATCACAAGCGATGAAGGATCTCCTTCGTGTACTTTACTTATTGGCACGCTGACATACTATTCCCCAGGTGAAATGTAACGGTGCTAGTCCCTCTTGTTCACGATGTGCGGCGCGCGGAGAGACCTGCGTTTATAGCTTGTGAGTGCGGATTTTCTTCCTTTCCCTCCCACCGTCTCTTTTGCTTTGACCCTAACACATGGCATCAATGTCGGTTATATGTTATAGTTCTCTACTTTATTAACTATGTATTTTTAGAGCGCCAACTTTATCGTATACCAAACAGCTAGAGGCTCGAGTCGCCCAGTTAGAAGATGCGCTGTCAAAGCTACGGAGCCAACAGCAGTCGGCTGCAGAGGTGCGGAAGGCGAGCACCCCATCATCTACCGGTGAAGGTAGAGGCAGCATGAGCCCAAGTCTTCGGACTCGCATCAAGGAAGAAGACGAAAGTAGTAGCGCCGATCTCGCTAGGGATTTCGAAGGTCTGAAGGTCGAGCATGATGGTCGAATATCTTTTCACGGCCCGACTAGCTTGTTTCAACTTCCCAGTGGTGCGCTTAACGAGGCAGCGTCGACGTCTCGTCTTGCCGTACAGCACGAAGCTCGAAAGGAAAGGTTGATCAATAACGCGTGGCGGGAAAGGGCGTTCGAGCAGATGGCCACCATGCCTGTAGGTCTAACCATGAGTCTTTCTTGCCAGAGGAATAGTAGACTTACACTTATGTTTTCGTATTTCAGGAACCGTTCCAATATCTCCTCGACTCGCATTGGTGTTGGATCCAGCCACTCTTCAACTTCGTCTATCGACCAGCATTTACTCGTTCGTAACTTCGTTGCTGCTGGTGGAGGAAGAGAACTAACCACGAGCAGGCGATATGAAGATAAACGGTCCATACTATTCAGACGCTCTTCTCAATGCGATCCTCTCCCATTCGGTCCGGTGGTGCAAGTCCGAACCAAGAATCGGCCATATCCTCGATTCGTTTGATGGTGGCGCACAATTCTCCCATCGCGCCGTCTCTGGTCTATACGATTCGCTCAAAGTTGGTCATCTTGGTATTCCCACCATTCAGACATTGCTCCTGCTTAGTGCGCAAGAGTGCGGCAGAGGAAATCGGTCGCAGGCTTGGTTGTACAGTGGCATGGCTTTTCGAATGCTGGAAGATTTAGGAATATCCATCGACAGCCGCAAGTATTCGGACTCCGCTCACTTGAGCGATGAAGATATCGAGATCCGGAACCGTCTCTTCTGGAGTTGTTACTTTTGGGATAAAATGGTTTCCCTATACTTTGGCCGGTCACCTACGATGCAGCACTCGCGAGTTAGTCCGCCACGGACGGTATTGGACGACACTTCGGAGATTGAAATCTGGACGCCGCATGGCGTTGTCTTCCCGGACGGTGCTCATTATCCTCCGACTCAGGCTCACTCCACGTCCTGTTTCATGAAAATGTGCGGATTGGCAGAGGTGCTTAATCAGATCTTGATTCACATCTATGACCCTATAAGGCAAGTGTCAGAGGCAGAGTTCTACAATTGTGTGATCGAGCAAGCTAGGAATCTAGCGGAATGGTGGGATGATTTACCCGACTACCTGAAACTGGTGCCTACAAGCCTTCCTCCGTACTCTCCGCCGAGCCACATTGTCATCTTGAAGTACGCGACCCCCCACCCTTTACTATATTGTTCACGCGCTTACCATTCCCTCACTACAGTTCGTTATATCATACTATCAACATCCTTCTCCATCGTCCGATCCTCTGCTCCAAGACAAACAGAGAGTCATACGATAAGAGCCATCTGGTCCAGTGCATGACATCTGCAACAGCAATCTTGTCTCTATTTGATCTATATCGTCGCACATTCGGCGATGCCCATGTTGTCCTCTCACTTTCCTACAGCGTGTACACCGCTGCGTCGATATTCCTGCTCGAAATACAAGCTTTGAAATACGCTGCTCCCGGGACGCTAGACAAACTCAAGTTTTGCATTTTCGCTCTAGAGAGAGTGAAGGTCTCAAACCCTGGTATGTTTGTCCACTCACTCAAATATAGGGCTATTATGCTAACGTTGATTCCAGTGATCTCGACAGCACTCAGTCTCATCTATCAAGAACTTCAAAAATTGCAGATCGACATCCACATCGTGCTGCCAACGCCGCAACCGGAACAGCCTCAACCTCGCTCACAACCTCCATCTCGTCATAGTCACTCCCCTTCCCAACCACAAGGTCTACCGCTGCAACAACAACAACAACAGCAGCAGCAGCAATTTCATGGCCCTTCGACTTTCAGTGATACCTCCCGTCACGTCTCCCCGTCTCATCAACCATCCCCCGATGCCTCATCCATGGCTGCCTCCGTCGCCCCATCGGGCGTGAATACCTCGTTCCTTCCGGGATATTCCTTCCAACAGCCCGTCGCAGATTTCGAGCTTTCACAGACAGGCGTTCCTCAAATGGCTGGGACCCATCTTCTGGGTGGAATGCCCAACGCAATAATGACACTAGATAACCCCGGCTCATACGAGATTACGCCGGAAGTCTTTGAAGCATTCTCGTATGCAGAGCCTATCACGACTAATATGACACCTGCATTTGAGCCTCGGCTGGAGTAGTTTATGTGTCAGTGTGGAAAAAGCGAGGCTTGAGCATTCTACATTTAGAGGAGCTATAGGCGAATGGAGCAAGCCTGGGTTATTTATACCTCTGAAAGATTATGTTGATATTTTCGTGTTCTTGGGGGAAGTAGACAAAAACAAGACTTTTGGTGGTATAGCTGTAATCTCTAACTTCTAACTTCTAATGGATATAAATACATAGAAGCGGGTATAAGACAACAAAAAGCACAAAGTGTATATGCTGTCTATGGACATGCAACAAAGTTTTCCACAGAGAAGAAAAGGGTATGTGTATAGAAGAAATATTAAAATCTCGTCAATATAGAGACAGAGAATAGATTAGAAAGGGCAGGGTATTCAAGAAGAAGATATTACAAAGACGTATTCTTGTACTTTGCCTGCTTGGCATCCGTGCTAGAAGAGACACTAGGAGCCGTCTCAGGCGAGTCATCGGCCTTGGGCCGGGCACGCCAACGCAGGTACCACGGGGTATCGAAAAGATCACCCATGCGCTCGATTGGCACACCCTTAGTCTCTGGCATCCAGATACCCAGGATAACTAAACCAAGGGTACAGATGATAGCCCAGAAGAGATAGGCGCCCCACACATTCAACGAGGCAAACATATTAGGCGTGACGCGGACAACGGCAAACTGGAAAAACCAGTGCAGCGACATGCTGACCGCATAACTCACGTTCCGGACACGGGTGGGGAAGATCTCCGTTCCGTAAAGGTAAGGGATGGTACAGAGGCCGACGGACCAGCCGACGGCGTAAACGAAGACGGAGGCGATGGCCGCGTCGGACGCGGATTTGTTGTCGGAAGAGCCGGGTTGAAGACCCATATAGGCGCCCATGTAAATGTGGGCCGCTAGCTGGAGACTGAGACCCGCCAAGGCGCAACGGCGGCGGCCGAACAGGTCGATTAGCCCCCAGGTGAAGGCCATCGTGAAGACCAGCTTGACAATGCCGTAAGCGCCGGAGCTGATCAGCGAGGTTGAGCCGCCCGTTACGCCGGCGTACTGGAAGATCGTCGAGATGTAATAGGTGATGCCGTTGCCGCCGGTCCATTGGGCGATTGTGTGCATCACGATGAGGAGCCAGAAGCGCTGGCGGTAGTTGGGGTTGGTTTGCGTTTCTTTGAAAGCTGTCCAGGGGGTGACGGAGGCGAGGTCGCTGGCTTTGGCACGTACCTGTGAGTCGATTAGGGCAAATTCGGCTTCAAGTTCCGGGTCGTTGATGTCTTTGCCGCGGAGGCGCGCGAGTACTGCGCGGCCTTCAGCGTGTTTTTGTTTGGAAACTAGGTAGCGGGGTGTTTCTGGCACAATGTAGGAGGCTATCATGGCGAGTCCAACTGGGATTAGGGGGATGGATTGTACCAGTCGGTACTGTTTCCGGGTCGGGGCCATGTGTTGGTTGGCGCCGTAATTAATAAAGAAGCCTAATTTTCAATAATGCCGAGATGAGCTTCTGCAATCCAAGCTTTGTTGGACCCATTGATAAGAACTTAGACTTACCCATAGCTAAAACGGCCAGCAAGATAACCATGTAGCAGCTAACCACAAGTCCTCTAGTTCTTGCGGGGGCTAATAAGCATTAGCAATGTAGCCCCAGGGTGTCTCGGCTCAACAAGATGGACCACGTACCAATCTCAGACAAATATAGCGGTGTCGTCACGGTCAGAGCTCCAGCTCCCAGACCACTCCAGATTCTCGCGAACAGCAAAAGGCCATATATGCCCGACGAGAAGACCTGGATGAACAGGCCCGACGCCCATACCAGACAAGCGAAGCGCCATGAGTTTAATCTGCCGAATCGGTCGTTCAGGTCCAAGGCGAAGAGTGCGCCGAAGGCCGCCCCCAGGACATTAAAAGAGGTGATATTAGCACTGCGGTTCGCAAGCCCCGTCTTGTCGTCGGTCCAATTGGATGCGATGAGGTTGTAGTCTTCTTTGAAAGATTCCAATTTCACGCTAGCGCTGAAGCCACCTTCGTCATAACCTGCACCAAGCACGCCCGGTCAGAATTACAATGAAGATGTATGATTATATAGACCAGGATCATGCTCTATCTCACCTTTGGGTATACTCCCACAAGCGATAATGAAGATAACGAGAGCATAATAGGGGTGGGTCTTCCACCGGGACCAATCTACCATGACGGCGATTGGACGGCGAGAGGGTTAAGGGGGCGCAGTGGAATGTGATTTGTTCGATTCGCCCGAGATCGAAAAATCCGGGGAAATCAGACAATGACGACCGCTAAGCGATCCTTCGCGATTGTGTTATTATTCCCGGGGGCAGTATAAACGAGGACGGGTACTCTCCGAACTGGAGACGGGAAGAGGACCTTTCGGCGCGATGGGGGCAAACGGATAGCGAAGAGTTTTAAAGGAGGGCTTCCAGGTCACGCCCCCTCCGCCTCGGTCAACTTCCGTTCTGTCGCCATGCATCTTCTCCTCCTTCAATCTAAATCTCTCCTCCTCACTTGTGTACGGAGTAATGCCAATGAAGATCTTCTTTAGATTCATTGAATCGTGTTGTTCTAGGCTACGCCGTGCAGAAGCGGCAGAAAAATTCCTGCATCCAGTCATCTGTCACTCGGGCTTTCAGAAGAACGTGGGGACTCTCATTTAACTTGGCACGGTTCAGGGCGTGGTTGCGGTCGGCTGTCTCCGCTCATCTTAATCCACTCTCCTTTCGCTTAGTACGTGGAAGGAAAAGACCCTTGCTGGCAGACCTTTACACCGTATACGGAGTACACCATCGATCGAAGGGATGATTGTTTTTCCTACCGTAATCACCAGTGAACGCCTTCAGATATCACTCTATCATTGGTTCACTCATTCATATACCCTTCGGTTCGATCGGATTATCCGACGTCTCCGGGAAAGAGTATATTTGATAGTATCCGCAGTCTGCTGAACTCCCTCACGGACAACCTCCGTTGTCAGCATGCCTTACTTAAGGCTTCAAGGACAGTAGATAGCCACTTCCCCTGTGGGTCACTGACTGATTCGACCCTTTTTAATTTTTCCCCCTTCTCTTCCTGCCTTGCTTCCGGTAAAGCAAACGGGAAGTTGGCGAGGCTAAATCCGCTGCTGTAAACCTGTTATTATAACTTGGCGGGCTTGGAACTAATGATGATGCTTCTACGGACTTGTCTATCAAAGAGGGTAGTCGGGCGAATAAACCCAACGATCTTAGTGAGTTGAGTCCTGACAGTTCACCGTTTTGGGTCACTATATACAATCGGTGATACTCTTATCCTCTCATCATTACATGACGCTTCTTCGTCCTCTCACCTTCGGATAATACCCTGCCGTTCTCTGTTCAACATGCTTACGTCTGTCCAGCCTCGACCTGACGTCCTTGGCCCTCGTGCCCCCTTAATCACCTTTCAAAAGGGGGAGCTGTTTCCTTTCAGCAGGGATGAACAGAAACCTGTGCCTGCTCTCCCGTTAAGACAGAGGCTTCCCGCCAAAGCATGGGATACACATATGCATGTGGTTGAGCCACATCGATTTCCAGTTGATGCAAGTGCAGTATATCAACCCTCAACACACACTATCGAGGAGGCTCTAGCGTTCGAGTCTTCCCTAGGGATCGAGAATATCGTCCTTGTTCAACCATCAATATACGGATATGACAATTCCTGTCTTCTCGAGGCACTCAGGCGTATCGGTCCTTCTCGCGGGCGAGGGGTGGTGGTGATTGATCCGATGAATATAGATACCCAAACATTATCCGAATGGCATTCGTTAGGCGTACGTGGAGTACGAGTGAACTTGAGATCAGTAGGGAAAGTGATGGGCCAGGACGAGCTGGCACAAACGCTATTGCAACATGCGGAGATTGTCCGTCCTTTCGGCTGGGCTATTCAAGTCTACGTCCCCCTCGATATGATCCCACTACTCGAGCCTATTGTCCCACAGCTTGGTGTCAAACTCTGCATCGACCACTTTGGTGGCCCAGACCTACTATCTACGAGCTGGAAAGATAGTGCCTCGTTCGATCCCTACTCGCTGCCCGGATTTTCATCCCTGGTATCCCTCCTCCGAGCGGGAGACACATATGTGAAAATCTCCGCACCATACCGGCTCAGCAAGGACCATGAAATGCGAGACATTGAGATGATGGCCCGAGAACTCCTCCGAGAGGCCCCGAACTGCGTGCTTTTCGCGACAGATTGGCCACATACGCGATTTTGGGGGACCGATATCGCCCCGTTCACGGAACTGTGCCTACGGGTATGCGGCAACGATCCCGGGCTGACTGAGCGGGTGTTTCGTCGGAATGCCGAAGAGTTGTTGGACGCACAAACTATGGACTGAGTGAGGGTGCTTGGCTTCGAAGAATCACAGTATTAACGAGTTACGACTATTACCCACCATTGGACTAATCTTTTACGCTACAATATTATGAATATGAACAAATTTCACAATTCGAAACGTAAATGACGCTGAGTACTACGTCTCGGACAGGTTCCGACGTGGTTCGATAGTCTGGGCTAAACTATCGGCTGAAGGAGTGTGGAGACGGGCGACGATTCACGCTAAATTTGCATTACTAGACGGAGTTTTAATCCGAGTGCATACTGTATACTAGCTGTGCACACTCAGTGCCACTCACTTTATCCGAGTTGACGTGGTCATCATCTCACTAGTGGTAGCTCACTGAGGACTAATATCCGAGCATAGCCTTTTGCAGAGTTAATACGGGGAGAACGAGTATCCCCAATACGATCGTACATCACACTAGTGTTACAATCGTTCTTGGCTTACCGTGTAGTATTACTCTGCTGTCTGGCATTCATAACCCACATTCCCGCTGGTGAGTACGTGTGGTTTACTCTCCGCGTGGCCCAGTACTCGTGAAATGATTGGAAGTCGCGGGCTGAGGTAGTACAGTCGTCGTTCGTTTGGTGAAGATTCCATGCATGCTAGAAAGACCACACAAACCGATCCAGCATGAGTACACAGTAGCTCGAGTAGGTATTTAAAAAACCATGTGCAATGTTGTTAAAAAGCATATTCCCAGGACATGATCATGAGAGCCTATAGTCGACCTGATGAATATATATATAGTAGAGTATAGCAGGACGATATCCCAGCATGAACAGTTGGACTTGATTCGAGGACACGTACATTGCTAGGTCCCTAAATATTCGAGATAAATAAGTCATTCATTCGTTCATTTTCCCCTCCCTTCTTATTTCAAAGAAAACTCAGATCTACAAGTAACGTCGAGCACTACGGTAACTATTTGCAATTGCTCTTAGTAAAGCACGTTCCAAATATAACTAGTTCTCCGAGGTTCATACTCCGTCTCTCGGCCCCAGCAACACTAAAAGCCCTAATCTGGTACTGTAACTCAGTCGACTTGTGACATTGAGATTGCATTCGAGACGAGTACAAATACAGATAGAGATAGTTAACTACATTCAAGAGATGGATATAAAAGCAAATAATAAGTAACACTAGTTAGAAATCGTGTCTCAATAGCTCAGCCCTATCCATTCCCAAATCGCCAAAACTACCAAAACCCCAAACGCAACCGCCCCAAACGCAACGCCCAGCTAACTAACCCTAAAGTACAATTTTTAGTCACTATAGATATATATCTTAATGTTTATATAATTCACCTTTTAAAACTATTCTAGTGTAATTCAGCGTATACTCTATATAGGGAATTTATAAATCAGTAATATATATAAAAATGGTGTTTTGAGGGAAATATTGAGTCAACACCGAAACTGTTGACGTAGAACTGTACGTATTTACATCGACAAACTCCCATCACCAAACACCGAGATCAAAAGAATACTTCCCCCTAACCCTCCTTGTTTGTGGATGTAGTGGGCTTCTGCTATTTTCTGGCTCATCTATATTGTTGAACAGTGGGAGCTTTGGATAACTTGATCTGGAAGGGAGTATACACGCGTCTCTCAAAAGGTAATCATCCCTTAGTTTACATTTTTACTGCAATTCTACGTCTTGAAATCTAACCCGTGTCTGAAGAAATCTCAGAGGAAGCTCACGAGTATAGGAACTTGTCTTGTAGAACTAGACGACCCAGTTATCATCTCAACACGGAGCAAATGCATTCGCCATTCATTCCAGCTTGATCTCCGTTGGCTCCGAAAGCTCCAGGTTTGTCTGGAACGTTTTCTTGGCATCATCCTCACGGCGAGTCTGAGATCCACCTTTACCATGTCCCAGGAGGGTGACCGACTCTAGCAAGCTGGTGTGAAGTTCAAACTTCCCGTCGATACAAAGCACACCTCTGCGGTACTCAAATTCGACTTCCAGAGTGGCCTTTTGTTCCAAGGAGTCACCGTCATCCAAGTACAGGCTACCAGACGCAGTGCCGTCCAGCCCCGGTGCGATGATGAGCTGGAAGCTCTTCTCACGAAGCTCAGTCGTGGTCATGGCACTTGAAGACCGGATGGGGATAATGCTGCCTCCACGGATGTGTAAGGGAATGTGGGTGATGTCGATATTGCTGAGAGTTACATTTGCGCCATGGCCGCGCACGGGGGCGCCTGTGTACCAGTCGTAGAAGATATCATCGGGGAGGTAGGCATCAACCGAGGTAAGGCCCTTGTCGGGGACCGGGCTGACGAGAAGGGCGTCACCGTAGAAGAACTGCAAGTCTATGGAGAAAGTATTCTCGTCCTCGGGGTACAAGTAGAACATCGGCTGCAAGAATGGCTCGCCGGTCTGTGACTGTTTGTAGAACGAGGTGTAGATGTAATCGAGAAGCCGGTACCGGATTTCAATAGCCTTGCGAGCGGACTCCGCTACTGTGGGCCAGTTGTAGAACTCCTGCCCAATGTTACCGATCTCATTATGGTTGCGGTAGAAAGTAAAGAATGCTCCCAGAGAGGCCCAGCGAGCGCAAAGCTCCTCAGTCGTGTTACCAGCGAACCCACAAACGTCAGCCCCAACCATAGGAACCTGGAACATTGATGCAAAAGCAAGCCCCTGAGCGATGCTAATCCGGTAGTGTTCCCACTTGCTAAAATTGTCACCGAGCCTGTTGTATGTTAGCTACAGTTCTCACCCCCCCCCCCCCATATGTACTGAACATACCAGTGTCCAACGTCTCGTCCTGCACCGGCGTAAGTGCTGCGGGTAATAACTAGAGGCCTCACGTCTGGGCGACGATGCTGCATAGCTTCGCGAGAACTGGAGCTCATCACTGAGATGGATTAACCTAAAGAATATAACTTGGGGGGCTCATATATACTCACTCGTTCCATATAAGTTGTGCGTATCATATTCTGCATATCCTTCTCCGGCATGAATGATTCCAGTGTTGATGGTCTTGTTGCTAAGGGACCCGGCCTCGTTTCGGATCTTGTAAGGTGGATTGAGTAGATCGCGGCCCTCAAGTCCACTCTTTGCCTTGAAGATCCTCTTCTGGGAACGGCTGGTAGAGGAAGGCTGGAAGTCAGCAGGAAAACCAGGTAACGGACGAGGGCTGCTTGGCCGGACGGGTGGCGGTGCAGGTGGAAGATTGTTCTCAGCGGAATATTTTTCTGGATCAGTACAGGGGTCTGGGCAGAAGTTAGAGGCTTCGTTCATGTCGATCCACAGGCCATCAATGTCGACACCGGTCTCTGCGTTGAAGAAGGTACTGAATTCAGAGTTCCAGTAGTCTTGAATGTCAGGGTGAAACCAATCTGGATAAGCAGTCACACCAGGCCACACGGCGCCTGATCCTGTCTCAGTATGTTTTCATGCATCTTGGGTTGTTGTGATCTCATACCTTTGTATAAATTGCCATTCTGAGTCTTCAGGAAGACACCCTGCTCGAGTCCCCTGTTGAAGGCCCCGTTGTCTGAAAAGAAATAAGTAACCAATATTGTCCTTGAAAGAGGATCATAGTTGCTTACCGCTCACGCTAACAGCAGGGTCAACCATAACAATGTAGTGCTGATCATGGTCATGAAGGTAACCTACCAGCTCACGCATCTTTTCTAGGGAGAAGCGGTCTGGGTCAAGAGAGAAAACTCTCCTTCGGTCCATGTAGTCGATGTCTGTCCACATGGTCTCTAGGGGGATGCCTGCCTTGCTATAGTTATAGACTACCTCCGCAACCTGATAGACGTCACGGTAGCCGTATCGGCATTGATGCAACTATTAATCACAGGTTAGTCAATGCACTAGAGTTTTGAGAATAACATAGAACAAGTGTGCGGGTAGGGTATCGCATACCCCAAAAGTCCAGTAGCTCTGCATAGCAGGAAGGCCGACAATCTTAGAGTACTCTATACTGGCCTCTTTTGGATTCGAGCCAGTGAAGAAGTAAAAGTCCAAAACGCCTCCCAGAGCGTTATACTCAAGATATTGTTTCCCCTCTGCCGTCTTATCGATAAAAACGTCCATCCCGTTAGAGTTCAGCAAGAAAACACCGTGAGTGCCGGATTCACCGCGATGGTCATAGTACACAGGATGAGTGCCGTACAGATTACTATGTTCAGGAGTGCCATAGGCGTCACGATTCCAGAAGGTACGGGTGTAGTTGGTCGTGGAAAGACGTAAGGAGTCGCTATGCTCTCCAAGACCATATAAATGTGGGTTCTCCGGGAGCCAGGTACGAAGCTTCAGATATTGCGACTGAAAGATAAGGTTCTCCGCAGAGCTGTCGAACAATACTTCCTCGTCTCTTTTAACGGTAAACGAAAAGGGCTCTTCCTCGTACTCAAACCTCAGTGCGGACTCTTTACTAGAACCATCGCCGCTGTCTACACGAGGGACCACCTTCTCAGGCACCTGGTATACACATTCTTCGGCATCGTATATCTTAACATGAAGACGCTCATCTAATCTGATGTTTAGTAATGGAATTTTCAGAAGAAAAAGGGAGGTACCCCTACCGGTTTGGTACTCTACCAAGAGCTTGAGGTGTTGCAGGTCTGTGCCGTAGGTGTTGCAGGGTTTTCCTGCGAGGGTCAAGTCGGCCGTCAAAGACCGATCATTTTCCTGGACATTGGATGCCTTGTATCCCGGGCACCGCTGGGTATCTGCTCGTGACCCAATCACGACAGCCCCGGCCAAGGGGGCAAGAAGTAAGAGAGAACCCAACATCGGATTCGGGGTCAGACTGACGTTGAAGGTTGAGGTGGTGCAGCAAGGGTCCGGGGTCCAGAGCGAGCGGAAAGCCACTACTATTTATAATGACAAGGCCGGGCAGTCGGCGTGCGCGAAATGCATCGACTACATTTTCCACGTTAGCCCAATAGGGATATAAGTGGCGCACTATTGTATGACTGCTCACATCGACTGCATCGCGGTCACCAAGCGGGGGGATCGGAAATAGGAGGTAAACCGAAGCTGACATTGGCTCGGGAATCGGTCGGAATAGAAGCAAACCAGGATTCCAGGAAAGAAACAAGATTATGGCGCACTGGAGTAGCACGAGGGTCACCCGCGAACCCTGTCTATCTCGGTCAAATATCAGATATTGCCCTTAGGCGAGGATCTCTCCCCAGGACATGGAACACAATGACGGCCTGGGGGTAACCATAGCATGCTTGTTGATCCTGGGCTGGAGGACAAGGAAAGGAAGTGATGATTCAAATGGAATGAATGTCAGGGTAGGACGCAGGGATAATCCCAATCAACCCGAACAATGAAATCCCCCACATTTCCCCGCATTCCAAGAATTGGACTCGCTTGTACGAGTATTTCTATCGAGACTCGGATGTTGTTGACTATTAATCAATAATTCGATCGACGGGAGTAAACAAATTAAATACAAAATTGGACGTAATACCCTCATGTGGTACTGAATCCGATTCATCTCCAGGCATCTATGGAGGGAAACACCAGGGGACTTTCCAAACGTGCCCGTCAATGCTTAATTGTAAAACAACAATTCAAATGTGATTCTCTAAAGACGACCCACATACCTCAAATAAGAAGTGCCGAGTATAGTCCCACTATAGTGGAGAAGGATCTCGTTCTGGTCAAATGCCACAGCAAGAGCGGTAGGATCAAGAATGAAGCCTGTTGTTCGTTCTTCCTAAGATACAGCTTGAAGCATGGTATTGATGCCTCGGGCCTACTATCCTCCCCCCCCCCCCCCCTTCCTTCGCTTCCTGGCCGTAAATAATGAGAATACTAACCTGAGTAACATCGTGAGAAAGGTTAGTAGGAATTTAGCAGATTGCTACTACTGCAGTACAAGGAAGAAAGCAAGGATATACCCGAGTTGAGCGATCGGCAGAAAGGTGCAATGAAAGGTCTCATAAAAATATTTAAGAAGAAACTACTAACTAGACTTGATTTTACTCTATAACTACTATATCTTTTTTCGCTTCACTCCAAGACTGTTCATATCAGTCTAAATTCAGCAACAAAGTTATGTCAGATAAAAGTTTCTGAAAAATAACATCAACATGTATTCTATAAAACGAAAATACGCAATTCAATACATAAATCCTTCGAGCCCTAGCTTGCCATTTCACGAAAGTACGAGTAGATGTGCAACCCTTATTCCCCTCTGGATGTCTGTATCTAGTTTTGTTTAGTTGCAGGAGGAATGACTCAGTCTCAGCTGAATGGCTGAAAAGACGGAAGCATCCTTCGTTGATTGACTGCCAACAAAAAGACCCAAATGTGAAATAGCGTGAGGCAGTTCAATGATTCGCTTTTGTATTCTACCAGAATACGAGATACATTTGCTAGTATTTGGGCTCGGTAGAGTACCGGTCTCTCGATGAATGTGATCTATCAGCAGAAATCCAGAAAATACCTTCCATCTGGGTATATTGAGTTTAAATCTATATCGACGTACTATTCGAGGTGTTGCGTGAGGTGTTAGCTCGTGGCTACGCCGGACTTGACGGGAGCTCCGTGCTCTCCCAGCCTGTTCCTGTCATTCCAGGATTTCTTCGCGGTCCCTCTTGCAGGGTTACATCTTATGCACTAATCAGTTCATCCTTATGATTGATTTCATTAGTAGCCATCGACGATCGAAGCCTGAACAACAATCCTACTGTGGGGCCACCCCTGCCAATAAATTTGCAGGACGGAGTCTTTCCCGCTACTACTAGTAGTAGGTCCCTACACAATAAGATGTAGCGTATGTCTATATCTTTTCCCAGCTGTAGTCCGGTCCTTAACTTTCCTCGTAGTTCAACTGGCTATCCATAAAAAACTTGGGCTTAATACCAGCCCTTTCAGCCAGCTATAGTACCTCATGAAGCTTCACCCGACTGAAATATTGATCCTTGTCTGGGATCTATTTACGATTCTCACCGCTACTTGCGCGACAGTCGATGGTGATTCATACACTGGCCCCTCACCTAGGTGATGTGCAGGATCTAGCTATAGCTATCGATCTATGTATTTATTTACAGTAAGCTATTCCTTTCTTAATAAACTGGAAGGCTCGTCAAAGCCTGTGGTAGTCCCATGCCTGGCGTTCTATACTGTGGTCTAGTATCTTCCTTACCTTGGTCTGATCCTCAAGCGATTCGTTCTGTTTGAATACACATACAGCTTCCCTAGTAATTCGAACACTATACATCTCCTCATACTATTCATCTTGAAGCCGTTGGCCGACCAGGCACCGACGGCGTAGCGCTAGCCTGATTACGTACGCCGAAGGCGCCCTTACAGGTCCGCTGTGTTGTTTCCACCAGGAAGGATCAATGATGTGAAATTGTTAAAGTGCTGTTTACACTATAGAGTTATTCCAGAATCTTGTATCACTAATACAAAATACTGTATGAAGTGCAATCAGGATGACTGTTCTGAGTTATGGTTTGGTTGAGTCCCGGACTCTTGTTGTTGTTAGGGTTTGGGAAAAATCAGAGCTACTGTGTACAAGTATATCTCGGAAACCGATTTTTAAATATCCTGTAACAAGATGCCCTCTTTGCTTGTCTTTCTATCCGCCATACTATAGGATAATAGTCTCAGGGCATCCCCTGAAGATATAATGAACTTTCTAGGCTGATATCACCATGAATTCATTTTCCATGAGCGAAATGATCAACAACATGCTAAGCCATCTCGGGCTTAGCGCTGAGATCTGACCCATCACGGAAGAACTGGAGTTCGAGTCAGTCCAACAAAGTGCCGTTGCTGTATACTTACAACCTCCTGATTCAGACATATTTCTATCATCCTTTGGGTATTGCTCATGGGTTCTCAAATCGCATGATATACGGCTCGACAAACCCCTGAACACCTGTCATGGCACTCTTGACAACCTCATCCCAGCCGGGTAAGACAGGTCGCTCCGCCTTTAAGTTTGATCTGCAAGAAGCGAGATTGGATCCAGCTTGAGCTGAAGCGTGGATACCGCCTCGTCATAGCAAGCCAGTCAGCTTCCGCCAGCATCAGGATACGGCACTAGTACCGTACCTACTATTCGATTGCATGCGGACCTATCAAGGTTTGCTGCCCAATAACATGACGTGTTTTATGAATTGTCGGTGAAAATGCCGTTTTTACTCTCCCTATACATTGCCGAAGGGGGCCGCTGTCTCGAGCCTACGAGATGTTCTGGTCGCAATCATTGTGGCTTTTCCGATGGCAATCTTCACCTCAGTTGAGCTCGAAGTGGCTACGCAACAGCCTTCACGGTTGAAGCCCGCACAGACCAAAGAGCACCTGCGACAAGCACCACCATATCATCGGGCAGTTCTATGTTTTATCTTTCGAGACGCCAATATAGAACAAGCATTGCCGAAGAGTACAAAGCCAAATAGCGCCCAGGTTCGGAAAAGCGATAGGGTTCCACTGCCATGGTTTGCCTTACAACCCTTTACACTCCTAACTACTATTAGTTTCGATAGCTAAAATGCTACAGTGGCCCTCTGGAACCCCTGCTGGGGGTAATCGAAAACAATAATGCGAGTCCCGTGGACACCGCTTGGAAAACGATCAAAAGACAGACAACCATACCACCATCCTCACTGTCAGTCCTTCGATATGGGAAAAGCTTTCTTTCAGAGACATCATCTATCGGCCAGAGATGCCTCTTTTACCCGTTCGCATTCCATCTCAATACCTTGTCAGGCCTCAGTCCCGAGGTAGATAATTTACGTCTTGATCGAAGTATCTGTGGATGGAATAACCACGAGCCGAATGCGTATGACTTGGTGGGCAGTCATTACTTCGGACAGGGCTTGCGGAAGGTTTGGTTCGAGATCGACCTTGGCCCAACACCGGGAAAGATGTTGGCGAGTGGTTTGAAACAGCTTCAACACGATCATGAAAGCGGTGCACGAAAATTAGCTGCTGTTTCTGTGAACATCCTTCAAGCGGTCTTGGCCCACCTTGACGACCCCATCATTCTCAGTGGCCCATGGTGGCAGAAAGCCAGGATGACGGCCTGGCATCTCTGGAAAAATGGGCGTCAGAGTATGGACGCGGCCATTCTCAGCTTTCTATTGATGACACTGACCGAGATTGAGACGCTTTTATTGACTGTAGGCCCTGAGGAAGCCTGCGATAAGCTGCAGGTCTCCGAACTCTTCGACCGGATTCAGAAAAAGATACGCTCATATAAGCTTCGCCTTAGCTACAACTTCGGATCATACGCCATGTCTAAGATTAGCCGAACTGGTTGTGTACCTAAGCACTTGACAATTATGACACTCTCTGCGAGTTGTACCATTCGTGAATGCATTACACAGCTAGTACGGATCTCCGGTGCTCAATCAATCGAAATCCGCGTTTTGGAATCACGACCTTTATTTGAAGGCGTTTCATTAGCATCTTCAATTCTAGAACATCTTGAGAATGAACCGAACAGTCCCAAAGTCAATATATCTATTTTCACCGACGCTTCGGTCGCCCTGGCAGCTCAAAATGTCGATTTCCTTCTGCTTGCAGCAGATCGTATTGCAGCTGACGGGTCCGTTAGTAATAAAACCGGATCTCTGCCGGCAGCTCTAAGCGTGCGGCATGTCTCGCCCTCGGCAGACATTATCGTTGTGAGTGAAATCGATAAAGTCGCTATGCAAAGCTGTGATACAGAAGCACATACCATGGAAAACAATGAGTCCTCGGAGGTTGTGGATGCCTGGCAGCAGAGTGAGACCGTAAAAGGACTCGGGGTCATTGAGCAGAAAATTCAAAGGAAGGGTCGACAAGTCACAGTCAACGTACCGAATGTTTACTTCGAATGGGTCCCTCCAACATTGATAGACGCCTATATCTGTGAAGATGGTGTCAAACTCCCACCTGATTTTCGAAAACGATCACAGTGGATAAAAGACCAATGCGAGAGATACTTTGACAATAACTTGTGAACCTGAGCACCAGAAGCATATTGTAATCCAGGTAATATTTGAGAGAAGGGAACATGGTTTATGAATTTTCATTGAACTAGCTAATACACATCGATTTTCTGCAAAGCCCATTCTTCCCGTGTCCTATTCAGACAAGAAAGAGTCCCTTGAAGTCAGGGTAGTGTTCAAACGTAGATCACAGATCTGCGAAGATGATCGTCCTACACGGTAGTATCTAATAAACGGGGGGGTTTCACCGAAGTTATAGCAGTGCTACTGTAGACGGGTCAGACTCCCAGGAACTCCACGCTCCAAGCCCGTGTCGACTTGAAAGTTCCTCGTGCCGATACTGACAGGTTAGGGTGTGAGATATTCCGATGTTTATGTTGATGCATCCTGTAGTCCCCAGAAGTGGACCTGGTTTCAGAAGTCTGGGTTGAAAGCGACCATATAGTCCGGAGTAGTGGAGACAGGATCTTCCCAACACTAAACAGGAGCGTGCACCGCGACCACAGTAGCTGATAAATCTCTCAATGGTCTAAGTTCACGTTGAATGGCCACTGTCTCCACTTCATGTTGGCCTCTTGAGTTCAACGACGTGGACCGCACTTCCCGAATGCCATGGCCCAGTAGAATGCCCAGACATCCACTTCTTCGGCATGCAGCCGTCCCCACAGACCGGGTGAATCGACCGAGTCAAGCGGTTCAAGAGTTATATTAGGGGTTTAGTATAGCCTGGACCCATCAGGCCATTTTGGGTTTCACTGCCTCAAACCGTCTCCGGTGCTAACGAGAGAAATCCGTAGTCCAATGATAATGGACTGGGCTTGGAGCGAACACGGAATATTTCTGTGTTCTTTGATCGTCTTGGCCCTTTTGAATCATATTAGATTGCTCTCATATTGATATTAATATTCAATCGGTCGTTTAATTCCCCCCCCCTCGACGAACGGTTCTAGTACGCTCTAGGGAGCACCGCTGTAGATCGTTGCCGGTACGTGGCTTATGATCTCCGTTTCCAACAACTGCCAATGAAAAAAATCATACATGGTGGCTAGACCCAGGTATTTCGTAATAATAATGATTTTTCCTTCGTCGCTGTTTGCTTGTCATGTACGGAAACACAAGGAATCGTCCAAATACGCCTACATCCCGCATTCCACATGGTGACCCCAGCATCGCCTCTATCACTTTGTGTGCAATGGCCCAGTTTTCACCCGACAGCTGGACGCCAGCGGTCAATGTCTTGACTTGGTTTCTGCTGGTGACGGCAACTTTGAGCGTGATCACTCGACTGGGGACCAAATACTGGATCTTTCGCAAGTTCACTGAAGATGATTACTTCAGTATCGCTTCATTGGTATGATTTGACATGGAATGGGGGTGGAGAATGTTACGGGACATGGGTGCTGATTCCCACCAGGTACTCTGCGCTGCGCAGTCCATCGCCGTGTCGATGGCGACTGCCAACGGGTACGGAGAGCATTATGAGAGTTTGAGTAGTTCTAGCATTGAAGCAATGATGAAAGTGAGCAAGGCACGCGCCCTCCTCAAATACTATACTCACGACGATTAGTCGCAATACTCGGCAAATATCCTCTTCATCCTCAGCATGTGTTTCTCTAAGCTCGCCCTGATCAGCTTCATCGATAACTTGACGCCTGCTTCTACAGACCACCGCATCGCAGTTGGTCTGAAAACGTCCACTCTTGTTTGGGGGGTGATTGGCCTCATAACCTCGGTTTTTCAGTGCAAGCCCCTTCGAACTTGGGATTATCTGCATGGGAAATGCTTTAACATTGTGGGTGATGTCCATTTCTGAAAACAGCAAAATGACTGACGGATCAACAGAATGCCTGGTGGAATTATCTTGGCACCACGAATATCTTGTCAGAATGTGGTATGATGATACAGGCGATGCTAGTCATTGTGCGCATCCAGACACATCTGAAGAAAAAGGCTGTCTTGGCCGGGGTGTTCATGCTTCGGGTCGCGTTCGTGTCCCGGTATCTTCCGTCGTGTTAGCCTCTACTAACTTCATGCGCAGAGTTATTATAATGATTATCTGTCAGCTGGTCTATGCTAGTAAAACTGTCGAATCTCCCGATCCATCCCATGAGACTTGGCCCGTGGCGATATCCACTCAGCTAGTGCAGTCTTTAAGCATTGTCACGGCCTGCTCGCCCCAATTCAAACCATTTCTCGACAGTCTGCGCTCGACGGGGATGCGCCTTGATGGGATGACAAGTTACGGTCACTCGCAAAAGGGGTACGGCTCATACTCTGCTTCGCGTGCCCGGAGTCGAAGAGGCACGGTTCGCAGCGATATGCATGAGCTTGTCCCCCTCCCGATCCAGGATACCCACCAGGCTACGGTGACTACCTCGACGCCATCGCTGGGCTGGGATGGAGAAAGTCAATCGAGCCAGGCGCATATTATCCATGAGACTAGGACTTGGACCGTGACCGAGGTGCGGCGTAGTTTCGCCGAGAATACCAAGTGATGCGGTCGCACTCCTTAGGTCTCTTTTAATGTCACGATAAATATTGGATGATACTACGTATGAACCTTATATTAATGTCTTTCCACTCCATACACTATTTCCCTCGGTGGACTTGGGTTTCGCCCAATGGCAGGAGTCGTAGGATTCTAGATCCCAGGGTCAGTCCCACAAGGGGGTTTCCACTTATATTGGGATGCATATTAATTCCACCGATGGGAGCCGAGCGGGAGTCCTTGGCATCCTCGAATCTAGCTCAACAAACTAAGTATCTTAGGGGCGACCTCAGGATTTTAGCGGTACAACGGACGTGCCGTTTGGGTTGATCGCGAATGGTCCGTTGTGGGGCCGCAGGGAAAGAACCGCGAGTGATATACAACTTCATGTGCCAGAGCATCAGTTTAGTCCTATTAGATATTAGTACGTGTTCAACACAGACCTGGGTCCGTCTGAGGTAGTGTTCGGGGAGGCAAACCCTCCGAGGATGCTACGATTCAGAGACATCGCCGGCCATCTTAGGGTTAGCCCCCGCAAGGGTCGATTCGTTGACAAATTAATCGAACCGGTTATAGCCACTGGCAGTCCGGGACTCTACAGAGAGTCTGATATTAATTGGCCCCCTATACAACAGAAATTGTTATACGAGAAGTGTCGGGACTAGTCCCTTGACTAAGTATTTCCATTTGTCTTGCAGCTCACTACGATGTAGTACTAGTCTTAATTACCGAGTAACTTGCATATACAGGGATTACGATTAAACATTCCACATTCCTTCCTACACATGGCCAGATACCCGCACTGCCTTTCCCTTTTTCTTAAAGATTGGGAGTCTGGGTTCTTGATATCTAGAACAACTACTTTGACAGGCCTACCCTCAGGCTCCTCCGTTACATTCTTTTCAGAGCCATTTGCTTCACCATGGCCTCCCATGAGCTTAAGCAAATGGCGCCTGCCGCTCCACACGAGTTAGAGGGCCGCCCCTTGAGTAAAGAGACAGATGATGTCAATTTGATACGCTTGGGCAAGCGCCCTGTCTTAAAGGTACTACCCCTGCTATACAATTATCTATGCTTATTGTTCCTTGCTTATCATCATTAGCGGAATTTCGGCTTGATGTCAATGCTGGGTTTTAGCTGCACGATCCTCATCACGTGGGAAGGTATTGTCGTGTACGTCCTTTACATCAATGGATTGGAATATTTGGCATGATCGATCTTACTGATATATGAGCAGATTATTCTTGCAAGCGTTTCAAAAGTATGGAGTCAACCCGCGATTCATTTGTTCCGTGAGATGTTAATAGAAGTGTTCCAGTGGAGGCCCAGCAGGAGCCGTGTATGGTTTCATCTTCGTTTGGGCTGGTGTTGCAGCGACCTTTGTGGTTTTATCGGAGCTGGCATCAATGTATGAAACATCCTATCGTGATGTGATGGGCTCTATAATGACATTTGCCTAGGGCTCCAACATCCGGCGGCCAGTATCATTGGTGCTCTATGCTGGCACCTCCGTCTGCGATGAAGCTCTTCAGCTATCTGACAGGTGAGCACTTCATCAAACCTGCGACAAGAACCATTCGTTCCTACTCTTACACCGTGACCCAGGCTGGCTTACTGTCATCGGGTGGCAAGCAACTTTTGCAACTTCGTGCTTTCTTTCTGGGACGCTCATACAAGGCCTTATCGTCCTCACGAACTCCAGTTATGAACCCAAGAACTGGCATGGGACTCTCCTTTTTTGGGCTGTCGCTGTTTTCTCCGTAGGGATCAATAGTGTAGGAGGGAACCTGCTGCCCCGTTTTGAGGGCCTGATCCTCATCCTCCACATTCTCGGTTTCTTCGCCATTCTTATCCCGCTCACATATATGGCGGACCACTCGAGTGCGGAGGAGGTGTTCACCCACTTCCTGAACCTGGGCGAATGGCCCACGCAGGGGTTGTCATTTTTTATCGGTCTAGTCGGTTGCGTGTTTGCATTTGCAGGGGGTGACGCTGCTGTTCATGTGCGATTCTTAGTTTCAGCTGCAAATGAGACCAGACGCTGACTCCTATCTGCAGATGTCCGAAGAAATCACAAACGCGCCAGTTGCTGTCCCACGTTCCATCATGCTTAGTGTTCTCATCAACGGAACGTTGGGTTTCAGCATGCTGATCGCCATGTTGTTCTGCCTGGGAGATATCGAGGCAGCCCTGGAGTCTCCAACGGGTTACCCATTCATGGCAATTTTCCTCCAAGCGACGCGCTCTGTGGCCGGCACAGCAACCATGGGCGCCATCATTACGACCATGGGAATTTGCACATCGGTCGGCATGTTGGCCTCAACATCACGGCAATTCTGGTCTTTTGCGAGAGACCGCGGAATCCCTGGCTGGCGCTTATGGAGCAAGGTATGTGCACCCAACCCTTCCCTACTTACTCCGTCTCCAAGCTCCCCTCCTACTGTACAAATAATCGATCACTAACATACAACTAGGTGACGCCCGAATCCGCCATCCCGATCTACTCCGTCGGCCTCACAACGATAGTCGCCTGCCTCCTAGCCCTAATCAACATCGGCTCCTCGGTCGCCTTCAACGACCTCGTCTCCATGTCCATCTCCGGCCTCTACCTCTCCTACATGGTCGTCGCCACCCTCCTCCTCTACAGACGCTGCACAGGCGGTATCAGCAGCTCCAAGAGCAGCGAGGACGCCATCGTCAACACAGCCGGCGCAAAGCTCGTCTGGGGCCCTTTCCATCTACCGGGTATCTGGGGCATCCTGGTTAATACCTTCGCGCTGATATATATGACGATCGCAGTCTTCTTTAGTTTCTGGCCGCCACAGCATACGGTTACGGTTGACACGATGAACTTTAGTGTGGTTGGCACGGTGGGGGTTATTATTTTGAGTCTTGTGTATTATGTTCTAAGGGCGAGGAATGTTTACGCGGGGCCTATTGTTGAGATGCATCTTTGATTTCTGTTAAGGGTGGTTTATATTATACGATATAATGGGGGAGGGAGGTGGGATGGTGGTGGATCAGTGTATCTAGTACTTTTTTGGGAATTACTTTGGGAGGTGTCCTATATCCTGATTTATATACATGACGGTCTATTCTCTATTACTGGTGTGTTTAGTATCCCGTATACTCTGGAAAGGACGAGGCTAGATTAACTGCCATTTCTTTTACAAGTTATTTGAATACTGCCCCGAGTGCAATGCGATGTCTTGAACCATGGTGGTAGGGTCCACTGTATGGAAAGATCATCATGAAGTTGTTGGTTCTGCTAAGGCATACATACAAACTTTGACTCGATCATCTCTCGGCTTGCTGGTGACTGTGCACTGCTTCGGGTGACTCGCTAACGTTATATATGCGACACCTGCTTGTATGCCAGGGTGTATATTAGGTGATGTTGTATGTCCTTTCCGGCCGTAAGCATAGAGTCGAGAATCCTCAGATGCAACCTTCCATTTGCGACGTAGGCACCATGCTTCTTGTAGATAGCATGAGCCGGGGAGTATCAGACTTTGGAAACCCAAGAGTTATTCAAATGTTCACATGAAATCAGAGCATTACCCACCGAAATACGTGTGCTCAGATTTTCAGACTCTGGGAAAGTTCTTGCTCAGCATAAGATGGTAAGAGGAAGAGGGTATCCTCGCACCTGGCATAGCGGGATGGTATGCTTTGGCTAGCAAGCTCCTAATCCTCCAGTGACTTGATTGGCCCGAGTCGGTCACGGATTATGCAGTATCTTGCCCGTTGTACGATTCCTATTTGATTAGAACGACACTGGCTTTAGGTTCGGGCCGAGTGGCTCGGTTAGTTTTGTGTGTACTATGTGGATAAATATCAGGGTTAGTGTTAATCAGACGATTGGAACCCCAAAGGGACCATGTTTCCATGGTTTCTCGGGGGTAGTCTGAGCCGTTAAGGCACACCAATGCATGCCCCTGGTGGAGTAGGGCGCCCATATGAAGGGCCCACATGGTGTGTGTTCTCAAGCCCTTGGAGGTCAAGCTACAACAAGCAACGGCTTGCATATCTGGGCATGCATGGGGCGAGATCGGGGCGGGTTGGGGTAATTACCATGTCTGGGAGGTTTGTGAGTGGTTTGGTTTCGCTATCTGAGTGCTTGCTTTCGTTTCGTGTATACATGGTTATAGGTAGTCGAGTTTCACTCGCCTTCATCGGCCAAGAGCTCTTTTACCCTTTGCCTTAGGTAGAACATGGAGTTGTTCCAATAAAGCTTCTCCCGTGACACCCCTTGTTGAGATCATGCATGAAACGCTGAGCAGTAAGGGTGCATCCTGCCTTCAGCGTATTGTAGCGCTTTGATGGTGAAGGCCGATGGGTTACTGCAACAGCAAGTGAACCGAGATCGAAGTGCTATATTGTAAATTCAATCATGTACCGCCATTGAGGCCTGAGTCTCCCCCAAGGTCCTTAATCGGCGAGCATATAAAAGCAGCCTTTACAGTCCCATATTCAGATATACTACAGAAGATCGAAATCGCATTAACGCATCAAAATTATCTCGATCCAAGCCTAGGAAAGACACAAGCCGATATTGAGAAGTTCAAGGGATAGAATTCTTCTAGAATGTCTATAGTTCAAAGCAATATATCTAAACCGATCATCATAACATTACATGACTCATCATTGCAGAAAATGATACCAGAAAAACACAAAAGGTATAAAACGTGACTGATTACCTTTAACACCGGGGCTGAAGTTCATCTCAGCAGTGATTGATTCAAGCTGAAGCGGCTTTCACATCCTCCTCGTTGCTCATGATCTGAACCTTGATGGCTCCAGTCTTGGGGTCTGCAGCAGTTTCGAAGGCCTTGAGAGCGTCCTCCAAGAGGAAGCGATGTGTAACAAGCTTCTTCAGGCTGATGACACCGTTCCTCACAAGGCGAATGGCGCGGGGCCAGGTGTTGCAGTAGCGGTACTGGTACTGAAGGTCGATCTCTTGGGTACTCAGGCGCATGAACGGAATCTTCATCTCGTTCTTGCCCACACCGATCACGAAGACCTTGCCACCGAACTTGACACTCCAGATGGCAGATGCGACACTGCTCTCAACTCCAGTGCACTCCAGTGCCAGCTTAGGCTTCAGAGCATCAGGAGCGGAGCCCTGGCCATCGTTAAAGGCATCGATAATACCCGCAGCGTTATCCTCGGCGGACAGATTGGTCTGCACCTTGTAGGTGATAACCTCGGGAACCAACGACTTAGCAAATGCTAGTCTTCCCTCGTCGATATCGGTGATGACAATGGGTGTTGCGCCGGCGGCGCGGGCACTGAGGAGAGTGATCAAACCGATGGGACCAGCACCGGTGACAAGAACAGGGTCGCCCAAGCGAAGCCCGCTTCGCTCAATCGCAGCCAAAGACACGCTGAGGGGTTCCAACAGAGCGCCATCCTCATAGCTCATATCACCGATCTTGTGGCACCACACAGCTGGGTGGTTGACATAGCGCCGCAGCAAACCGTCTACGGGAGGAGTGGACAGGAAAAGCACCTTGTCACAACCGTTGTAACGTCCAGTCAGGCAAGGCTCGCAAGCGTGGCAGGGAATGTTGGGCTCGACGGCGACACGGTCGCCTGGCTTGAGATGGGTGACATCGGAGGCAACTGCAATCACTTCACCGGCCGACTCGTGACCCAGGATGTGGTCTCCCGTGACAATCATGGGACCAATGCAGCCGGCATGCCAGAAATGCACGTCAGATCTATCATGAACACCAATCGTCAGTTTTGAGAACATGTCACTAGGAACAAAAGCGCATACCCGCAAATTCCGGTACTGCGAACCTGAACTGTTACCTCACCGGGCTTCAAGCTCTCGCCACTCTTCACCTCCTCGAGCGTCGGTTTCGATTCCGCGACCCACAAGTCGTGGTTGGTGTTGGTGTAAACACCAATGTTGGTCTTTTCGAGGACAGTTGCGGTAGCCATGATGTGCAAGGAAGGAGGTCTGAATATTGACGGTAGGAGGATCGAGAGGAGTGAGGGAATGCAGCAAGCAGGACAGGCAGGAAGGTTAGGGGAGCCAACAAGCTTTAATAGCTGCCCGACGGAGCTACCCCTCCAGGATGGGGAAAGTGAAAAGGAGCATTGAAAATATTTTCAATCAGACCCAGCTCACAAAGTCACTGAGGATCCTGATTGCGCATGAAAGACGGTCAACCATCAAGCCGATACTACTGCTCCATCTTCCTGCGGGACGGAGTGGAGGCATCGTGGCACCCATAAGTGGCCCAGATTTTATTTAGCCGGTGCCCCGCGCCCGCGGGGTCACTTCTGGGGCATCACCATTGGTCACCATTTGAAGTCATAGTGCTCGCTGAGTCTCCGGAGAATTGACCCATTACCGTATCTGGAGGTTGTAGCCTCAGTATGACCGGGGCTTTGAGCGGAATATCTTTGGCCTCCTTTCTATCGCAGCCACCTACTGATGTTTTAGGCAACTATAGGAACCAGGAGCGGATTCGCGAACCCCGACCATTGATGAAATGGGAAAGGGTTGCGCATACAAAGTATCTCTTGGAGAGAAACTCTATAAGCATCATGGCCAATAGTCTATGGATGGTTCTATTTATCGTTAACTATATGTCCGAGCATCATGATGGTTGATTGAAATGCCCCTAGAACGAATGTCATTTGGTTCAATGAGTTGATAATATATCCACAAAATGAGAAGCCCGTCAGACAATGGAAGATACCATTTCTAAACTGATAACTAGGCTATCTATCTCTATCTGAAACTAATCTGCTGCAGAATAACATAGGGTTCTCTCGGTTAAATAGGGATTTTAGCCATTTTTGATCATTGAACGACCGCAAAACGCGCATTTTCGATACATCTTGCGCCTCCACAAGAAAAATGAATAAGAAACCCTGAATCCACAAGCATTATCAAATTTTTTGTCCAACAAATCATGTAGCATTCATTGGCTTCGGTGCCTGGGCCAGAACCATAGTTCAGTGGATTGTTCCCAGAGCGGAAATTCTCCGGTGGAAACGTCGCCTTCTTTGGTGGAGAATCCACAAGGCCGTTCGATGCTCTTGTATCCATCCCGACCTGCTCACGGGTTCAATCGGCAACTCTCGATCCCTCTCCGGTCATGAAGTTTTGGACAGTCATAGGACGGATTAATTCTTCCTCTCGGTTTCACTGTGAGCCGTTACTCGGGTCTTCCGAAAAGTCATATGGATTGACCTGTCTCGGATTGATGAGAAGCTGCTATATAGTTATCGAAGATCTTCTCCGTCCTGCAGCTATTTATAAATAGCGACAGTGTTCTACGACAATAATATTATTCGAGGACAGCGGACTACAAAGAGGGTTTATAAAATTCAATATCATCGAGTTTCCGAAAAGCGCCATTTATTGGGGATCGCGTTTCAACCGAGTCACGCATCGAATCGGCTCTCTGAATTATATTGGTTTGTAGGGTATACTCACAGTGTATTTGGCGCATGACTCTCTGAGTCGACTTTGATTAGCGTGGCATTCTTCTATAACTTTCCTGCGTCACGAATGATAAGTGAACAAACACTTTTCAATGTGACATCGCCAATAGTGTTACCTAAGGCATTCTAAAGATGTCATATATGATGCCGACTCGCTGCGATTGGCCAGCAGTTTTGTCAGTCCACTCGTCAGGGCCTTCTCTTACTCTAAGAACTTCTAGAGAAGTTCTAGAGGAAAAGCTTAATGCATCCTCATACCACAGGTTAAGCTGCCTCAAGTACGGGACCAATCTCACGCGAGAAACCCTTTGGGACCTCACGACAGAGTCCTGTAGATAGCATGTCATTAAATGTCTCTCATGCTAAAGTCCTGATCAGAGTTTTGCCGATATTATGAGCGTATAAAGTGTTTCATCTCCTGCACTCTTTCGTTTGATCTCAAAACTTCGTATAGTAGGGTTTGAGCATTGTTTGTCCAATGGTCCAAGGCCATTCAGGAAGAGCCCACAAGGTTAATCAAGTCTTATATAGATAAGGTTTGTCAGTCTCTTACACAGCTAGTCTGGTCCATCGCAGGCTCGACCTAGTATTTCGTATGCCCTCGGAGATTTTGGTCTGGCCATATTATCGTAATCATGGCTTTGATGGGCTCTCCAGAATTTTGAACTTCTAAGAGCTCTTAACAGCATACTTTCCAGTATTTGGAGATCTTAATGCTCTGGTTCATGGACGGTTGTATTAGATCTCGGCAAAGGCCTGCACTCTTGGGCCGGGAGGTAGATATATATAGTGCGCGCAGGTTATGTGATGCTTGCATGCTTTCCATAGAGTTAGAGGGAGAGTTGGTCCCCGTGAGGCCGCGCTTGGCTCTCTGGCCGTGGATTTATAAGAACTCTCTGCCTTTCTAGAGACTGACGCAGTTTTTTGTCATTTGAAGAGATATCAAATAGGCGTATTTCATCGTCATAACAAAAACGTCGCGTAGATCAATGCCGAATTAGACATTAGCCGCATTTCCATAATGGCATGCTTAAGATCAGAGTATTAAGCAAGTAGCCAACAATTGATGGATTGCTCAATTAAACATTGTATCTACCAAAAGAAATGCATGATTGGCTGTAGAATTAATCGAGGTGCGGAGGTCTTTATTCTCCTGGCAACTATGTGATGGGATGACAGAAGATTCGCGCCTAGTAGTCATTAAAAAATATTACGGAAGCCTGCTGTTGGTCACCTACTAATAGTAGATCACGGACTGTTGACTTTAGGAGTTTGCACAATTGCTCCTGGTCGGGCCGTTGGATGGCATGTCAACAGTGCCGCCGTGCACGTGACCAAATGGAGAGAGCGTTTTCCCTGAACTTCCCGAGCCTCAAATCTCAGATTCTGGTCCTGCAATTGCGCGACGATCCAGTGTCTCCGGCTCTTGACCACACCGCCATTGGACTTCTTTGTCCTCCCTCTGCCACTTTTAAAAGTCTTTCTCTCCTTTTACAGTCTTTTTCTTTTTCGTGGTCTCCAAGATGCCCGCTACGGCGTCCCGTGCCGTTCTTCGGCAATCGCAGTTCCTGACCCGGAGGACCGCTGTCAGATACGCCTCCTCCACCTCCGAGTCCGCTCAGAAGGCTGGCGAGGCTGCATCCTCTGCTGCCTCCAAGGCGTCTGAGGGTCTCTCTCGTGTCACATCGACCGCTGGCCCCGCTCTTTCGAATGCCGCCCAGGGCGTCGGCAGTGCACTGAGGAAGGTTGGTGGAAGGACCGGAAAAGTCATCGCTTTCGTCGATTGTAAGAAGTTCTCTGATGTCTCCGTCTCTTGAAGTCTCGCTCTGCCCTGCCAGCAGTGGGAGCCGTGGTCACCATTGCCATTGCTACCACGACTCCTGCGTTGGGGCACGCGCCAGCCACTTCAACCTCCGCCCGATATATGTATCAGCATCGCTAACTATACTGGGATGAAACAGCTATGATACCCCCCACCCTCTACTACGGCAAGGTCGGCCTTGAACTCGCCAAGCTCGTTTTCCGTGGACAGAGCATGACTCCTCCGTAAGCGCTTCCATGTGACCGACCAAGTACCGGACATTGACTAACATCCCGCAGCAACCTGGCTACCTTCCAGTCCTTCTACCAGCCTCTGCTCAACGCTTTCCGCAGCCCTGCCGCCCTTAAGAACGCCAACTTCATCTCGCCCGGAGACATCGCCGCCCGTGTCCGCAATGCCAACAAGAAGGAAATCGCCCTGGCCGGTGTTACTCTCGCGGAGGTTATCGGATTCTTCACCGTCGGTGAGATGATCGGTAGAATGAACATTGTCGGCTACAGGGGCCACCCTGAGGACCACGGAGACCACTAGATCACCCGCAAGCACTAATGCATGGCCTGTCTTTTTTATATTTCCTTTTATCACTGCGTTCTGTACTATTGTATGATAGACGATGGAATTTAACTGTTGTCTGAGGTAAATCACGCACTTTTGGAGGAATCCCTCTTCTCCCTTGGATGCTTCAATTTAAGGGCGGTATACATGTCAATTGTTGCTCTTCTTGTTCTTTTCCTATTACCTGTGTCAAAAGTGGGAAGTCGTATAGAGATGTCCGTCAGTTATGTGTTAGACGTGCGTTTGAATTGATCATTCGTTACTATCTCCTAGTACTACTAGTACTGATATCTACGTAGCCAGCATCAATGTCAAGGGTGTAACAACTTGAATTGCATCCCTCTAGAATGCAATACAAAACAAAAACACAGCTTCCAATGAAGGGTACCTCCACCATAGTGAAATTTCTAGAACGGGCCCTGGAGTCAAATCAATTTCATGCTAGCAGCTTTTTTGTGGAGTCCGGTTTAAGGTACGGTATCGTAACAGATGGAGAAACACAACGCTGATTGGCCCGTGCGGAAAAGAATTTCTGCTCTCCAACTTTTTTTTTATACCGCGTATCCAACCACCACCGCACCTTTATAACTTGTAAACCCGTCACAGCTATTCACATAGCATCTATTTTTCGGCAGGGGGCGACATAGCTGCCAGTTACAGCGATGGATGCTTTCAAGCTGTTGACCAGGTCGACCAAATTCAAGGCCGGTCCCAGCCCATCTTCAGCATCACTTCCCTCGACGGGCAAGGCGGAGAATCCGCAGCTGTTTCGTAATTCCGAATCTGAGAAGCTGCTGGAAGAACAGAAATATGGCAAGAAAAGAAAGAGGGGTTCTGCGGCGGATGAACCCGAGGAACGTGAGCCCAATCTGGACTTCTTCAGCTCTAATAAGGGATCTTCGAAGAAGGTTGTGAAGACCGAAGAGGCGCCATCGGATGAAGAACGGGGCTCTGGCTCGGAAGACGAAGACGAAATGGATGAAGTGCAACGCCGCACGATCTTAAATTCTCACAAGATCAAGGTGACGGACATGCGCGAGCTTGAAGAAATCCAACCTGTGCAGGCGCAGGGCGAAGAGGAACCGAAGAAGAAAAAGAAGAAGAGAAAGCAGAAAGAAGAGGCTGCTCAGACCCTCACTAAGAAGGAGCAGAAGAAGGCTCGGCGGTTATTCCCGCGGCCTCTTGTTTCTTTCAAGGAGTTGCGCACACAGCACAAGATCTCGCGCCGCCTGGCGGAGAACATCGCCGAGCAGGGCTTTACGGTACCTACGGAGGTGCAGTTGGGAACTCTGCCTTTGTTGCTAGGTGACCGGACGATTGTCCAGTCGAAGACAGATGAGACGGTTGAGCCGGATCTTTTGGTCGTTGCGCCTACGGGAAGTGGAAAGACCCTTTCATTCTTGATTCCGGTTATCAATAAGATTGTGCGCCACCATCATGACCAGCAAGAAGAGCGAGGCATTTTTGCGGTCATTGTTGCGCCGACTAAGGAGCTAGCTAGTCAGATTGTTAACGAAGGGAGAAAGTTGGTCTCGGGAACTGGTGTCAAGATCACGTTAATGAAGAAGGGCATGCAGGTGGTGGAGCGTGTGGACGGCGATGAGGACGTTTTGGACGAGGGCAGCTCAGAATCTTCCGAGTCAGAGGACGACGAAAAGACTACCGAGAAGAAGACCAAGGGCAAGGCCCCTGTCACTAAGAGCGACATTCTCGTAACGACTCCTCTGCAACTGGTCAATGCACTCTCTGCAAACAAAACAAAACCTATGTCTACATTGCCCTTGGTGAGGAATATTGTCCTTGATGAGGCAGATGTCCTCTTGGATCCCTTGTTCCGCGAGCAAACCCTTGATATCTGGCGCGCCTGTACACACCCTGAGCTTCGAGCAAGTCTATGGTCAGCTACTATGGGTTCGAGCATCGAAGACCTCGCCAAGTCCACAATCAAGGAGCGCAAGGATGCTTCAAGTCTCACAAAGTCTTACCCATTGTATCGCCTCGTCGTTGGATTGAAGGACTCTGCCATTCCCAACATCCAGCATAAGCTGGTCTACGCTGCAACGGAACAAGGAAAACTACTCGGTCTAAGACAACTCCTCCATCCTGCGGCAGCAGCAGCATCAGATATTCGCCTTCGTCCGCCGTTCCTGATCTTTACCCAGACTATTCCTAGAGCTGTGGCACTCCATTCAGAATTGCGCTACGATATTCCTCCAGAAGCTGGTGGTTCATCGCGTATCGCTGTCCTCCACTCCGATCTTTCGGACGGCCAACGCTCGGAGATTATGAAGAACTTCCGCAAGGGCGAGATCTGGATCCTCGTTACAACTGATCTTCTGGCTCGCGGTATCGACTTCCGCGGTATCAACGGTGTTGTCAACTACGATATTCCGAACTCAGCGGCTGTCTATGTTCACAGAGTTGGACGTACGGGCCGGGCCGGTCGTGAAGGCGGTATCGCAGTAACATACTACACAAAGGAAGATATTCCGTACGTGAAGAGCATTGCGAACATTATCGACGTCAGTGAGAAGTTACGAGGAACGGAGGGCGAAAAGTCAGTCCAGAAATGGCTTCTAGACTCTCTCCCCGACCTCAGCAAGAAGGACAAGAAAGAGTTGAAGAAACACGGCGTCAAAGCCAGACAGACGAACCTCAAGGGCGTGGCAGATGACAAGCAGCAGCGGAAGACAAGAATCAGCACGAAGAGCGGCTTCGAGCGACGCATGGAAAACAAGAAGAAGGGCGCCATCACAGCAAGCCGTAACAGGAAGCTCCAGGGGCCATCCAAATCAGGCGCAGAGTCTGATAGCGGCGACGACGGCTGGGGCGGCATCCAAGAGTAAAAAAAAACGTGCCAAAAATCTCTTGCATAATACTCTGTACACAAATGAAATTACGATTCCCCTTGCGAACAATGGATACCAATCACGAGTTATCATTCTTCTTAGCTTGCTGAGCTTGGGCTTGTTGTAAAAGCTGTTCAATCAACTTCCGCTTCAGAGCAATAGGCGCGAACGCATTATCCAATTTGTCCTGTTCCTCCAGAACATACTCCAACTCATCCCCATCGCGATCAAAATAAACCGCCCAGTCCCCATCCTCCTCTTGCACCGCATAAAAATCCAGACTCTCCTCCAGCGTTATCGTCGTCTCATCCTCTGTCCAATCCCACGGCCCAACAACATGCTCAACACTCGCCGTGCGATTCCCATACTTCAGTTCATGCGTATCCTTATCCACATAAATCCACCCCAGCATAGGCGGATTATCCGCAATGGTAGTAACAAGCCCCAATCCCCGCTTCAAATGTTTCGTCTCCTCAAGCTCCGGATACTCGATGTAAAACGAAGTCACCGTATGCGACGGAAGCTTCCGCTTCACAGGATTCGGATCATCGAGATAAACCTACACGAAAACGTGATTATCAAGTCAGCCATATGCATGCGCGCGCGCACGAGACAAATGCGGTGATGGGGAGCGCCACATACCTTGTTATTCCTTAATACGAACCGCTTCCCGCATACTTCGCTGTCTTCTTGGGTTTCTCCGTTGGTTTCCACGTCGATGAGGAATTTGGCCATGCGCCTCTCGTCGTTTTTGCGCTCGTTTGCTTTGCGCTGTTCGCTGACGCCTAGCGCGACCCCTGTTACGGTGGGAATTGCGGCTATTGTTAATAGGCCGATGACCATTTTGGTGGGTTGTTGACTAGATGAATCAGTTGGGGTAGATGTTGATCTCAGATATGAGTGTTTTAGGGTCTGTTTTAAGTTGGACGTTTTGGTGGTTATATATAGAGAATCAATATATTTGCATTTGAAATAATATAATATGTACAGACAGAAAGAAAAAAGAATGGTAATATAGATCTGTGGCGATGTGAATAGTTGATTGCGATAATGCTCAGGAACACAATGCCGTCATAGGCCTAGGCACGTGAGCGGGCATTTTGGTCGTATCGCGTGCCTGATACAGAAGGCTCCCAGTTACATCCATGGGACTCAACAATGAAAGACAAAAGGTACGATCAAATGGCATTCTATCGCTGTCATTGTTCAATTATCAATTTCTCATGCTAACTTGATAATAATACAGATGGTACATGTAAAGTTCTCATGTATTGTTCTATACTAACGATGGCTCGACCGATCGCTGCGCAGGGACATCTATGTAGTCTATCTATTCTCTATCGTCGCTCGTTGATCGTGGATTTTCGTGAAATCGTTCTAGTCCAGGTGATGTGATCTGACAAACCAGACCAATGGAATCATGAGCCGTGGCAGGCTAGAGCTTCTCGCTCCAACCCCAAACGGACCACCAGCATCGAACTGCTAGCGCTCCTCCATCTGCCGACTCCCAGTCATCGTACCCTATCTCCTCTCCCTCATGAACCGCCTCTAAACCAAGCTGCCCCATGCGCTCACGGAACTCTTGTACCTGCGGCAAGTATGCATCTCGCAGGGGCATTTCGGTCACCACGCGTGCATCAAGACCGCGGCTCAACCAGTGCCCGATGGTCTCCACGAGGCATTTGGGATGCTTGGGGGAATACAGAGGGTCAGCTGCCAGGATCAGGTCGTACTGTTCCTCTTGAGTGGGGAGGGGCTCGGGCGCAACGGACCAGTCCAACACGCCAGTCGTCACGGTCGCGGCCATGTTGGTAAGCAGCTCCACATTCAGAGCGGCATTGTGGGCAAGGTTAGGAACAATATCGGGGAGGTCTGTGAGATGAATCGAAGCCGACTGTCCGCGGATGGCCGCAAAGGAAAGGCCCACAAGACCTGTTCCAGCGCCTAGCTCTAGGGCCCGAAGTGTGCGGTCTGTCTTTGGGGTGGGTGTCGTCGTCTCAGATGGGACGAGTTGCGGGGTTGATTCGAGGAGAGAGTGGAGTCGTTGGGAGAGAAGGTACGAGGATACCCAGGTTTTCATTCCTAGGTTGTCGGCAGTCAAGGATGGTTCGTGCAGGGTCAGAGTCAGCTCTTCGCCCGACGGACTGGGAATTGTGAAGACACGGGACATGGCAGGCATCGCTATTGGAAGACCCCCAAGTTAGAAACACTGAACTCCTGGAAACAGTTAACTACAATTATATTCCTCGTACCGGTTCGCCCAGAGCGCTCGCTGAGTCGAGCAGCAGCAGCATCCCAAACAGCTTCCCGAAGCTCATCGGTATCTAGCCATGAAAGGGGACTCGAGATGATAGACGTCAAATAGCGTGGTACTCCGGTCGGGTGAACAGTTGGAGCCTTCACCGCTTCATGGCCACTTGAGGCGAAACTCTTTGGTTTGATCGCTAAGATGTCAAGAGCTCGTAAAAGTTCGGTGCCAGAAGGTTTAGTATGGATTTGAGGCAGGTCGAACACTGAAATGCTTATCAATCCACTATCGCTCCTATCAATTCGGGGAAATTGGAGACACATACCGTGGAGAGGCTCGTCGAGGTCCGCACTGATCATTGTAGCGGTCTGATGATAAATGGGGTTTGACTATGGCGAGTCTAGACCAACACAGAGGGGTAGGAGAGCCTTACTCCTCTTATATTTGCCTTACCTGTGGCAAAACACAGGTGGGCGGTTCTCCGATCCCGATGCACAGAAAAAAAAGTCGTGATTGCCCGAAAAGGAAAGGGCGGATCACGACGTTCCGCGGGTCGATCCGCTTCGGACCCAAAGATAAGGCTCAGAACAGTGACTGGTTCTTCAGTAGATCAATTACGACTCAACCGAGGTGTCTTTAATTTCAGGATACAAAATTTTGAACCTGGATCAATATAGCTACATTTATTCACGATCAACCCCAAACGCCTTTTCGCCGAAGCCCACCCTAGCCGCTGTTTCAAGCGTTATGACATGTCTAATTCAACCTAACGTCGACTTGAACCCTTGGTAGGCTTGTTCAATATCAAAGGACAGCTCTCTCGCCTGGTCGTCACTCAGTTCTTCTGTCGCACGCATCTGGTTCAATGTGATTAGCCACTGAATGATTTTGCCCCGGTTTTCGAAGTCCCCGTCCGTCACCTTATTGACGGACTGGATCACCTCAGAGAGCAGTGGATGGAGCGCATCCTTCGACACCATATTCAGCTTTAACGCATCGAGGAAAGTGATGAAGTTCTCTGTGGCTGTTAGGATCAAGCTGCCTGAAGCACCTCCAGTAGGGCCTGCTGCCGACCCCATATTGGCTGCTGGTGCGTTGTGACTGGCCTGCTCGACGGTCGCAGGAAGTCCGATACGAAGACGTTCGGTAGCACGGGGACATTCCAACTAGAGAAAGTAAAACGATCAGAACCGGTTTTCAAAGAATAAGGTTGACTGGAAGAAACACACCCCCCAGGTTCGCTTGAAGGTCTCCAGATCGACAAACTCATGGGCAACGGTGTCGTCACCCAAACTAGACTTGTACTGCTTCAGTAACCGAGTACACGTTTCTGTGTACTCTGCTTCCGTAACCACATCCTTAATGTAAGCCTTCTCGAGGCCATCAAGGGTGACTATAATGCTGTAAATTTCAGCCAGCGACTCATATAGATCGCGCTCGGCGGAGCTGGAGGCTAGTTTAACTTCCTGGCATGGGCGTTAGCCAGCTGCCCCGCAAGCAAGCCAGACACCCCAGCATACCTCATCGAGATTGATGGACGCAGACAAGGCCGGGTTAGGGGTATAGCTGTAGGGAGTCGGCGCATACGCCAAAGGGCGCTGGGCATACATTGCGATTCACAGTTCCTTCTATACGTCAGTTTGCGACGGCAGATAATCAGAGACACTCGGAGGGGGGAACAAAAGGCGGTGGCCCGATTTGGGCGATCGGCGCCGCCATTTTCTGCCGCATAATCTTCTAAATTTTTTACCCAAAGAAAAAAAAAAACCTGAGTCTCTTTTCATTTGGTGAAAGGCTTTCACCTCCGTTGATTTTCCCCATTTTGTACATTTGATCCCGTCTGCACGGTCAGATTGGGGCTTTGCGACACAATGGCCGGAAGTCAGAAGAAATCCACCAAGAAGTTTGAGAAGAGGCATCTGAAGGATGTCCTCGAACGACGAAAGGCGAATGCGAAAATCAAGCAGCGTAACCATCTGAAAGAGAAACGCAAGGCTGATAATGCTAAGGCACGCGCCGACGCTCATGATTCCGCAGACGAACATCCGGAGGAAACGAAGAAACAGGATGCTTTTGCTCAGATGAATGTGGACGACTTCTTTTCGGGCGGTTTCGATATTGCAGACGCTGACGCCGGTCAAGCTAAGAAAGCCAAGAAGAAGGATATTACCCCCAAGACTGGCAAGCGCAAGCGCACGGAAGAGCAAAAAGGTGAAGATGAAGATTCTGCAGTTTCAAGCAGCGGAGAGGAAGACGGTGTCCCATCAGACGACGAGGCTGCCTCGGACGCCAGTGGAGCCGACGATTTCGAAGCGCACATGGACCAGCTTGAAGCCCTGAAGGAGAAGGATCCAGAATTCTATAAATACCTCAAGGAGAATGATGCCGAGCTCTTAGACTTCGGCGACCATGGTGATCTCGCAGAAGTGGACGAGCTTAGTGAAGCGGAGGAAGAGCAACCAGCGAAGAAGAAAAAGAAGGCTGCCCGGGAGGAGGAAGAGGAAGCGACAACTGACAACACACTTACCATTGCCATGGTGAAGAAATGGCAAAAGCTGATGGAAGAGCAGAACTCGATTAGAGCAATGCGACAGGCTGTCCTCGCTTTCCGGTCTGCCGCCTACCTCAACGACGTTGACGCCCAGGAGCAGAAATACTCTATCAGAGAATCCGACGTATACCATGAAGTTCTTGTTACCGCCCTTGGCTCTGTTCCTAGAGTTCTGTCGCACCATCTCCCCGTCAAGGAGACTGCCTCAGGCAAAGTCAAGGTGTCTATGGATTCGAAGAAGTTCAAGACGCTTACGCCTCTTATCAAGTCCTATACCTCCTCCGTCCACCAATTGCTCACGAATTTGTCCGATGCACAGACACTGAAGCTCACACTCTCTTCTATTGAACCTATGCTTCCTTACTTGCTTCAGTTCAGGAAGCTCCTTAAGGTTCTCATCAAAACCATTGTTGGTATCTGGGCCGATGTGTCCACTACAGAAGCCACACGTATCACCGGATTCCTGCTGTTGCGGCGTCTCATGGTTATCGGAGACGCTGGGCTGAAGGAAACTGTCCTCAAGGCCTCCTACGAGGGTGTCGTGAAGGGCAGTCGGAACACCACCGTCCACACTCTGGCCGGCGTGAACCTGATGAAGAACTCCGCCGCAGAGCTGTGGGGTATCGACCAGAACGTGTCCTACACCACAGGCTTCAACTTCATCCGCCAACTTGCCATCCATCTCCGCAGCAGCATCACAAACACCTCCAAGGAGTCCTACAAGACGATCTACAACTGGCAATACGTGCACTCGCTCGACTTCTGGTCCCGCGTTCTCTCCCAGCACTGCGATGGCCTCGCCGAAGCTAAAGCCGGCAAGCAATCCGCCATGCGCCCCCTCATCTACCCCGTCGTCCAAATCACCGTCGGCGCGATGCGACTCATCCCCACCGCAACATACTTCCCTCTCCGCTTCCAACTCACCCGCGCCCTCCTCCGTCTCTCCCGCTCCACAGGAACCTACGTTCCACTGGCCCCGGCCCTCCTCGAGGTCCTCAACCTCGCCGAGATGCGCAAGCCCCCGAAATCAAGCACCCTGAAACAACTCGATTTCAACACTGCCATCCGCGCCCCGAAATCCTACCTCCGCACTCGCGTGTACCAAGACGGCGTCGGCGAACAGGTTGCCGAGCTCCTCTCCGAGTTCTTCGTCCTGTGGACCAAGCACATCGCTTTCCCCGAACTCTCCGTCCCCATTGTGGTCTCCCTGAAGCGCTGGCTGAAGCAGGTCAGCTCACGCTCCGGAGGAAACAAGAATGCCAAGATCAACCAGATGATCCTTCTTCTGGTGCAGAAGGTTGAGGCTAACGCCCGCTGGATCGAAGACCGCAGAACCAGCGTCACTTATACCCCGCGCAACCGTGCGGAAGTGGAAAGCTTCCTCAAGGATGTCGATTGGGAATCGACTCCGCTCGGCGCATTCGTTAAGTCTCAGCGGAAGATTCGTGAAGAGAAGGCTACCCTTCTTGAAGAGGCGAGACGTGAAGAAGAGAAACGGAGAGCCGAGGAGAAGGCTGCTGATAAGGAGGATGTGACGATGGGTGGCTTCAGTGAGGATGATGAGGGTAGTGAAGATGCCTCCTCAGCTGGTGAAGAGGAAGAAGAGGAGGAGGAAGAGGAAGAGGAAGACGAGATGGAGTTCGAAGAAGAGGAGGATTAGATGATGCTTTTATCGCCATTTATATTGTACCAGTGATGGCACTATTTCCCCCTATATCAGGTTCTGGTAGCTATTTTAAGACATGTTTTCTTTTACTCTGATGTCGACGTATACAAAAGTTGAAATGCTTAGGCACTATCTACGCAATGGCGCATCTCGAATGCCAAAAACATTGCATATATATGCGATAAAATCTAACAAATGAACTAATATAAAAACTCAAAAACAGGAAGCCAAGCAAAGACAGTAAATAACATCGGGTAAAGCATAACAAAACACAGGATAAAGCAAACAAAATCCCAATCTGTATCAACAAACTTTTCTATATGAAAGCCGACGGTTTCACCATGGTCCCATGTGACACGCATTGCATCGAATCTACAATGTCTCACCACGCACAGAATTCCTAGTGTCAATGTTACATAGAAAACGTATGGCCTGATGCCTATAGTACTCAGACAACTTAAACAGCCCCAACAGGCATTCTGTCTGCACCCCAGGCACGAGCTTTCTCCCTTCTCAGCGCAGCATCTTCCTCTTCAGCCCAGGCGAGGTTATCACTCGGCAACATGATAGCCTGATCGATAGCAACGGGAAGACCACGATGACGTCCACGAAGTGCAACCGCTGCCAGGATCAATTTGCTAATGGTGTGCCAGCCGCCGCAAAAGGAACTGTTCCTGCCGGGGATGCCGACGCTAACGCCGACGCAGCCGTAGGCGGAGACAACTTCAAAGATGATGTTGAAGGTGGAGTAGCTGACAGGATCACGGTTGAAATTTGGCGATTCAGCGATGGAGATGAAGAGGACCGCTAGGGCAATCCACCAGATATCGTGGCTGAGTTGCGAACGCAGTTGTTGGTGGACGAAGTAGCTGCGCGAAGCTTCGGCGGTGGGGACATCCTGGCGTCCGAGCAGGTGGTGTCGCACGAGACCCATGAAGAGACCTTGTTTGGCTTGACCTTCGGCTTCGGATTTCGGATCATCGTGGGCGTAGATGCCCAGGGAACGTTCTTCGTAGACGTTGGTGTTTCTCATGGTTACCAGCACGGGGAATGCCGACACGTACATCATGAGAACGTATAAAACGAGTAACCCTTGTCGGAGTCCGGATATGGTTACTACGTAAAATCCTCCAGAGCGTACAGCTGTAAGTTTTTCAAACGTTAGTTCCATATAAAGCTTAGTTGGTAACTGGAATAAGGAGCGAAATACATACCTAACGCTTGGAACAAACCGTCCAGGACTCGATAGCCTGGTGGCAATTCCTCGATTTCTTTATTTCCAATTGCGAGTATCTCGAAACCGGCCCAATCAATGGCATTCAAAACAATGATGGTTCCCAGCAGATACCATGTGTGGCGTCTCGGGAAAAGGTTTGTATAGACCTAATCAATTAGCAAGTGTACTCTGGTGACTGCCTTTCATGCACATACCCTTCTAGGATGATCAAGGATAAAGTCTAAGGTAACCTTCCATGTCTTCCATGCCTGTCGGTCTGGAATCATGCATCTCAAAGTCCAGATTATAAACCTCAAGAAACAGGGGTAGAGAGTGTTTCCGGCGAGGATTAGCAACCCCATTGTAAGAAGTGGATACACACTGTCACGGTCAGTACATTGCAAGGCCTTAAGAAATGTTGGTGAGATGCTCACTTCTTTTGTAGTGCAGTCATATTGGCATCCAAAAGGGACATGCCGCTGTTCACAAAGGCAGAAACAGCGAAGAAAGCGCCTGTCCAGAAAGGCGACAGACCGTTTTCCTGAGATATATCTGGATGATTCGCTTCAAGCCATCCTCCCACGCCGATCATACCGATGATCAAGAACATCAGCCAGTAAAGGGCGACTATCACTGCCAAGAACGAAACTGCCTTGTATTCGACTCCACCAAGTCTCTCGCGTTCGTCGGGGGTGAGCCCATGAAACTGGGAGTTTCTGGAGATAAAGCCTCTGGACGCGAAATACTTTTGCGTCCCTTGGATCATGCCCTTCAGCCGTGATATCTCACTCTCCTCTCGCAGAGGCAGGTTTGGGATGGCATCTCTCGGATGATTATTCAGGTCAGGTCGAGCGCCAACGCCCACCATAGGGAACACTCGGTGGTGTTGATGGTGCGCGCGTGTTCGTGCATCAATAGTTATCTGATCATCTTCAGCCCAGTGTATATGGACATCACTGGCCAAAGCAGTTGAGTTCACTACGGGACTGACTTCAGTCATCCCGGATGCCTTGTCGCCATGACCGGCATCCATGTTTAAGGGCTGCACATTGGCAACCTTGGAGTCCGCTCCATCTAGCGGAGTGTTCAAGCTGGGTGTGGGACGTGACCCCCTATCTTGAACCAAATTATTTGAAATGCCTTTGAATTTTGATTCGAAAGCCCTTTTCCTTACAAATAGAACAGTGATCGAGATGAGGATAGCGTGCCCCAGCATCAGGAGCACAAAAAGGATGGCTTGCTGGAAAGTATTCAATGAAGACAAGTTCACCTAGCGAAAGGGTTACTAAATGCATCAGATTAATGGAAAGCTAGCCCGAGCAGCTAAGATCTCCGGCGTGAAGAGAGACATACGGTGTTCAGACCAGCGCCTGTAATAGCACTAACGCACATGAACAGCGCATCAGCATAAGAGACACTACGGAATGGGTTCGAAGCTCCCCAAAACATGACACTGCAGACCAATGATGTGATGATAAAATAAGCATAGTGTAGCGTGATAAAATTGAATGGCGGTACCACTGCCATAATAATTCGACCAAGAGGCCGAAGCCAGCCTCGTGCTGCATTTACTACAAATATCAGCGAGATTCAATCAAATAAGCCGGACTATATATGAAATAGTCGACATCGAGCTCACGAACTGGAGGAAGGGACGGGGGGGAGAAGATACTACTAACAGGGGAACATCCTCCAAAGGCACAATGTAGTATACCGATTAACCCGGCATGCAAGGGGGTCGAGTAATGCAGCTGCAGTATAAGAGTCGATGTTTTAGGAAGCCTCTCTGACCTCAGACAGCGAATTGATAAAGCCGATTCTGCTGCAGAAACGGGGCGCACACCACTACCCGCAAGGATATTGATGAAATCTCTGATCTATCTTTAGTCTTGTTCGATAATGCATTTCGGTTCCGGATAAAAGCTGATGAGACGTGATGGTTAATGACGACGTGAACAAGTCAATCGGTACCGTGTAAGGTTGGGATTGCGTCCTGGTAATATAGCTATTCGTGATGGAGTTGGAAACTACTAGTACGGATGTATAGGGTGCAGATGTCAAGCGGATTGGTATAGGCGATGTCCAAAACTTCTCTCACGGTTTGCTTTCTGTGAGCTGAATTCTTAATTGGGGATCAAACGGGGGCAAAAGCGTGTGTTATTCCATTTCAACTGAGCCTTGCGTGGCGACAAATGATTAAGGGGTAAGTAAGTAAGTAAATGAAGAAAAGATGACAGATGACGGAGGGAGAAGAATCAATAAAGAAAATATTTAAGCGGTGGGACGGAACCAATTAACGGCCCTGCCGATCTGCACGCTTAACCCGGCTTGGCGTAGTGTTGATAAGGCGATAACCTTTTTGGATTATAGGGCTGGCGGAAAAGTTACCGTACTGGATCCATTGTATCCTGAGGCTTTCTGGTAGCTTGATTGCCAAAATAAATCCTCCGTCCGCCTGTTATTTTATTTCTATTTTTATTTTCCTTTTTTAATATTCCGCACATGACCTTATTCCTAGATCAAATCCCTGTTCCAGGATCGACTTGTTCTTCCCGGATCCAGTGGCCACTTTTCCCACCCTTCTTTTCAAGAAGTTTCACCCCATCAATCACCATGCCCTTATCAACCGCCTTCAACATATCATATATCGTTAATGCAGCTCCCATAGTCGCAGTCATCGCCTCCATTTCCACCCCCGTGCGACCAAGGCAATTCACAGTGGCCATGACGTGCATCGCACCGTAGTTCAGGGACGGATCGATTTCATTCTGAGAGGGTAATGGGTCGACCAATTTGACATCCACCTCGACCCCCGTAATTCCAATGCCTGGATGGCACAAGGGAATAATATCTGGTGTCTGCTTGGCAGCCATAATACCAGCGATTCGGGCGACACTGAAGACATCACCTTTTCGTGTCCCACGCCCTTCTCGAAGTAGCTCCCACGGGCGTAACTTAGAAAAGCGCACAAGGCACGTCGCTGTTGCGGAACGTTCAGTAACAGCCTTTTGGCTGATCTTAGTCATATGCACATTTTGCGAGGTATTGAGATGAGGTAGATCCGGGTCAGAATCCGTAGGAAGTGACGTCGCAGTTCCCTGACGTTTTAAATCGGACGGTTCCGTTTCCGATGAGGCGTTCCTACGATCCCCATGGTAATAACGGACTTGGCCCGAACGAGGCGAGCTGAACTGGAACAAGGGTGTCGGAATATTGGACCATGGCCTTTTTCCCGCAGATGCCGCCCATGTTCTAGACTGCTCTGAGCCTGTGGCTTTCCTTATAGGTCCATCATCTAGATCTCACCTATCAGCATCGCTCTCCACAGCCAAGATCGTAAGTACAGAAGCAGCTGAGCCACCACCCGTTGGAATACCAATGAAACGAAAAGACACTCCAGCTTATGCATTAATCATGATTCGTAACATCACATTGATTCGCCAGACAGTTGTGAGAGGAAAGAAAACAGAGGTTGCGCCTACCCACCAATGAGAATCATCGGCCTATTCTTCATATTTTCCAACTCGCCCATGCCAGCATGCTTGGCCTTCTTTCGTTTGACAGCCATGCCAATAATGTCAAGAAGCTCTCGTTCTCTTTCATCCACCAGTCCACCCTCCTCATTAATCCGAGCGGCTTTGTCCGCAGCCTCGAGGAGTTGCAATTTATTCATTGTAGCCTCGTCGATGGGTTCTCCATTGTTCGCTTTCCGGATAGTGTCACGTAACGATACCTCGGCATTGCCAAATAAGCAAACCTTCAAATTTCCGTCGGATGTGATGCGTAAACGATTGCAAGTACCGCAGAAGTTATGCGTCATGCTAGTGATAAACCCAACGCGACCCTCAAACCCAGGTACCCGATAAGTTTTACTAGTGTCATTCTTATGGCCCGCCTCCTTTTCAAGGGTTGGATACTTCTCCCGGATAACCGCCAGCATTTCCTGATACGACAGCATCTTCTTTTGGTTCCACCGGTTGCCATCGAATGGCATATACTCGATAAACCGCACTTCGATAGGGCTCTCACGTCCCATCTCAACGAACGGGATGATCTCCCGGTCATTGACCCCACGCATTACCACACAGTTCACTTTCAATTTAATCCCTGCTCCCATTTTATTTAGTTCCAAGATTTTATCAATGCTTTTCATCACAGCATCGAACCCCTTTCTCCTCGTCATGATTTGGAACTGAAAGGGATCTAAAGTATCGAGACTGAGGTTTACCCCAGTGAGACCCGCCTCAACCATAGGTTCCAATTTCCGGTGTAACGAAATTCCATTGGTTGTAAGACATAGCTCACGAAGCCCGTTGCGTCGTAGATCGCCGATTGACTGCATCAAAGGAACAATATCCTTCCGAACAGTCGGTTCACCGCCTGTTAAGCGGATCTTCGTTACCCCTTGCGAGACAAAAAGGGAGGAAAGGTACACTATCTCGGGGGATGTGAGCAGGCGGGCCGGTGGCGAAAGCTCTACGCCTTCTTCCGGCATACAGTATACACATCGGAGGTTGCAACGCTCGGTGATGCTGATTCGGAGATAGTCATGTTGGCGGTTGAAGGTATCCGTCAAGAAGTCTGAAAACGGCTTCGCAGTTTTCAAGGCAGTCCATCGCGAGGAAGGTTTTGGAGTCGAGAGGTCAGAATTGGGGAAATAAGTGGTGGGGAGGGGTTTCGTGTCATTCTGTTCATTCTCTGCAGGCGAGGAGGCTGTACTATAGTGCGAAGCTGCTTTGTTCCTACCGGTCGATATCTGTCGGAAGTGGGTGCGGGGATGCCGTCGAAGGGATGGGAGAGAGGCCGTCAACCCGCGCCGCGACAGTAAGAATTCAGTCATCATGGGCAGGGATTAGGCGAAGCGGTGACGCAAGCCCAACTGTTTGCAGCATATCAGTGAATAGGAAGGAGTGGCGGGGCATTTGGGTCTTATAGGGAGAAGTTTGGTTAAGGTGCAAGGAGGGGAATGGATCCCTAGAAAGCTTGCTTATCATCATCGAGTCATCCCGTGACATTTCATTGGTTGGGAGGCGACTTCTCCGCAGGACTACTACTAGTAACTCATTCGGAGATGCCCGCCCTTTTCCTTCACTGGCACGCCAGTAACCCGGTCTAGCCGAGTTAGGAAGTACTACCACGAGGAGTCTAGTGGATTGCAGCTATTGTGCTCTGGACTCTGTACAAGTATAGCATGAAGATTGATAGATCGCTCTATATGCCATAATATCATTCTTTCTCATAACAGTATGAAGTTGACACATTACCCCTGCGCCGGAAGCATCTTCTGCACCCGCTTCACCAGACTCTGTTCAAACTGCTCTACCCCTTTGCTCTGTTCCTTGAGCTTCCCGCCCTTCAGGACATACACAGCTCGTCTGCGACTCTGACTCTCGTCCGTCTCTTCGTCAACACCCTCGAAGTCATCGTCCAGTTGATGTTCCTCGTCACGTTTACCTTCGATGACCGAACGGGCCAGAAACCGATCATGCGATACTAAGATAATTGCCCCGTTGAAAGAAGATAGTGCTGACGCGAGGGCCGTAACAGTATGGAAATCCAAATGGGTAGTGATTTCGTCCAAGACGAGCAAATGCGGAGAATTCCAAATGACTTTCGCCAATGCCAAGCGGACCTGGTATCGAATTTGATTAGCTTATGTTTGTTTATGGATATTTGTGCGTCTGTTGTGCTCACAAGTTGACCGCCCGATAGTCGAGACACAGGCACGTCGGAGGCGATTCGGCCCTGAAGACCCAAGCTTGATAGCAAACCCCTCAACTGACCTTCACCAATTATCCCATCAGTTTCTTTAGACATAAAGCCTAATGCGGTTAAGCTGGGGTCAGCTTGACCCTGTTCTTGCAGGTCCTCTATTGAGTGCTGGGAATAGTAACCGAGTTTCAGTCGCGAATGTGTTGATATCTTTCCCTTGGTTGGCAATGCATCTCCAACAAGGACCCGGATTAATGTGGACTTTCCGCATCCATTAAGACCCATGAGGCCAACTCGATCCCCCATGTGCATGACAAGGTCCACTCCATCCAATATTGGAGCTCCATTCGGCTGATACTTGAATACAATCCCTTCTGCAGAAATAAGCGGACCTGGATACCGCAGTTCTGTGGCGTCAGGGAGAATTATCGAAGCACCCTTTTCGTCGGTTGGAACCTCGATCTCTTCTCGAGAACTCGAATGCCATCCAACTCGGTCTCGATTCAGTTTGAACCGCCCTCCAGTCGCACTCACTTGGACGCCCATCCTGTCATCCAGCTTCTTCTGCCGCGACTTAGCCATACGTAACTTGTTATCATCGTTTGTTTTCTTCCCAGTCTTGGTTGTTTCACGGATAGTTGCTTCCATGTGAGCAATTTGGCGCTCCTGTGCCTCCTTCATGCGACCCCAGTACAACTTTTGCTCTTCGAAATCTCTCTCGTAGGCCGACAAATTACCTTTGAAGTACGTGAGCTTCTGGTCTCTTAGAATGACAATCTCTTCGCAGACGGCATTTACGAAGTCCCTATCGTGGGAAACCAAGACTATAGTGGTTTGTGATGAGTCCTTCAGCTGCCGAAGATAGTTCTCAAGCCAAACTACTCCTAGCAAATCCAAGAAATTCGTCGGTTCATCGAGGATCATGAAATCTGGGCTTTGGATAAGGACACTTGCCAGCATGCATCGCATACGCCAGCCTCCGGATAATGTCAGGAACGGTTTATCGAACGTGGTCTCTTGAAAGCCTAAACCAATCAAAATTTGACGCGCCTGTTGCTCAATGTCGACTAGTTTCATCTAGTTGCGTCGAACTCAGTGACTGTCATTGTGTTCTTAATTACTTCCATACTCACAGTCTCAAACTGAGCTTGAAGGTCTTGCAATGCATGCGCCGCAGCCTGCGTATCTTCTTTGATAACATCGGCATCGATTGATTCTTTCTCCTGGTTCAGTCTATAGAAATCAGGCACTGCACAGGATCTCTCGATGGGAGCGACTCACATTTCTAGTGAAGCTTGGAACTTGTTCTCGGCAGCTTTCATGTCCTTCCGCGCCTGTAAACCTCTGGCTCCACTCTTCAAGCTCGCATTTTTCTGAGCGAGGAACAGCTCCTTTTCAGCCTTGTCATGACGGATTCTGCGAATGGCGCTGACCGGTTGCAATGGATCATCCGTCTCGAAGCTTTCAGACAGGACTTATATATAGTTTTATCAGATGCGATGTGCAAAGCACGGCGAATTCAGGAGAAAGACAGCTTACAGTTCATCTTATGGACCAACTCATTCCGGGAATGATCACTGCTCAAAACATATTGAAGGACTGTCTTGTTTTTGTTTGCCGCTTCCTCGGCGGCAAAGTCCTTGCGGTCCTCTTCTGACGAGGTCTCTGTCTGTTGCAAGATAGCTATACGTGTCGAATGCGGGATGCCAGGGACGAGTTTGTCCGCCATAGCTCGTAGGAGCGCTGCAGGTAACATGTATTAGCTTAAGCGTGTCACCAGCCTCCATCTTAATGCTTTTCTTCTTTGCGCGGTCGATACGGAAGCAATGCTTACTCGACTTTCCAGTCCCATTTCGACCTATCAGCCCATAGTGTACGCCTGCCTTCAACCGCAGATGGGCATCTGAGATAAGCTCTCTTGTATCCGGCTTGCTCTTGGATTTTCCTTTGAGCGTTGACTTCGAGGTGCCCTCCGGAGTATCCCGTGACGAATAGACGGCGATAGTGAGGCCCTCTACGTCAATCTTAAGAATAAAAACATTAGTCCGTGATGGTCAAGAGGACCTTTGTAGCGGAGTACCTCCTGGGTCGGCCTATCATCAAGCAGATTGAAACGAGTCTGTTTGCAAGTTGCGAGAATAGACGACTTCATGTTCGAATAGCTACCAAGTTTCGCGTATTTCACTTCGACACACAGGCGGCAGGACAAGTTCCAAGGAGACTTTGATGGGGTAGAAAATATAGTTCATGGAAAGAACAACTTCATTCCTATCCATGCTACTCTACACTTCATATAAAGTAGCAGGCCACTGTGGGAAATTAGGGCCCAACTAGTAAGGGGTAGCACTGAGATGGATAGTGCATTCTTTGGAATAAACACAATGCATAAAACTTCATTCTCCACAAGGCATACTGAGTCACTTGGATGATCACATTGAGAAATGTTGTCAAGAAATCCACAGAGCAAACGTCGGGGTCCCGAAAAGGAATAGCCGCTTCCGACTGGCCTGAGGAATCAACTGGTGGCTCAGGCTCGTATTGCTCGCAAGACGACGTTGAGTCCTTTGCCGAGGCCGCCAATGCGCTTTTTATGTGGGCAATGTGGATTCCATGACTCATGGATGAGTCATGGTACTCAGTCGAATAGATCGATTCAGTCTACTACTAAATACTCGTAGCAGTTGGAAGCGTGGGACATAGTTCATCGTCCGCGCTGAAACTGCATGGAATCTCCAACATACCATTACCACGACAGGACGAAAATTAGATGTCGACTGATGGGAATTGCATCGCCTGTTCCATGTTTTCTTGAATGACATAGTCACCTACAATCTCTTCAAGTCTCCATACACGACGGTCCTGTATCTTCTGTAATGATCACTCCTCCAGCACTCCCATTTCTAAGCCGGTAGTAGGCACACACTGTCTACGTGCCAGAGGTTTTCTGTCTTCCTATACAGTTAACACCGTTCGATAACGTTGAGTGACGATAAGCACTTGCACGAAAGACAGCAGAACTTCAATGTTTTAGTCGACAAAGGATAGGATCGTTGAACATGATTACTGGCTAACTCAGCATCTTCTCCCTTCTATCCAATATAGGAGATGAAGACAGCTCAATAATGTCCGTCCAGCTGAAGGCCTGACAGACAACCCGCCATGTATCGACTGATCGTCCTTTCTGTTACTGTCTATTGGACTATTGATTTTCCCAGCTGAGAGATGATGGTGCAAAATTGCGGCTGAGGCGGGGTCCTGCGGGGTACTCTTGAAGTTGGGCATTACCGCAGTGCACTGCCGGTGTAGCTGAAAGTCAAAGAGATAGCAGATGCCGTCTGCACAGAAAATATAAATTGATTGAACTCAGGCCAGATCGCTTTCACTCTCGTACCCAATCTCTCCATCTTACCAACCCCTTCTATGAGTTCGATTCTTTTGCAACATAGGAATTATCTATCGTGAATCCTTCAGAAAACCTCTTGCCCAAGATGCCTGTTGAAGCGATTACCTCGTAAGTAGTGACAAGACTTATTTTTCTCTCAGATGACATTATCCAGTGCTAATAGTGATACTACGGTAGGTACGAACAATTCAAAGAGCTTATCGATGGTGATAAGCCCGTTGTGATTGATTTCTGGGCAACATGGTGTGGACCTTGCAGAGTGATATCCCCTATTTTTGAGAAACTCTCGGGACTAGACAGCTTCGAAAATATCGGATTTTATAAAGTTGATGTCGATCAACAAGAGCAAATTGCCCAGGAAGTTGGCATTAAGGCAATGCCAACCTTCGCAGTTTTTCACAAGGGTAACAAAGTTAATGAGCTGGTGGGGGCCGACCCTAGAAAGTTGCAATCCTTGGTTGAAGGCACAGCTTGTCTCTAAAGAACAAGCAAGACAGTCCGTATTGCCTATGTTGTTCTATAGGGTCGGCTGGAGCGAGCAAGGGAGGCACAAATGATTGTATCTAATTCTAAATGCTTTTATCTGATGTCCCGTTGAACATGGCTATAGTTATGGCTTATTACTCCCGATTCTTATTCAGCACTTTCGTTCCGGGATTATACTGCTGGCAGACAGAAGTCTTGGACCTTGTATTTTCAAACCTGGGATGAAGAGACTAGAGCCTTACATAGCCTTAAGTTACCTCTACGAAGCGCAGAATCCACACTTCAAAGATCTCTTTAGTGTCAAACAGAGTCTGGGCCAAGTTTATTATATAAGTGAAAGCTATCCCGTGCCTTAGCGTGTGAGTACTAAGGTGTCTTGACATCTATTGAAACAATAGCAAAGGGTGTATAGTAGAGTCGCATTCCTCGTAGTATACATGTACAGGTTTATAACAGCCAGTAAGAAGCTCCATGCTAGTATGAGAGGTTCACACGAACACTATCTTATGTCTTCCGCATAAACTCGTCGTTAGTTCTTTATATTGATCCGCAATACTTAGCATGACGTTGATAATTCCGTTGCCAAGTACAATCGAAGCTGCAGCTAATCAATTAGGTTAACGAATGCCACTTTCAGGCTTGCCACTCGACCGACATGACACAGCAGTCATATCGATTGTCCAACAATAAATAAATTAGCAGCGTGTTCTAGATCTGAAAAGAAGATCATGACGATAGAGTCCAGGGCCATCTGGCCTTTCCATTGAATTGCAGCGAGCGTCCTATCACCACAGATACTCATATATACGTAGCAGAACAACGACGACGGAATAATAGAATTGAGTTACCATTCGGTAAGTTATGTGAACTCAAAAACAGTCGAGCAAAGCATTCTACTTATTGAGTTCATGTGTAATACCTAGGTATTACACATTCGACGTTATGATGATGATATAGCTTCCCGAGCCATGTTTGCAATGCAGTAAAGCGTGGGGCTACAGACGGATCTCCAAGGCCTTGGTACTGCGCGGTAGATTGTTTAACAAAACCAACAGTTTTAATTCGTCCCTAGCCAGGTATAGTACTATCTCTTGCATCACAAAATGGTCATATCTAGCAAGACAGACGTCAAGCGGGCACAGCATGACCTCATATCGTTTATACATAGGGACCCGAGAAGTATAAGAATGGCAGAATCGAGCCTCATCGAGAAGTAATTTATCGAAGTAAACCCTAGCAACACTAATCAAGAGTCTTCAATTATCAAACTTGTCCTATATCCAATTCATCAATTCACAATGGCCTCAAACACGAACCCCGGAAACTTCAGCAACCGCCCCCACGAGGAGGTTGAGAACATTGCCCGCAAGGGTGGCCAGAGCTCCCACTCAGGAGGTTTTGCCAGTATGGACCCTGAGAAGCGGGTAGGTTTCTCGTCAATCTCAATACTCTCATAGATGCTTATCTGTTTGTCAGAGAAACATCGCTTCCAAGGGGGGTCAGGCTTCGAGCGGAAGCTTCCAACCTGGTGACCCTAGAGCCCGCGAGGCTGGTCAGAAGGGCGGCTCAAGAACTCAATACAATGTGGACCAGCCCGAGGAGTAAACAGGTCGCCTCATATGATAGGTTGTTACCATACTACTCGCATTTTTGATGATATAATATTGTATATTGTACTGTACCTTGAACGAAACTCTGTTAACATAACAATGTGTCTGTGAGATAGTCAACACCGGAAACGGCATCCCATTGCCCTCATATATTTTTCTTGTCAAGCTCCTGCAACATTATGAATATCCCTCATACTGAATGCCATCACTTGTGTAATAGACATTAATAGAAATATGATGTCCAACCGACGTAGGAGTCTCCACATCAACCAGCCACGACCAATAAAACGTCGGCAGTGCATCACCACCGTTTTCGATCAAGATGCAAACCCCAAAATGATCATCAGATGTCAGTTTTCTTCAGCTTGCTTGATTGATATTCTTGGGATGGTATGTAGTGGCAATCAAGAAATAGTGCTGCCTTCCCGGGAATTACACTGCCACACTCGAGCAGCTGCTTTTAGAATTAGCTTACGACATGGTGGCCAGCATATACGAGCTACACCCACCACTAGTTCATTCTTCCTTTGTATTTATTTTTGGCAATGTTGCAAGACACATTCTTGGGTTTTATGCTGGAACAATGGTGCAATATTCTTATTGACCCCGTGGCTTTCCATCGTGATGTGACATGACTCTAAAGAAGATCTCCGACGGTCCAGCCGATGTTCACCCGATGGATATACATATCGCGTTCTACTATTGGTCCACGGTTTTTCAGAGTTTCTTTTATATGATTAATTCATATATTTTTCCTATACGTGCTTTGATTTCAAGTCTTGTAGATGATGTACAAATTTATAGATCTACGTAAATATATCTATTGTGCAAAAACAGTCTATTTTCATAACCACCGCGCGTAAAATGGTGGATAACCGAGGATGGTGAAACAGTTATTCTCCAGGTTGGCCTTGACCGAAGGTCCGGCTGGCACACCGGAGAAAGCCACGGCGCTCTAACAATCAGAGATTCACCATTCATTAGGTGCTACACCGACATCGAGGTTCTAGACCTTACACTATATTCCAAATAGCTCCTTGATGACCTCCCTGACTGAGACGACGCAGTGGCTGTGGTGTCGCTGATATTTTCTATACTTTGGTATTACTATCGAATCAAGGCTTGTAGGCACCGAGGTCAACTATTGGTCAACTACCTCTTTCAACACATGTGGAAACTACTACACAGTAGACTTGTGCCAAAACAAGGTTGTTGGAGACTTCCGCGGGATCACATTGCCCAGCAATTGAGAGCCTGACACGGACAGTCTAACAGGCTATTGTATTGGTATGTCTAGTAGTCGCTTCTAATATTATACACCGTGGCACCTCAGGATCTCACCGAACTAGACGAAGATGCCCAAGAATCTATCGATGTGTGTTCTCCCGCAGTGCGTAGACACTTGCGCCAAAGAACTGTTTCAGGTATATCTACCGAATCGATACTCGAACGGATTCTACCTGCCCTCGCCGGACCAACCATCTTGGCGCGGAGAGCATCAGCTCAAAAGATTCCCTCCTTTCATTGAATTCACTATAGACATTCCAGACACCAAGAATTGACTTCACATTACACCATAACAGGGATGGATGACAATATTCACCACGAGCAGGCACAGTTTGGCCGTCCGCTTTGGTTGGCTTGTGATCAGTCCGACGATCTCGCGCGCAGCTGAATCTTGGTATGTTAACCGACCTACGTTTCTAAATCGACTTTTTTACGGACACGATGATAGCAAACCGGCCAACTGGTACAGCAACGATGCCCGTATCTCGGGCCATGATTGGATAGGTCCGACCTTCTATCAAGAGGAGCCACCTACACCTCCTCGGTGTGGGCTTCTTGGTGGACACGGATAGCTCTGTTTATTAATATGTCTACGCTTAAAATATTAAGCCTGTTTGGGTCCCCAAATTTGATAATACGTTGAAACTTTATACTATTGCATTAGTATGTTTCTAACAGGGCTGCTATTGTTGCTACTAGGCTGTGTTAAACAACAAAGCTAAAGATAGTTATTGTCATAGACCACTGAATGGTATATAGCTGATTGACGCCTCCCTAGAATTAGGATTAGTGCTGTAATTGATGAGAAACCCACAAGAATTTCCCATTCCTGATGCTTTAGTTTGCTGCAGGAGTTTCTACTAATGTTGCAACGCCCAATGGATAGACAGGGAGGGCCTTGGCTCTATTGGAAACTATCACTCTTAGTGTTGGATACCAATGGTAGAAGATATAGTTCTCTTCGAAGTTGCGCACGAGACAAATTATTCCGCTCTAGGGCTAAGACTTTCCCTAAAAGGATCGTTTGCTACTCTAGAAGTCGATTATCTTATCTGTAAACAGCAATCGAAAATGTGATATCAATACTAAACCAGAGTTGCGCTCGGTTACCGGCTAGCGTTAACCAGTCTATTGACCATCATTGCCTGTTGAATCCTTAGCTTCTCAATCAGAGTGTTGAGGCCTTCTAGCCAACTTCTTAGGGCAAACTATAACACTGCTAAGCACTGCCCCTGGAAGAAAGTTGGAATATGCTAAACAAAACTATAGAAAAGACTTTTTTTGCGGTATTTTTGGCCCATGTGGCGGCAATTCTCCGGAGGTGAGGCGAGGCGTTGGTGCAATGGCTTAACAGTTATGTATCACACTCCTTTTTCTTTTTCTTTTTTTTTTTTTTTTTTTTTTTCGCCCCTGGTGACAAGTTGTAGAACTGTGGATTTGTACGGATAGGAAACGCGATCCACGTATTGGCTTGAGGCAATTGAGTCCAGCCTTATGGACATGGCCTTTTGCTTACGCGGTTTAGGAAAATCTAGGCCATTGTCTGTTATAGGGCCGGCTGTCAAAGGATTGGGAAGCCGGAGATATCGCATGGACGATACCAAAGGAGGATAATTCGCCCGGGGAGCTCTCCTCTCACGGTTTCAGATTGTTCCAAGGAAAATAGCGTGCTATGGGTAGATTACAAAACTTACGATCTATTGTCCATGGCTCGTACTGATGGGAAACATCAATTTTACATCAAGTCCACGACATTCCAGATTCCCAATTTTCTTTTGGTACTCCGTATACTCCGTGGGGAGAGAGAGGTATGGAAGTAGTCAGCGGAGCGAAATCGGACTTCCCGCTGGTGGCACCGGTCATGGTCAGCCAGGGGTGCAGTGTGGGAGGGCTAACTTAGCGGCATGCGGCACAACCTAAACGGAGATGATTCCAGCTGAGCAGAAAAACCAGACCGGAAGATGGCCGGAAGTCCCACGGCCCAATGGTTGACAGTCGTGCAGCACATCCAAGTCCACACGGGCGAGACGCCCACCTTGGTGGGAAACCCCTAACCGAAAGGGGTCGACGAAGGCATTAATGCCCCATTTTATTCTCCAGGGATAATCAGTTAGCGTGTCAAAGAAGGGTATGGGCGTTTGCACAAGTGGCTATGCCGTTGAACGGGAGAGTCCTTAGGTCTATGCCAAGCTTTGCTTCCGGTGATGATGATCCACTGAAACCCACTGGAAAAATTTCCACCAGCGACCAAACACTGAAAAGTGAGGATCAAGCGGGTTCGCTTCGCGAGTCGACAATCGACCATGATTGAGCCATTGCTTTTCTAGAATACCCGCTAATGGTGGACGAGGAGGCATCTAGAAGGATCCCCGTAGTTAATTGGGGTTTGTCGTACGTTATCGCTTTGACTCGCCTTGTTTGGCTATCTGAATCGGTTGCGGTTTTGAAACGCTGGTTGGTATGTGGTCACCATTCCTACGGAATTGTATTTTGACGTCAAGTAACCACCAAGTCCACATTCCAAGGAACGGAAGTACACTTTTCCACCACAACCATGTGAACAGGTGGATGTTGGAACACCACACATGGTCCTTTTCCAAGAATGGAGAGTCAAACTGTTGAATTGGTTTCTGATGAAATGGCTGTTGACCAGTAGACTTTAATTGGTCTATGTGAGCGCCACAGGCGTCACAAGGGAGAGAAGATATCCTCAATGGACGTTTTTAGAGGGTCGGCAATGGAACGAATTGTACGACTCCCACTTGCCGGGACTCTTTAGTTAGTTTGTAGTACCCTAAAAACACCTGAAACGGAAAAGTGTCACGGAAAAGATAGGAGTGAAAAAAAAGAGATGGTAAAAGAGAGAGAGAGAGAAAATAATAATAAAATAAAATAAACAAGAAAAATAAAAATTAAAAAATAACAAAAAAACAAAAAAACAAAAAGCAAAAACTAACTTACTGCATGGGAGGCAATCAAATTGCCTTGCCTAACAAGGGGGACGGTCAACCGCCTTCCTGGGAAATGCAAAGAGATGTGTGCTGCGCTTTACCTTCCTTCTCCTATCGCAGTCTCTTTGATTACTTGCCTCGCTAACTCGAGTGATACCCGTGACTAGGCAACGGGGCTAACCTAGGTATGTGCAGTTACTTACTCCGAGTTGTTACTTTGGACTATTGTTGTTTACCCCGAGAGCATTGAATTTTCCCAAACAAGACAGACAAAGTTAATCAGAATCATGCAAAATAGCCTAAACGTTCCATACTCCGTCGAAGCAGTAAACAAACATCAGATCTTATCGAAGATCCCCGTCGTCTGTATGTCCACTTAAGTTGGTCAGGAAGGACGGGGCCAGTCAGGGAACGAGTGGATTCCCAGGTAGGGTACAGGACTCCCGAAACCCTAGTCGGACGTCCTATGGACTAATCACAGCTGATGGGAGAGTGGGGTGGTCGGCTGAGTCAGCGGAGGACGCGCAAGCCGGGTGAACCTGATTTCTATTCCTGGCGTGGAGAAACGTCCCACTCGGTCGATTCCCCTGGCGCCTCCCTTCCACTTTGGCTCGGGCGCGAACTCCATTCTCCTCTCTCCCTTCCCTCTCTCCCTATTGTTGCCAACTCTTTCTTAACCTACACATCTATTCCATTTACTCTTCATCATCGTCGATCTTCTATCCCACCACAACACACCATCGCTTCTTTTTCCCTATCCCCACTGCGTACCGTGGGTGATCATTTTCTTGTGCTTAGCCTGTTTTCGTTTTTCACCTCGCTTCTTAATCTCCCTTATTAGACTCGTACACCACCTCCACCTCGTCTCTCGCTATCGTCCGGGCCGATCGAGTTTTGTAATCCACCAGCGCCCACTTTCCATCCGACCTTAAAAGAACACTGTCCCCTCAATTCTCCCCCGGGGCACATATATCATACACATCATGGCCACATTAGCGGAACATCCGGTTGTCGCCCCGTCGACATACGATCAGGATATCGATACCTTCCTCAACCTCGATCAGCTCACCTATACCACATCAGAGCCTGCCAGGCCCAAGGCGGCCCTGGCTCAACCATCCATCCCTCCGACAGAGTTCAACGCTGGTGATCTTCGAAGCGCGAATTTCGCCGCAACGGGTCAATCACCGATTGCTTTTCAAGGCCCGAGCCACCAGTATGACGAGCACAAGCAGCAGACAGGTCTTCCCCCAGGTGCCCTAGCTCAAGCAATGACTTTCAACCAAATGAACGGAATGGGGTACGGTAGTGCCAGCCCTGGCTACATGATGAACGCCGACATGTTTACCGGTACTCATATGAAGCGTGAGGACGCTTCTCTCGACTTCAACGCAATCCCGAGCCGCAACCCTTCAGAGATGGACCTGGAGTCCGATAACATGGGTACGGTCCCCGGCTATTTCTTCTCGCCAAACCCCAACAAGAGCCAGTTCGTCGACCCCAGCGCCCTCGGTGGTCAGGAGGTAGTTCCCGTTGGTCCATCTACCCAGGTCGGTCGCATGTACCCCGGAATGCATCAGCAGCAGGCTGCGATGGCCAAGGCGGCTCAACAACAAAAGCATCATGAAATGATGCGCCAGCAACAACAATTACAGCAACAACGTCGGATGGAAGAGCAGATGCAGAACAATGGAAACCCTCAGGTCCAGCCCCCTCGCAACACGAACCCGATTGTGGAAGAGCGCATCACTCGTCTTTTGCAGCAAATGAGACAGTCCAGCACCTCGAGCTCGCCGTCTGACTCTCCCAGCCCCTCTGTCTTGCCTCAGATGGCCAAGGCCAAGAAGGATGAACAAGATATGGATGAAGATGAGAGACTGCTCGCTAGTGAAGAAGGCAAGAAACTTAGCAGCAAGGAGCGCCGTCAACTTCGTAACAAGGTCTCCGCTCGTGCTTTCCGGTCTCGCAGAAAGGGTATGGATATTTTTTTTGAATGCTTGTCTATGACCTGGTAAACTAATTCGTCCTAGAATACATCGGTCAGCTTGAGAGCGAGGTTGCGGCGAGAACCAATGAAGCTCATGAGTTGCGCCTCCAGAACCGTGCTCTGTATGAGGAAAATGCTCGTCTCACCGATCTTGCACGCATGCTTCTGTCCTCCCCCAATTTCTCCCAGTTTTTAGATGAGATGTCCATCAACGGAGTCTCTACCTCGGCTCAGCCGCAGCCGCCTCAGCAACAACAGCCGCAGCAACTGCAGTCCCAGCCCCAACCCCAGCAGCAGCCAACTATGCAGGCCAACGTGCCCAAGGACACCAACCACGGCCATGGAGCCCAGGAATTCGCCATGCAACAGAATCCTCAAGTCGGTATGGTTGTTGTCCCTAACCAAGGACTCGACGTAACTGCTATGGGCATGAACAACGCTGGCTGGAACTCCGGTATTGATATGAACTACAACCCATCAGTGTTCGCTGTTTTGGAAGTCCCCGAGCCCTCGATCATCGATACCGAAATTCTCTCCGGCAAGTCTTTCAGTGTTGGATCCTACCTTCCTGAGGTTACGGATTCCAAGAACGAATTGCCCGTTTTCGATCGTATGCTCAAGTCTGAGGAGGTCAGCGTTGGCGTTGAAAACCCAGATGTTGAATTTGACGAATCGGATCCTGCATTTGCTCTCTTCGCCGACTCCCCAGTTACTTCTCAACAAGAGTCGTTTGATATCTCCTTCAACGGAGTTGAATCAGAGAAATCTGCACATGCATTCGAATTGGTGGTCGAGAATGAGTCCCGCGATGCAGAGAACCGTTTCTCTTACCTCTGTCACAGTATGGAAGCAGCTTTCCAGCGTGTTTCCATGGTCACCTCTCATCTCTCATGATTCCCCATGTCGCACCTAAGCAACTTCAGATTAACTTAAGAATTTGTAAAGTTTGTTCTTGTCATGTTCTTCCTTTTAGGCAGTTCAGCTACCTGAACTTGCGTCCTTGTAGACACAAATACCTTTTCCTTTGTTTATGATCCTGTGACTATATATACTGTCTTGACTTGCAACTCCACTAGTTTCACCCTATTCTTCTTCTTTTCTATTTTGGATCCTCGTTGTTTTATTCTCCCTTTCATTGCTGGGTTTGATGGAGTCAATTTGTCGAAATCGTTCAAGGTGGGATCAGGATTACAGGCCTTTGGTGTTCTTTTTTTTCATCTTTTTTTTCTGCAGAATTGGATACCTTCTGGACTGGCTACTAGGAACCAAGTTTAGTTACTGTGAATACATCACGAAAATTCAAAAGTTACGGGCAAACACCTTCAAAATCCGACAATGTTGAAGTATAACCTAGCTACTAGAGTAGTCATGTGCAGTGCTGCAAACTGGTGTTTGTCGCCACTAGAGAAGAGAGGCTCTGAACTGCGCCAGACTCAACTTCACCCCCCAGTCGTGTTTTTCATTTGCTACAACCAACCAACTTCACCACCTCATCGCGTCACTCATCCTTTGAGATGACTGTTCTTTGCATCTCTTCCTAACTAATTATTTTTTCCCTAGCCAAGTTGGCTCCCCTTCCTCCCGCCCGCGGGCTATTATTCAAAGCCTTTCGCGGAAACGTTGCCCCATCTATAATAGCCCGCTCTCCGGTTCCTTTCAGAGCTTCGTTTTCTCGACCCTTTTGGCATATTCCCAGAGCTGCATCAAAACCGAAATCCATTAAACCAAAGGATTCGATATCAAAAAGTCCTGCTTCCGCTAGTTTCGCCAGATCAAAGCCCCAATCCAAATCACATCCGTCAAAATCGACCGTTCCTCCCACGAAACCCTTACCCACACTGAAAACCGCGCCATATCCACTCAAACGGGATACATTTCTTCTCCGAGCTCCGAGACTTATTACGCGACGTGGATCGAAAAACTACTTGCTATACAGCTCGAAAACTCACAAGCTCTCAGGTTTTGATTTCTTGCCGACCCCGCCTGTGGGACAGAAGCCCATGAAGTTCTTCTACCAGGTTATAACGACCCCCACGGCCGATACGCCTGGCACGACTATCGCGCTTCAGTTCCCAGAAAAGCGGTATTTCTTCGGGCAGATCTCCGAAGGAACTCAGCGGGCATGTACGGAACGTGGTGTTAAGCTCGCTTACCTCACCGATGTTTTTCTCACGGGTCGCATGGAATGGGACAATAATGGTGGCTTGATTGGCGTGATTCTTACACTCGCAGATGGTGTTGCTAGTGCAAATACTGCCCTGGAGGCTATGGCCCGTGAGAAGCAGGCCCGCCAACAAAAGTCTGGCAAATCTGACAAGTCTGACAAAAAGCCCCCTGCGAAGGCCAAATTGGAGCATGGCGTGCCCTACGCCGTCCGGGATGGAGAGGCTGTTGCGCAGCGGGGGACCTTGACAATCCATGGTGGTAAGAACCTAGCGCATACCTTAGCCACTGCTCGGAGATTTGTATTCAGGAAGGGTATGCCGGTCTTCACACGGGAATATGACAGTGAGAGTACGGCCAAGAAAGAGTCTGCAGAGACAGAAGATCCTTTTGAAAAACCCACTTGGTCTGATGATAACATCAAAGTATGGGCTATGCCTATTCGTCCTCCCACATCTTTGCAGCCGAAGGAAATCCTCCGTGTTGCCCCACAAAGCCCGAGGAAGAGGAGCCTTGATGAATTCAGAGAAGAAGTTACTGCTCAAGAGGCGATTGACCCGCGCACTCGCGACCAAATCATCAGGCAATCGGTTATAACGGACATGTTCAATTCGACATGGAAATTGGATGCTTTGGTTGAGACCCCTTTGGCTGAGGTTAAGATGCCCGCGGTCATGTTTGTTCGCAATCCAGAGACCAGGGCGCTTGAGCAATACACGGGTCCTGCTCCGGGAAGCAATGAACCGCTGCCTGACATCAAGGTTTTTGTACGCCAGCCTTGGCCAGGCGCAGCCGTTGAAAAAATTCCTCCTACCACCTGGTGTAATGAAGCTGTTTCTTATATCGTGCGGAATCATGATATCAGAGGCAAGTTTGATCCCAAGAAAGCGGCGGAGTTGAAGGTCCATAAAGGTAAGGACTTCGGGCGTCTGACGAAGGGCGAAAGCGTGATATCCGAAGATAAGCAAACCATTACGCCTGAGATGGTTCTAGGCCCCCCACGACTTGGAAAAGGTCTAGCCATCATCGACCTGCCTAGCTCAGAGTATGTGGAGAGTCTGATTAGTAGGCCGGAATGGAAGTCACCTTCTGTCACTACGAACCTTGAAGCATTTATCTGGATACTAGGCCCCGGAGTCGGAGATCATCCACGGCTGCGTGAGTTTGTCGCCAGTATGCCCCATTGCAAACACACTGTGTCTAGCTCGGACTATTGTCCAAACTACTTGGCTATGGGCAGCATTGCCGGCTCATCTGTTCGTATGGCGCAGTTGAGGCGCGACAACTACCCAGTGCCAGTCCATGACAATGTGAGCCTTCCACAACCAGGGACACGCACTCATGGTTCGGAGGTCACAGTGAGAAATGTGCAGAATTCGCCATTCGAAGCAATTGAGCCTGGCCTTATCATTGACATGGAACCTAATTTTGACATCAACCGCTCTGAGGTTGTCCCACGGTTCAATGCAATTGAGGCAGTGCAACGGATACCTGTGGCAGTCCAGAAACGTATGAGTACGATCGATAGGCGAGTCAAAAAGGAAGAATTTGAGGAAAAGCTGCGGCAGTTCCGGAAAGACCTTCCAGGAGCCGATGCGGAGATCATCACCCTTGGTACAGGTTCTTCTTCTCCTTCCAAATACCGCAATGTTTCCAGCACTCTCGTTCATGTCCCTGGTTACGGCTACTATCTGCTTGACTGCGGCGAGAACACGCTTGGTCAGCTGAAGCGCGTTTTCGAGCCCGAAAAGTTGCGGGAAGTTCTACAGAACTTGCGAATGATCTGGATTAGCCATCTGCATGCAGACCACCATCTTGGTACTGCTTCTGTCATCAAGGCGTGGTTCCAAGAGAACTATCCGAATGGAGATTCGCAAACAAGCGCTATCGAGACCGACATGTCCAAGATACTCCAGGAAAAGAGACTGTTCCTTGTCTCTGAAGAAAACATGATCTGGTGGCTAGAAGAGTACGCAAGCGCCGAAAATTTTGGCTTTGGGAAAGTGATTCCCTTATCCGCTTACCCCGTGATTCAAAACAGGGCACTGCGGACTAGGTTTGTATACCGGCACTGTCGTGCGGATGGCTCATTCTCTAACCAGGAAGTCGAAACTTCAAATCCCCGAAGTACAGAGCTTAGCTTTGACAACGAGTCGTCTCCGCTCACGCCACTTCTCCGCAAAGCCACAGGTCTTGCTGATCTCTTAACCACAAAGGTATCTCATTGCCGTGGCGCCATGCAGTCTCACTTGTCTTCTCGAACGGCTTCAAGGTCTCCTTTTCGGGTGACTGCCGGCCTTCCCCTAGCTTTGCCGCGATTGGACACGGCTCCACCGTTCTCATCCACGAAGCCACCTTCCAGGATGACATGGGAGTATCGGCTATCGCGAAGAAACACTCTACGACATCCGAAGCCCTAGAAGTTGGCCGCAGAATGGAAGCTCGCGCCATCCTCCTCACCCACTTCAGTCAACGGTACCAGAAGGTCGCACACGTAGAAAAGAACCGCCCGCCCGCCAAACGCCAAGAGACCGTTGTCCAGCCCGAACAACCCGACATCCCAGACAACGAACCGGAAGAGGCCTCCCAAGCGGCAACCTCCAATGGGTATGTTCCTTCCTTCTTTGCCACCATCAAGGTAGAGGAAAAGCCGCAGGTAAAGGTTCCTGTCGTCGCCGCCTTCGACTACATGCGCATCCGTGTTGGCGATATGCCCGTCGCGCAGGCGTACGCGCCGGCAGTGGAGAAGCTCTACGACATCCTGGAACGCGCTTCGGAAGAGGACTCCGAGAAGCAGCGCCAGGAGAAGGAGAAACAGGAGGCTGCCAAAATGCAGGAGAAGATGAGAAGAAAGGCCAAGCACGAGAAGAAGTCAAAGGCTGGTGCTAGCCTGGCCGATGCGGAACCAACACCTGCTGTCCCCGCTGAAGAAATGGATCTCGACAAGAAGTCCCCGGTCAAGCGTCACTCGGCCTGGAGTGCCAGCGAAAGTGAAAGCGGCTGGAGCACCAGTGGCAGTGATAGTGAAGCTGAGGTGCGTGTGAGGCGCAACAGCCGCAGTCCCAGTAGGACTGTGAAGCGTTCGAGTTAGAGATAAAGCAAGATACTCTTATCGTTACATACCCTGTATCATATCAATATTTATCGTGCTTTCAGGAGGTACATAACTGTATATGGAGGTAAAAGTTTTAGTCAATGGACAGGTTTTCTGTCCTGTTCGGGTACATACATGATTATTATTACGCTGAGACATAATACAAAAGAAATGAAGGCTTCTATAGTCGAAGTTTCTGATAAGATCACGACGTGCGTAACTCTGCGTTTCCTCGTTTTCTCTCCTTTCCAAAAAAAAAGAAAAAGATTATATATAGCCAAAATAAATACCATTACCGTACACGTTGAGTGACATGTATGGATATATACTACTGAACGCCCTAGAACCCAGAGACTGCTTTCTCCTTGTCGTCCTTGCCATAGAGGCCCGCTCCAACGTTCTCTGTGCACTCTTCCCGCCAGTTCTTGGGCGTGAACTTATCAACAATCTCCTTAAATGCGTCTAATGTGCAGAAGGTATCGTCTCCAGGAAGATGATTCTGCGGCTTAGCAGCGCAACCAGGGATACGGACTGGAACGTCGTTGTAGCGGATACGGACATAGTGTTTCTGTAGGGAGTTTCTTGCGGAATCGGGGAAGGATGCAAGGGGGGCACGGGCAGTTTCAGACGGAGGGGGCGGAGTTGAGTTGTCCAAGTTCGAAGAGCCCTTCATGAAGGAGAAAAGACCCCCGCTCTTCTTCTGGGCGATAGCAGGGTTTGAGAATTCCTCGAGCATGACGCCAGCATTCTCACTGCCGGATTTACGGTCCGCCTTTGAGAAGAGCTCGACAGCAATGGAGGAGGTGAAAGGTGGCCACCTACCAGGGGAGGCGCCCAGACTACCCAAGATTGCTGCCAAGGTGGTATCGTGGCATCCACTCATGGCGAACTTGATCGCTTTGCCATCATCGGTGGAGGACCCAGATGCCGAGGTTTCGCTGCGCCAGCCACCATCGACGGCGGTGCTGACCATGCGGTCGACCACATCGCCCAGTAGGGCTCCAATGCCAAGTTTGCGGTATTCGGTGCTCTCGTTGTAACCGGCGAACCATTCGTCGACGGCAATGTGCTCCATGTACTGTCTCAGTTTCTTATCGTAGAATTCTGCAGGGAGACGTGTTGCGGGTCCGTGAGCGTCGGTTGCATTGATAGTGTCATTGATTCCGGAGAGACGGGGGTGAGAGTCGACGGCAACTTTGGGGGACTTCTCGGGCATCCATTTTGACAGGATGCTGTTGATGTAATTCATCTGTTCGGTTTCATTCCCTGCGTAGATATGTTGATCAGCTTATGATGTCCTTTTATGGTTCACTACCCCACGTACACCGTGACGCTGCCCTATCGGCAAAGAGTCTTGCCAGTTGTCTGAATCGACGGCAGTTGCCTTCATTAGGGAATAGAGTCTCCTCCGACACGGAGCGTGCAACAATCACTGGCGGAGGAAAGTCTTGAGTGCGAGCACTGGCCGGGTACATGCCCCAGAAAGCCTGCTGGAGGGACTCGAGGGCTCGCGGAATGGGTGTGGCTCGGAGGTACATATCCTCGGTGTCAGACTTGATCTTAGGCATGAACCCAAGCTGGTCAACATAAAGATGTCTCAGACGCTGGCCGAGAGCAAGGGTTGTTTCCCGTCCCCTGTCTGTCAATTCGCCGTGTTGGCTATTGTTGCGGGTTACTCGTCAGTGCCTCGCTCTCACCAGCCATCCCGTGCATTGCATCGCGACTTACCAGATGCCTTCAATATCACCTGTCGCACCCACCGCAACCACCGCCTCATCTCTATCGCCGAATGCCTCCGTCTTTTTCCGCCATTCGAAGCCCTTCCACTGTGAGAGGTCCTGGTTACTAGCGGCCATTTGGGTCATTCGACGCACAACACTGCAGTACGGCCAATCTTCGCGGGTAAAATAGTCGGTCAGTCTGCAATGGTATAGAAAACAACTGGGTATGATTGAGATTATTTACATTCAGCCAGGCCTGCCTTCATGGTTTTAGTAGTTATATCACATTGGAAATTGGAGGTATGTGGTTAGCTTCATACATTTTGAAACCGAGAAGACACCGGAGTGCGTTCGCCTGAAGCCAGTCAGTCAATTGAACAAGTAATTTAGCCACTAGACCATCGTTGAACCACCTCACCATGGCGAAGGAACTACAGAAGAGTTAGTACAAGATCAGATGCACTCCAAACCAGATATCTCGTCTGGTACGTACCACCTGGACCAATTGGAGCTTCAAATCCTTCGGATAGAGCTTCTCGAGCTCCTCCTGGGAGTAAGGTTCGCGAGGATTTAGAGAGGTCATGGGGGGCTGCCACAGGTGCGTAGAGAACGACTCTGGATGAAGCAGTTTACTTCTCAAGGTAGGACGAGAGTCGGTGACGGTGACGGTGACTCGGCGATTTGTCCGTTGATGACGCCAGAAGGCGGTGGGCGGTAAGTAAGGGCCAATCAGCGGTGAAGCTCGGGTCACCTGTAGGCGGCGGTCCTTCTTATCCACGTGCAGATCAGCTGGTCTATCAAGTGATGGAGAGGAACCCTAGATGTTGCGCTGTAGATACTAAGGACTCGAATCTGTGTCAATTGGGGTAGTAGTTAGCCAGTAGTGGAGTTCTTACTGCGACTTGCCTTTGGTTCAGGAAGGATAATAACCATCTTACCCCGCCAATCTTCAGGCAGTAATGTTTTCTTTGGGGTGGTTTTTTT